CCAGCCAAAAGGGACTCTCGTCTCGTTCGTCAAAGCAAGTCCATCTCACGGGTGTTCGCGCACCTCCTTCGCCGCTAATGGGTTCTCTGGACCATTGATTCTGCTGGAACACCAAATTCGTATTGACCTCCCAACAGCAGTTGACGCGTCTGAATGTGTTGCTTCCAGCATGTGAGGCTGTTGGAGAGCCATGTATCACTGCCATGCGCAGCAGAACACTTCCGGTCTTAAAATATGCTGTCTCACGAAGCAAGCTGCTGCCGGCATTGTGCAAAAAAATGGTGTTTAAGGATGAACATACCATATGGATTTAGAGCATCCAGCTCCACATAAATTTGCCCTAGTGCCATTTCGCAGAAGGTCGTGAAGTACTAACTGCCGTTTCAGACGCGAAGTACAACCAAAGCGCACCTCCTATCTCTTAGAACCCATTAGAATTCTTGTGTGCGATGCTTCTTGAGTGTAGGACGCCGGGCTCTGTACGACTGCTCAAAAGCCGCACTGAGGAGCTAGCTCCACTCCTCCTTTCGGATGCTGCGGGCTGTATGTGGAGCCTTTCTAAGGAGAGACATGTCCGGGAAAATTCGAACTGACACAAAACCACTTTTGTTTTCTTGCATTACAGTGCCTCTTATACGCTTGCGGAGCTTGATATGCAACAATTCCCCAGTTGCGAAATAGCTAGGACCGTTTCGTTACTTCAGAATGGAATACTGCGCAAAGCTTGCACTGCACTTCGTGATCACTGTATTATGGAATATGTACATTGTGCGGGCGTGCTGGTACCTTTTCTATTTAGGCTGAAGTTTGCAGTGGACGGAATAGCCCGCAAGAGATTGAGAAATATTCTGCGACGGATGATTCTGATGGCGACGACCGAAAGTGAGAACTGGCACGCTTTTTAAAAGCATTTCACGTACTTGGAAAAACTCCCGAAGAAGCATGGGACTGGCTTTGGTGACTTTGTCTACACGTGCCCTACAGTGAGCTGAGCTGGATCCCTGCTATCTGCGGCGGTTTTTTCGGTGGACTGGTCGGAATGACGCTGACTTGTGATGCTTGCAACCCCGATCACATATGTCTACGCGTGATGGGAGCGCACGCCTGCGGAACGGTCACGTAAGACGCATCCGCACATTTGTGATGCATTGAGATAGCCTCAAAAATAACCAATGCGCTCAGATGCCTGCGGCTCCACAAAGGGGCGTTGCTCTCCTTTTAGCTAAGCAAGTATGAAGGATTTCTTCTTGCAGGGTAACTGCAGCGCCTTAGCACGTTTGAAACTTCAATGACAGTCGTGTCGAGCATGCGACGCTGTAGGGAGTGGAAGATATCTGCAGAGAGGAAGAAAGAAGTACTCAAAGTGTCTCCCAAGTTGTCCAAATGTATCCATACTGGGATGCCCATAAGCTGCTTAGGCTGCATCACGGACAGCGCAGCCGGAAGCGAACATAAGCTCGAAGAGAAGTGGGAACAACGACGCCTCTTAGGCTTTGCTGATGGGAAAGTAGCCTGGGTAGAAGGTGGCGCTGTCCTCCAAGCGAGCCGGTGGGCCACCAGAATGCTTCTGCATCGTTCGCAAAAATCCTACAATATCAGCAACACCTTCACTGGAAGGAAAGCTGTTTCCTCAGCAACGATATTTTGGATATAGTGCTGTTGAATAAAAGTCAATATTGGGCATTTCCGGGTCTGTAGGGTGTCAAACGGTCCAATCAAAAGCCTGGTGGGAACGAGGATTTTGGGCATCTCGTCTGCCCGGTCACGAATGAACCAAAGCTGCTTTTCTGGTGCAGCTGATTTAGTGGACGACATCCTGTGGGCTGCAGTTTGCTCCAGTGGGGAGGTGGTCTTCTTTACGTTGCCGGTTGACACTGCAAAAGATAAGACAAATGTTCCAGAGGGCTCCACCACGACTGTTGTGAAGAGGTTCTTCCTGACCTCCTGGCTGGTCGAGAACACACCTGCCGTAATGCCAATCGTTTCCTAGGTCATTTGAGTATTAAATATTAGGCATTTCCCCCCTAAAATGGCGAAGCGAGTGATGACAGTGACTGCTTATCTGGCCTGTTTGCCCGCCTGCAGTCAATGCCGACAAAAAGAAGCCCATCATCTATCCGTCTTCGGCTTCCAGAGGGTAGCGGTTGTTGGCTGGACAAGGGACCTGAGATATGGGAAACACTTCAGCCCCACCAAGGCCAGCAAACAGGCCATTTGGACGCTCCCCTTGGAGTGTTTGTGCTTGGATTTGTAACGACACTTTTCGACACCCCCCTTGGCGGCCTTGCATTTTTCGCTCCCCAAGTTGACGGTGGCACCGCCTCAAGTCACCCGCAAGTAAGCCTTGCAGGGTACCAATAAGATGCACAGCTTTAACTAGGGGGGGGCAGTGCGCCGTACAGTAGATACCTGTTTCGTGCATCTCAAGCCAGCTAGCCTTTGCGGGAACCTCCAGAAGAGCTTCCTTTTAGGCAGAAAACAGCTTTCATAATGATATGTTTAGAAACGTACTCTGCCCTGCACTAAGAAAAGCGGATCTGTCAGGGCTCCAATCCCGTAAAATATGATGCGGCTTCCTTCTTCAGATTTGCTGCAGTCGATTGAGTGTAACACCAGTTTGCGTCGCCACCCGGGGCGCCCTACTTGCAGTTGGTACAGCATTTGGAGGGGTTTTGGTATTCTGTACGCATGACCTTCTCGGTGAATCTTACAGCTGCGTTACAGGATTTGCTGCTGCTGCCGCTGCCACACCTCTTACTTGTGTTTCTCTCGGGTCTCTTCCGATACAACGCGTCCAACTTCTTTGTCACAGCTGCGACACGGCGGCAGGTGCAGCCAAGAAGGAACTGACCTCCATCGCACATAGCACAACGCATTTGTTGGCCCTGCAAGTGGATGGAACCTTCTTTGAAATGCTGCTGCAGCCTGAGTTGCTGCAAAACCCCCTCTCGCGCTCGCTTCTTCTCGACAGAAAGCTGCATAGCCAGGCGGCGGGGGACGCTTGCAGAGTATTCGCAGGAACTACAGCACCCGTAGCTATTTCTTCAGGAAGCGGCTATCGCACTCACTCTTCCTTTCTTACAACGGCATATGCAGAAGGCGGACCTGTGGCTGCGGCTATATTAGGGGAGCTAGGCGTCTTCCAGCTGTGGCTGCTGGCAGAAAACACAGAAAAGCCAGGTTTGTCTACTGCATGGTCATCACCCCCCGAATCACTAACATTGGAATTTTTCTGGTACGTTCGTTCCCGAAACTGGCTCGCGTTGGCTGCTTCCCGTGTAGTTAGACAGAGGAGCTGAATCTGGTTTAGCAAGCCCTCATTGCTCACAGTTGTGAATCTTCCGATACAACCGCTACATTCAGCACCAAATAAACTGACTTACGGGACATTTGCCTGCAGCTCGGCTGCCTCCGAATTCGGCTCACCGGCCAGAGAAGTCGGTGATTCTCAAGGAATTCGAAGGGATCCCCACAATGGCCCGTCCAATCTCTCGTTCTCACCCAGGAGTTCGCGTTTCTGTTTGGCACGCCGCTTGTCAATGGCTCCTGACGTGCAGGAACAGCTTGAAGCCATACTACAAGAAAAAGAATCCCTTCAAAGAGAGTTGCAGGCTCTTCTCGGCAGAGTTGCAGTGAGAGTATTCTGCTTAAACTAGCTCAACCACTTGTGACACGAAAATGTTTCCAGGCGCTTACCAGACAGATCGAAAGAACCTTGGCGTCCAAAAAGCTCCCATATGGACCACTAGTTGTGCCACTCTGGTATTTCAGGCAAATCCTGCTCTCCGCGGCTTAGAAGTAGAAGCAGCCAACGTGGATGCAAGTGTCCGCACGCTCGCCAACGAACGAGCCGTAGCAAGCCGAAGGCAGAGGCAGCAGCAATTGCTGCTGCTTCAGCACGCGTTTGTCGCATTCAATGTAAACTTGCTGCAGCACTTAAAAGCGTCAACCCTCACTGCTCCAAAGGAACTAACTGTTGCTGCGGAAAACAGCGGAGAAACGATCACTGCAAAAACTTACCTCTCCTTCAAGCCGAGGTCAAGAGAAAAAGTACTGTCAAGAAAAATTCTCTTCCTAAGGAAAGTTCAGATAGACTCAACACTTCATTTCATCGTAGTCAAAAATAGTTGGGCCATTCGATATAATGGCTGGGCATTGCCGTTTTACATTAACTACAGCTGAAGGTTCCCTGCATGTTTACCACATCAGGAAGTACCTCCGCTAGAATAGAGAATTTCACTGGGAGTGAGGCGTTTGGCGGTGCTGGCTTTTCAGGAAACTTCAGCTGCTGGAGGACGAATGGGTAAGGCGTGTGACTCCAATCCATGAATCAATGCTACATATGCAACAAGAGGACCTTGCACCTCCTCTTGAAGGATTTGGAAGAAATGAACAGGAATATCTGGCCTTCTACCATTCTTCAGATGGACCCCATGGTGACAAGGAGCAACCACGCCACCTGCTGCTGCCCTAGGTTGTGGCTGCGTGGAAGGCACTTGCTGAAACCCTGCAGTGCACGTACAAACAACGAGCGGCTCCTCGCCACTGTCAGAATCAAATACCTCTTTCATCTTCCGAAGTCTATTTTCAGGTTGTAAAGAAACCACGGGACTGATACGGGAAGCGGCAATACCTGCTCCACACGTATCAAACGGATCAGAGACATCAAACCGGCGGGGATGGATATATTCTCAGCAACCCCTAAAACACCTCAGCAGAGTGTTACAGAATCCACTACTGATAACATCCAATGCCTCACGCCGGATACAGTTCTGGATCCTACGCGAGATGTCGGCCGAGGTGGGAAAGTATGACACATGTGTGCGTTGAGCAACAAAACGGCGCTCCCGAATAAACCGTGTCACTGACCCAGTACTGCTGCTACATTCCTAATTGAAAATTAAAGCCTAGGGAGCTGACCCAATGAGCTACTATACTGGAGTGAAGAAAATCAATCGCAGTGCATGTGCTATGGCAAAGTCTTTTTGTCAGCCTGACACATGCTTGCACAGCTCCAGGCTTCTTTCAATCGACAGCTAGAGGAGTGCAGCAGAGGTATCCTCCGTAAAATAGACAAAATGCAGCAGCAAGCCATAAAGGCAAGGGAATGCGCAACTCAACTGAACGAGGCCACCGATCCTTCAGCGCCAGAGTTGTCAGTACCTTGCATTCCTGACGTTGTAAAAGATCTGGTGAGCAAATCATGGGGCACTCACGACGCGCTCATCGCCTGCAACGTCACGGAATTATGGACTGCCCTTCGTTCACAAAGTGTATATGCTAGAAAGATATGAAATGCTCTATTTGCCCACATTGCTGCTACTTGGCTTGTAGGAAAGTGCGCTGAGGAGCCCGGGTGCGTCAGGGATCACCGGAGGCGATCATGGGACAGCATCATCGGAAAGAGGAGCCAATCCTACGGACTCAGGGGCCAAAAGAGCCCTTGACAAAATGATGGGAGGGAAACTGCAGACCGAAAATGCACTCACCTCACTTGATATCAAGGCTGACAAGTGGTGATTTGATCTCACTCCTGCGCTTTATCTATGCTATTTGGAGGATTAAATAGCGCTTCCCCCCAGCGCAATTTTGTTCTGAGGGTGCCGTATGCATTCAAGAGATTGCTGTTTGAACTGGGAGTCTGTGGTGTCACCGGCGAAACAGGGAGGCATGGATGGATGCTGTTTCTCCAGAGGCGATGACGGACGCGCAGGCAACCAAGTTTTCCGCCTACCAGGAGCAGTTAAGGACCATAAAAGAAAAGCAGGAGACGATGAGGGCAAAACTTCAAGGGGAGTTGAAAAAAATGAGGTAGGGCCGCACGGTAGATACCTTGTTGCGCATTAAGCGAGACAATGGAAAAGGGATACTTGTAACCTACAAAGAGAGATACCGTAGATAAGCTTTTGAAAGAGAACGAAAACACCTGAGAGTTGCAAAGCAGTGAATACAGCTAGGAAAGGTGCGGAGCAAGAGGCGCGAGAAGGAGGAAGGCCTTAGTGGCGGCAAATGAAGAGAACCAGGGTCTCACTGACTGTGGTACTCGTGAGAAGCACAAAAAACATACATGCGCTTACGCGTTCATTCAGGAGCGAACTTAACGCCACTGCAGCTCAGCTCCGTGGTGACCTACAAAGCCTGGCAGACTGGAAGTGAGCAAGCTCTATGAGATGTTACAAGGCGTAGCCAATAAAATACGGGTGAACAGGGTTAGCGAGCACGACGGCGAAGCATAGGCAAAAACGCACAAACCTAGGAGCCAGCGATCAAGCCTGAGCCTGCGTTGACTGCCAGTGATACCATATATCTGCCCCAAGCATTGATTCCCTTATGCGCGAGTCCCCGTGAAGGCCGCCATTCGGGTCCCCCATCTTCTCACTCAGCAATGATGTGCAGCCTTTACGTGAAGCTGGATTTGCTTCTGCCATTTCTGCTATTGTCCGACCATGTTAGGCGGGTCTACGAGGAGGAGCTGCTGCTCAATGAGTTAGCAAGCGCAAGGCTCACGGATAGCATAACACAAGAGACCAGACTGAGAAAGACTGGAACAGAGCTGCGAATGAGGCTTGAGACCACTAGACTAGATGCACAAGAGACAAATAGAGAACTTCAGAAGCAACAATGTTCTTGCTGGTTGTTAGAGGATGAGCGCACGTCTGCCCAACATGAACACAGAGAAAAGCAAGCTGCCTTATCAGCTGCGCTTGGGGCTGGGCATGTGCCGACCGAGGTGCTGGCGACTCTCAACAGACGACTTGACGATGCGTAAGATAGTGCCGGCCCCAGATCTGCAGATAAGTCTTCTATCCGCTAGGTATATTGTTGCCCCAATCCTCCATTGTATCCACTGTCGACACTCGACTGATACCCTGCTTCTACATTCGGCCGCCAATGCAGGTTAATACCTCAGGAAGCTCAGGGACAGGGAAGTTCTTCCGGACCACAAGAGGAGCCAGAGCAAGCACTCAGAAGAGAATGTGCAGCCTTGAGCTGCCGCCTGGACATGCTAGTTGGTTCATTAAGGGTGAGCAAGTGATTGCAGCTCTAGTAACGGCAGAGCCTCGCAGCCAGGTGTGAACATTGTAGCCCCAGAGTAGCTCATGGTCATACGATGCCGACGATGAAGAATAGTGCTCAAGTGCAGAGACCGAGTCGCTGCCAGGTCTGCCCTTCGTAGGCGGAGCTTGGTACTGGGTCAGAGGGACCCTTCTGCAAGGTTCTGGAGGCATCACGTGACGTTGTCTATGCTCACCGACGGCTAGTCCTTGCGTCTGAAGCGGCAGACGCTGAGCAACAGAAGTTGGCACATATCAAAACGGTACTTGGCCCCTGCTGTAGAAAAATGCAACAAAGACAGAGACGATGCAGTGATACGAGCTAGTTGGCACACGGTGCAAAACTGAAGTGCACTCTCGTGCGCTGCCTCGCAATTATGCCCGCAGAGGCTAGAACTGAGCCAGAAGGAGGAAGCAGCCCTTCGTCTCCAGTTGGAAACTTTTCGGGATGCATTCGAAGAAACGCAGCGTGACGTGGATGTGCTGTTGAGGGTCAGAAAGGGGATTGTCCAGGAGCTTCCTTCGGCAATCGCTGGGCTTCGTGAGCCTTTCGACTTTTCGGATTCTTGCCTCGTTAGCCAGGGGAGTATGGATGGCTACAAGCAAGATATCATTGCTTGTGGACGGCAAAAGCTAAGGACCCTTCAAGCCATTAAGGTCAGAGTTCAGCTACACAGGAATGCAGCTCGTTAAGCGAAAATTCCTTTCAATGCGCGTACGGAGGGGATGATGCAATTCAGACTCTAGTGCGCGCATACACAAATATTGCAGGCGCTCCGCCGGCAAGTAGAAGCAATACAATGGCGAACACGTCTTCTGGAACTCGAGGCAAAAGATGTTAGTGAAAGGACAAAGGACATCCATCTTCTCCGCATTACCAGGAGCATGCAGCGGATTCTACAAATGCCAGGTAGGCCTGCTCGCTCTAGTGATGTGGCGTGGGGCGTGTCTTCTCACGATAATTGGAACTGCGCCTCCCTTGCTGCTGCAGTGACAAAGCAACAGTTACTTTCTGCCCTGTTGCTTGCTAGCATGCAAAAGAAAATAATGGCTTTGCCCTAGGGCGTTACAAACCTCGACGAACAGCGCATCCGACTTGAAAAAAAGAGTCAACCGGTGACCCTGGAAAATTCTGTTTCAGCGAAGCTGTTGATTTTCAGGGGGGGATATCCCAAATGGTGCCTCGGTTGTAGTGTCAAAGCAGCAGAGGGAACTTGGCGGCCACCAATGGGCCTCTCAGCTGCCTACAGATGGCTTAAAGGATGGTCAAGAGAGCGAGGTTGGGCTAGGAAGGCTTGAAGAGGAGCGCGCCGAGCTAGAAAAGAAGTCCGCTGCAGTGATAGCGGAGACTAGGCAGCGGGTATGTCCGTCCGCCTATGTTTCTAAACAGACGGCACCAAGGCCGGCGTACACTCTGGCGTTACGACTGCCTCGTTATGGCTTCAGATTTAGCGTTTGTCAGCAACTTGCAGCCTCATTTGAACGGTGGCTGGGGTCAACGCTGAGTATCAGCCTTGAAACAACACAAAACTGTGCTTGTAGTATTCCATCTGGCGGATGAATCGCATGTTGCCCCGCAGGAAATGGCGATAGAAAGAACAGAGCGGCAGCTGGAGCGTGTCAATCAGAACCGAAAGTTCAAGCAGCGTGTAATTGTCCTTCGCCGTGCTCAGGAAAAACAGTCCAACAAATGTAAGCTGAATAGGAGACATGCAAATTGCACCAGGAGGGCAGGCCTTGCAGCTAGCGGCTTCGTAAGAACTACGGAACGCTAACGCAATGGGGTACATCAATATGCCAACCCCGTAGTGTATGCCGTAATCCGCCGCTTATGTTGGACTGCTGTAAACACTGGCACTCTAGCTGTGAATTGCTGAGCTATTTGGGCAGATGCCGCTAGAAGGAATGCCTCAGCAGCGTGGGAACCAGCAGATGACATACGGATGGCCTCCCAGATGAAGATGCGCTTACGGAAAAATACAGAATTGATTAACTCACTTTCCGAAGAACTTAATGCGTTACGAGAGCGGAGCGTCATTTTCTTCCAGGATGTACCGGAAGCACGCCCACTCAAGCAGAAGCCTGCTCCTTAAGCGAAAGGGATTGTGAGGAAGCTCGCAGCGCGATGCGTTTGACACTATGGAACCAACCATCCAAGTGCTGGTCGCGTTTCCCCGTTCAACTGAAAATCTTGTAGTGGCGCTGGCACCGAGTCTTGTGCCACCAGCCTCTCTGAGCCTAGCGCTCTCTCGCAGCGAGACTCAGCTACAGGAGTCGAAATGAGCGCAGTTTTCGAGGTGTCTAAGGCTCAGTCGTTGAACAATTGCCCCAGAGAATGCCTGAGTGTATGTGTTCTGCCAGCGCACCGGGAATCAGCTAAAATTGACAGCTACAATTGCCCGTGGTGGGGAATGTAGTTCGCACATATACGGCTAACGCCATTTGCACCCCTTACTTTACCTGAAAATCATATAATGCGCGCAGTATATTTACTTGTGCTACAGAGCACCTCAGCGCGTGCGTTTAACTTTACGAAAGGCACTATATTGATAAACATTGTGCTGTGGCGCTTCCGCTGTTGGCTTACAGCGTGCTCGTTCCCCATAGGGAGCTTGTGTGCTGGCTTCGTAGGCGCTGCGCTGTGCAAGGAAAATATACACAATTTTGCCGCTTCTGTGCTGTAAGAAGTTTGCGGAGCAGGAGCTGAGTGCGCCTGCCTACCACGCAGGTAGGGGTGCAAGTCCTGCGTATCAGAAAACATACTTCAAGTTACTTCTGCTTAGGGGCGAGTTTCCACCATGCAAGCAGGCTTCATTGTATTTGCCTGCGCTACGTAGGCTGTCTCGCTGTATGCCTGCCCCCATAAGGCGAATTAATAGTCTTGATGCGGCACTCGTACTAGGAATGCAACGCTTCGTACTGACACTGCAGACAGTAGTGGATACTTTCACTTCCACCACTTGTTGTACTTTTTTGTCAAAAGCCTGCCTCACGACGGCATCAAAACAGCAGCAAGGCATACGGGGGCTTATTTGTTAGCAACCAGCCGAGGCATATGCCAGGCACAGTGCAATCAGTGAACAATGAAATGGCCTAAAATAGGAACGATCCCGGTACAGGGCTTGAGAGTGCATGCCAACTTTACCCGCTGCCACCTGAAACCTTCTCCCAAAGACAGCCTTCACTTCAGTAGGTTTCCGGCACTGTTCCAATGCAGGGATTCTTTGCAGCAGCCCTCCAAGGATAGAGGGTGGTCAAAGGACCCCTATTTGCAGTTCACAGAACACACATTCCCCATTGAGTGGTTGCGGTTGGTGTTCTTCGTCGTGCATTGCTGTAAAGAAAACTCCGTGTAAAGCTTGAAAGCTTACTCCGTGAGGAAAACGTAAGATAATGAGGCGCAGCGCTCCCTCTACAGGTTCAAGGACTACGGAAGTTCAACGGGAGGGGCAAACGGGCGGCCTGGACCGCAAGATTCCAGCTTATCTAGTATGCCTTCAAAGTCTTCTTGTGCATCAAATGCATGTGAAAAGCGTTCTGCCGCACCATTCGACAGTTGTTATGCCTTCGACTGCGACGCGGAACAAAATTGTGCGCTGGATGGTCCGGTGCAACGCTGTATTAGAACGAATTTGCTCAATTTAAGTGGACAAATTCTTGCACCCTACACAATGGTGCAAGGAAAGAGCATTGTGTGGCTCCTCCTAACCTTTGAGGAATTTGACTACAATGCAGCAGCCAGCCTGCGCAGGCATGCTTAGTGCGATGTGTCCGGGTTTTGACACAACCCCACGCGATAGTGACCTCCAGGGTGCATCCCATGGCTGAAACACTCTAAAAGATCGTGTTCACCTTCATTTCTTATGAATTATCTCGGAAATTTCCCTTAATATTCCGTTATGCTCTAGAAAATAACTCTGAAAAACAATTTTCGTGCACCTTTGCTCTAAAGGACCGGAGACACTGCGCGCCCCCTCTGTGAGCCCCACAAAGAATAGTAGTGGGCAGCGGGTTGAAACTTTTTTGGTTCTCCATTTAAGAGTTAGAATGGATTTTTTCATGAAGGTGAATCTGTTTACAAACTTTCCTTGCCCTCTCGTGACCCTTTAGAGAAGCAGGGGAGCTGGAATGCAGCCGCAACACCAGCGCAGAGAGATACTTCGCCACGGCCGCTCGTTTGTATTGGAATGGTGTCTTTCATAAACTTTTTATGGAAGCAAATTAGGTCAAAAGTTACCAGCATCTAAGAACCTGGTACTTGGCCCCACGCCGGTGGTTCAGTTTTTGTTTTCCAGCACCCATTAGACGACGAACGAGTGCAGGAGTGCAGCGAATGCCGCTGGTGCAGCGGAACGTACTCCGTGGGAGTAATGATGCTAATTAGAAACGCATTAAACGTTTAGCCGCCGGGTGAATTGCTTCCTGTCGCTTCTGCAGTGCGTGAGGAACGGGATGTTCTCGACCACCATAAGGGCGGGAAAAAGTTGGGCGGTAGGAGGAGTAATAGCGTTGTAGGCTAGCTGAACGCAAGCCGTGAAAGCACAACTTCGTATAGATTCGGAGGCATGAGTCCCTTTTGCCCTCTTTATCAATATACATTACGTTTATTTGGGAGACAATTTGCCTCTACACACGTAAAGCACCCGCAGCAGGCACCGTAGACTTCGCCGAGCAGGGCCCTAATGGACCCTTGAAGAGGATTGTACTAAGCATAGGATCAGGCATGGACTGTTGATGGATTTCTCGAGAGGACTACTCTCAGGAGCTCGGGGTATCTCGTACAGCCGTTCCAGGCCCTTCCGGGCAGTTGCACTTCTTTGCAGCCCACCAAACATCGCGCTGCTGAAAACTGCAAAGTAAACTGGAACGGCGAAATGCACCATTTGCAGGCTATTCCAGGACAGAGAATACACTACACTCGACACTGAATCCTCAGCAAACGGGTGGTTGGTGCAACGCGACACTCAGTTGTTCTCTGCGGGGCAAGCCTTTCACTAGGTGGCAGCTGAATACTGCATCTTGGCAATTGAAGGTATCAGAAACGATGTCTGATGTGGTTTCCGAAACTCCAATGGCAACCCCAGATGAGAACATGGGGCATGGCACGAGTAACCCACAGGGAGGATCAGCACAATGCAACGGAACAGCAACGCACGGCCCCCACTCTTCGATGGAAGACCCTTGTTCCCTGCCGGTAGCTGAAGAGCTAGCCAGGTGGCTTGTCGCTCAGATTCAGTTGCCTGGCTTCGTCGCAGATGAAGACTGGACCCCGGAGCACACGACGGAATTCGCTAGATTCTGCAATGACGAGAACCGCAAGCAGTGGTTTCTATGGATAAGCAAGCCTTCATGCAGAACTCCACCGAACCTCAAGGAAGAAGGTGAATCCGTTATGGAAAGATGGCGCTCTGCTAGGCTCTCGTTTAGCGATGAACTTCCTGCACACTGCATCGGCTCAATGCTGCAGCAGACAACTGCTGAGGAGCCTAGTGGAAATGGATTGGTTTTTGTCGGGAAGCGAAATGGGTTGGTGAGGCACCGAAATGCGGAGGAGCAGCTGCTGTGCCTTTCATTCCACGGCGACGTTCTTTCGCGTCTTGCTGCCGTCATTCGCGGTGTCCACATCCCGGTGCTCGGAGACAACCATGCTTGGCCACAAAGCTTCAAAAGAGAGCTTTTAAGAAGGGTAGGAGCTGGCGCAACTGGGAAAATAGAACCAGGAGTTGTAGAAGGGTTGGGTAAGTCACTCTATAATACATGGCAATATGTGACACTACGTGGAGGGGCAAAAGCACTGCCTTTCGCTATCTCCGCAGTTGAGTAACTATGTCGGCCGCATGACGGACATAGTGCATCGTGCCCAGGGATGCGCTAAGCTTGTCCTTCCATTGGAGGACCTTGGAGATACTGAGGGATGCCTATGCGATCGGGACCTGGTACAACGGCTTGAGGCACTCGTCGTGTGTTGGACACGGCAAGTGAAAGAAATTCTAGCGCTGCAGGTGTGTTTCCAGTTCATGTTTACAGCAAATATGTGCTGCTCAAGTACCTCGCCATACATGGTTGCTTTACTGAATATATAGTTTTCACGAATGGTCTTCACGCTGTTTCCGACGGAGAACTGCATCTTGCTCAGGACGGTCCGGAGGGGGCAGTAGAATCAGGGCACCTCGGGGAAATTCAGCGGTGGACCGAGCATGCTCAGAACCTAGCTTCACTTCTTGAGCAGTTTCAAGAAGAATCTTTACACTCTGTGCTCAAGATATTAAATGCGGCGAAGTCATCTTACGCCAAGCCATTTCAGTGTGTGACCACCAGGGTTGCTTTGAGTTCCTGCACACGCTCTTGGTCCTAAGGAGGCAAACCGATACGCCGTCCAAAAGGCTAGTTGCACCGATATTTTGGGAATTACGAAATCCTAAAACGCTTTCTATAAGAGCGCAACCTGTTTTTGATTGCAGAGCTGCACAGCATGAGGTTGCTGTTGCCGCACACTTAGCGGATGAAAACTTGAAGTTTCTGGAAGTGCTTCGAGGGCCTTGTCAGGCTTTACGAGAAGCTGATTCAACGCAGATACCTCGAGTAGCAACTAGACTCCTGATGGCTGTGCGAATCGTTGCAACACACAGCAAGTACTACACGACTCCCGAAAGGATTGGTGGTAAGCAAAGAGACAACCCCAAACTCGACAGGCCTCCACAGAGAAACCATCGGATTTAGGGGTCCCGTGCTTCACCCGGTTAGCAGGTTTCTTCTGCTGGTCACGCATAGAGGAGAAGCCTCATTTTTCACTTAGTCGAGGTTGGGTGCTCCACAGGCCTGCTGCGGAACATCGCGGGAGAAATTATTCGGCGAGGTCAGGCCTCAATAAATGTTGATTCTATATGGTCTGGAAATGTGGCGGAGCCTATGGAAAGTCTGAGGAACGCGGTTCAATGCGGGTTAGCTCTAAACAAGATTTTCAGCCAGCTTTCTACGTTGATCAAGGCGGAGGGAAAGGCTGTATGCAGTTGGGACTTCGCAGACGGCGCGGCGTTTGCAGAGGTGACTTTACTAGACAGGATAACGCCATTGTGCTGTTGAAACAACGATGATGGGTTAAATATTTGCAGTGTACCATTTTGCCCACACCAAATGAATTTGCTATTCCTTTCCGTCTGAGTGCGGCTTCTGTGTTCTCTTCCTTGTGTGCACTGGTTCTAGAGCGACGCCTTTGTACAGAGATGTAGCGACCTGTTGGACGTCTGCCAAGCCCAGCTCCAGTTCAACCCCACAGTTCAGTTAAGGCAGCATGAGGCAACAGTGTCCTCTAAGGAGGAATTCCAGACGAAAGCTCAGCAGAACAACGTTCATCAAAATCAACTACCATTTTTTGGTGCATTTCAAACTGAGTCAATTCGCTGCAACATAAGAGATATTCAAGAAACATTTGGAAAATCTCTCTCGAGGTTGCGTGCAATGGGACGCAGCGTGCTCCATGTTAAAGCTACTAACTGGCATACTGAATACGCTCTATTTAAGGAGCAGGTAAAAAGGCATCTTCATAGCAATGAACAATCTTTCCCCTTCGGTTGGTTGGAATCCTTTTCGATGTTGCAACAATAAAGCAAAGCGGCAGGACATCTTCTCTTATGCCGATTATATACGATGTGTCACCCCGTTTGGAGTCACATTGCAGGTTCGTGACCAGGAATGCATGTATACGAACGTTATTGCGACTGCTTTTAAACGAGTTGCTACAGTTGAGGAAGCGTGTGAGATTTACGATGGCTTTAAAGTTCTGGCGAAACGACCGAAGATCCAGAGATTTTTGGAGAAGAAGGCCGGGGAGGTGTGGAAGCTCTTTCTCCAGGCAAGTTGAAACAAAACTATCACGTCAACTGAACCCTTGAACCTGACAGAGTCGCGTAGCTGCCTCCCAGTTCAAACAAGCTGGGCTCAGAACATCTGGGTGTCGACAAGAAGTATATCGTTACTTTCAACCATGCGGCCCTGCAAATGCGTTCCTGGCAGTCTTTACTCGCCATCAAAAAACAGTTTGATAATCTAAAAAGATCTCGGGCGGCTTTTTTGGTGACAAGAGTGCTCCATCCAAACAAATCAGGTGCTGCACTTTGGTGCCGAGGAGCCGCCATATATTTGCAGCGCAAGCTGCAGACTCTCCGTAGAGTCGCTTTGCCAGCAGACGGAAAGGACGCTGAGCAAGCGCTGGAGCTCTTTGAAACTGTAACAAGCATGCTGCAGGTGCGTATACAGCTGACTGCTTGGTGGATGCACTTAATCACCCACTAAAACACGTTTGCACCTATGAATATTTATTAATTTTACTGGGGTGCTGCACATCTGCAGAAATTCGTGGAGAAATCTTTTCAGGAATGGCTACAGGATATCGAAACCCTTCATCCATCTGGGCAAGCCAGCCAACCTTCTGATCTCCCCCAGTTTGGCTGTGACATTTACATTCTAACCAAAGGACGAGGTTAGTCGATCGGTAGGGTCCTGTTGAATCCATGCAGCTAGGCTAGCCGGCAAAGACCACAAGCTGCATTGCAGACTCGGCTGTGCCATACACTTTTCACAGTTTCGTGGAGCCGAAGCCTTATTTTACCAGTCTGGAGACTCCTTGATATTGCCGACCTAATAATGTTATACTTTGCTGTAGGCGGTGGGCTAGAGCTGAATTTTGACAAAGGGCTTCAGCGGGTTTTGCAAGAAGCTCGCTTCTGGCAGTGCTTGCAAGACCAGACTATCCGGCTTCCGTTTTCTATCCTCGAGATAATGAGGCACCAGGACCGTCTATTCCTTCTCCGGCAGCATGTGTCAAAAATTGTGAAAGCATACAACGCCATATTCGAGGGTCTATCGGCAAGTTCTACACAAACGGAGCCAGAGCCGGCGAAGTAGCGATTCGATTGCAAACACGCCGACGCTCCATATCGCTTCACATGCCTTTTAGCACAGGCGGGAAGCCTTTGACAAGGGAAAGTCAACGTAGCCACAAAGGCGGTCCCAATAGAGCATGCCAGAAACATGGGAATGTTCTGTCAGCATGTGCCCTCAGCCCGAAGAGCGACGTCTGTTCCAGCATCATTTTGGCGCCCTTGACAAAAAAATTGCCCCAGGAATCCAGAAACTGACATGGAATTCGAAGGTAAGGGGGCCACAGCATTCCAATCATGCGTGAAAAAATATTAGCTTGCGTTCAGAATACTGGTCCTTTCAGGCACGACGTGAAGAATGGAACAAAGCTCGACAGACATACTGCGGCCAACTATTACCATGCTGATCCATGTTGGATTGCAGGGTATTAAGGAGTTTTTCGTGCGTGACGTATGGAAGGACTGCCAAGAAGTTTCCGAATACGTGAATCGTTTTCAATCTGCAAAAAGAGCGATTGCTGGAATTATGGAGGCGGCAACCCATGTGCGCCTAATATGCGTCGACAAGAAAAGCACACGGGAACTTGAAGACTTCCTCTGTCAACAAACTGAGATCCATACAGCTGCTCTACGACTCTTGAAAGATCATTACAACGAACTTTTGGGCAATATTCTTAGGGTTCAAGAGGTATGCCGTACGCGATTCCTCTTGCGATAAGGATATGGAGTTATGAGATTGCTGCAGAGAGCTGCATTACCCGTACCCTCTTTCTTCACTTAGTAGAGCGGTGGGTGCTTAAGCTATCGACAAGCAAGTCGGGTTGTCACACGTTCTCATTCGCAGCTGTTCAAGGAGCAGAACAAAGATGTACAAAGAGAATGGGCAGCATTTGTTGATAGAATAGACGCTGAATGGCGGGAGACACTGAGAAAAATTGCCCGAATGTCTCTTCAGGTGAGACTGATTCCCCAAGGGTCGTAGTTGTCGAGCTGGGCGGAAAGTTGAACAAATGCGGCTCAGGGTTCTGGCAGCCTTTTTGTAGAAACGAAGCGTTGGCGCTCAGTGTAATGTTTTTACCACCCTCACGGTCCAGCGTTCCCCGTTGATTTATGGCCCGTTTCGCCGCAGGAGCTTGCGACAGCGCTCTACCCAAAAGAAAGCAAGCGGAATTCCGTTGATGCGTATCCAATGCTGCGGATTTTTGCCGTGCTTTGCCTTGACGAGGTGGATGGGAACTGCAGTCGGATGATGTTTGACCCACCAATGGATAAATTGAAGACAACAATGGAAAGGGTCTGCAGCGACGCCATCCAAACACTGAGCTACTTGCCCAAACTGTCTGAATCATTGGAGGAAGGGTGAGTTGCCTTAATAGGATGACACAAGGAAAAGCCATCAAGCTTTTTCGAGCTTTCAAGCGAGGTAGAGCGGTCATATCGAGAGGCAGGCTCTATGCTCCATGTGTTTGTCACAGAGACGCACCAACGTCCTCGAGTGAGCAGGCGGAGCTAAGCCAATTGGGTCTTGCGCGTCAGATTAAAAACAACGTGGCATATTGCTCTGTTTCTATTACTGCAATGCCTTATTGGCTAATGTCGGTTCCAAGGAGCCTATTCTTTGTCTCTCTCAAGCCGTCTGGAGCAATGCCTGGTTTACCCACGCAGTACTCTAAGAGCTAACTGCGCGAACAAGGTCTGGTAAGCCCACGACCCATACGGATTTGCGTGGCATTTTTCATGCATGTTTTTGTAGGTGAGGAGGGATATTCTAAACCAGCAAACAGCTGGTATACTGCACTTGCTACAGACGAAGAGTGTGAAAAGCTTGCGTCACAGGTACAACTTTGGGCTGCTGCTGACGCATATGAGCATTCATGGGGCACTCAGTAACAGCTGCAAGAAAGTAAACCGGTGTGTACACTTAGAAACGATCTGCGATGCAATCCTCCGCGCAGGTCTCCCGATGCGTAGCAAGTACGGCCCATAAAGTCCTTGAACGCCTGAAATGGTGGAGCACCAATTATTCGTGCCTGGTGGAAGAGAATGCAGAAGCTTTAAGCCTATTGCTCCAGCGCTCGGAGCAGCCGTTACAGCTGGTTGTGTCTTCCATCCAGGAATACAGCGACTATCACAGTGATATACAACAGGAGGAATCAAAGGTTAGCTTATCAGTGTCTGAACAAGCCAGCAATTGCCTACTCATGGCTTGAACGCTCTCCGCTCTGGCGGGCTTCTTATGTACTGTTGATGCGTGCATGCCTTCAGACGGTTATTTGTTTCCTAGAGACGGACTTTACACAACTAAAACAGTCTTTGCTAGAGCAATGCCAGATTAAGCGAACGTCCTTCACAGCGTATTTGCACGAAAGTGCAAGGAAACAACAACATGAAGTCTTCGATTTTATTGAGTGTGAGCACGTAGAGCCCTCGCCTTCCTGAGAAAAACGGGTTTAATGCGATTTGTCTCTTCATGAGCTCCTCAAATACTGAGCGAGAAATCAATATGGTGAGTAGCACATTTGGCGTGGATGCATCGCGCAGCCAACAGCAAGATTCTACAGCGGGTACCCACGAATACCGAAGAGCTGCGGAATCAAGTGGAGCTATGCAGCTATTGCAAAGAGCAGCTACCATTCTTACGCAGCAAAATCCAGCCTATTCAGGAACAGTTTGCAACTCTTCGAGACTTGCGAGGTATAAGCCCGATTTGCAGTATCTAGGGTCAAGTACAGAGCTGCTTACAAATGTCATTTCAGAATGAACATAGCCCAGTAAGGCTGGTATAGAGCCAAATCTCCTTTGGTCTCCTGTCGAGACTAAAGGACATTTGCACTCCTTGAATTACAATTATTAATGTATGCCTGGATGGAGAGCGAAGACTTTGTTGGCGCCTGCGGAACTCTTGTGGAAATCATTTCAGTGAATGTTTCTGAAGAGGAAACTGCTAACCTTGGAAAACTCACGCCAGAGATCGACGGATTCGTGGCAACGCTAGAAGCTGCAGAGGCTATGCTCATTCGGTGCGATGCAAATGGTACCATAGAGAGCACGTGCACTGGGATGGTAGACTACGTCTCCATCCGCTGACCACAGAGCTCGCTGAACAGTGGACTATTATTGAAGAGGCCTCTCTCACACTTCACTGTAGAAACTTATCAGGCGATGCTTCCCATCGATTGACACCCAGAAAAGTTCACCATAGGCCTAGTATTTCTACAGAAAAAGGCTCAACGGTGTGTTTTGTACAACTTGTTCTGCCCGCGTGCCAGGACCAAAAAGGCAATGAAAGTGGATACGGAAATTCTTGTCAACGCTTTGGGAAGAAGGGCGTCTGAGCTCTTCAAACAATTTACTGCATCTGCTCCGTTTGACGGATCTTCCTTTAAGTACGAGGCGTCCACAGCTTTCGGCATTATACAGGGCTTCAAAGCTGAATTAAGCAAACTTTCTGCTGACCGGGACCAACTTATTCCTATCCTTGAATTCTTTGGCATTGAATATCACACTAGCCGGGACCTGGAGCAGATGCAGGGTGATATCGAAAAGCTATGGGACGTCTGGTCACTAAAGGTCAGTCACGTGCATTACCTGATGCACAGTTAATCTGCCCAACTTAACGCACAAAGCTAGTGCTACAGTACACAAGCAACATGCACTCAAGAGCCCATAGCTCCAACATACAGCTGCCTCCGCTTTGTGGAAACTGGACAGAATAAGTGGGACGCAGCGTGGGAGTCAATGAGTGCCAAGCCATTTTATTCACTGGACGTCCCAGAAATTCGTGCTCAAGGAGAGGCTTTCCTTGAAAGTCTCTTAAACATAAAGGAAGGAAGGGACTGGGCAATCTGGCGAAAGGTTCACCTGGAGCTGGAACAATTAACACAGGCGCTACCGCTCATTACGAACCTCTTAGACCCCGTTAGTAGCATACGAGCGCCTTGGTAGTACCGAAAGCCATATGCACTACAACCCTTAAAGGAACATGGAAGGAATTGAGCCTTTTGCATATTGGGGCTTTCCGTTTTCTCGTGAATGCATTTGGCCATGCTGTGGTATATAATGTCACGGATATAATAGTGATTGTAATGTGCATTCAGGCAATTCGAGATCGTCACTGGGACAGAATCAAAGCCGAAGTTGCAGAAAAGTTCGACCAACGCTCTCCCGATTTTACTTTGAAGTCCGTGTTTCACCTGGATCTCCTGAGACGATCCGGTGCGTCTCATAACACTTTCAAGACTTCCTTACGAATACACACACAGCCTTTGCTGTAAACCTGATAAACACGATGTATGCTCGGGCTCTTGCAGATTTGATCTCCCGTCTTACTGACGAAGCGCGGAAGGAATTCAAAATTGAGGCTGCTTTGAATGAAATCATAGCTGTGTGGAGTTCCTTAGAGCTTAACATAGTGCCATACAAGAACAACATGCTCCGCGTCGAGGCAGACGAGGGCCTTCTGGCTACGCTGGAAGAGCATTTGCTAAGTCTTTCGACCATAAAAAGCGACCAGTTTCACTTCCCGTTCAAGGACCTCGTGTCCTACTGGGAGGCGACTTTATCCACGATTGCTGAGCTTCTGGAGCTGCTGCAGCAGGTGCAAAGACAGTGGGAATATCTGGAAAATGTCTTCCGAGGTGGGTTGATGGCTTCCTTAGAACACGAATGCGGGAATGGTGTATCGTGACGATCCAAAGACAACTCATTCATTCATTGCTCATGCCATGACAGGATCTGAAGATATTCGCATTCTACTACCACAAGAGGCGACCTTATTTGACAGAACTGACAGGCTGTTCTTCTACACATTGCTTAACTTTCAGCAGGCCTCGACGTTGGTCAATGCATGCAGCCAGCCCAACATACGAGAAGAGCTTCGTCTCATGAATGATGATTTAGAAGATATACAAAAATCTCTGGACGACTATCTTGAGAGGAAGAGGTTTGTCCGATAGCACCCGATGCCGATTTTGCTTATCCAAATGCGCTTCGCCTCTCCATTTTCAAGCTAAGCTGTGTATTGTTTTCAGGCAAGAGTTCCCCCGCTTCTACTTTGTCTCTAATTCTGACATGCTGGAAATATTGGGAGAAGCAAAGGATCCAGAAAAGGTCCAGAAGCACATCAAGAAGTGCTTTCAAGGAATTAAGAACCTGGACCTTGTGCCACCCGGTGCGGCCAGCGTTCATTGTTGCTACCTTTGCGAAAATTTGAGCTCTTTAGGGTAGGCGCTTTAGGGTAAGCGCTGATTATCACATGACAGTTTTTTGAAGCGACGTTTGGCGACCATTTAGTTGTGCTTTGCAGGCAAACGTGGAAACAGGTGCTGGGAAGCTGACGGGTTTACTTCATGCGAAGGAGAGCGACTGAAATTCACTCCACGACCTGTGACAGTGGAAGGAGGAGTGGAGCAGTGGCTAAACAAGGTATAGAGAGCAGAAAGGGCAGCTTTTGAAGAAACCGGAGATCAATATGCTCTACACATCTCCAAGAATGCATAATGATCTCAGGGCTAATGCTGCCTGCAGATTACGCGAGCGATGCGCGATACTTTAACGAAACAACTGGTAGCTGTCCACCAGCAAAGTATGGCACATGGGACGAAGAAAGACAAGTGGATCAAAGACAACTGCTTTCAGCTGGTCATAACATCTTCCCAGATTAGTTGGTGAGCAAGTGCTTCTGCTAGCTGCCACTGAATTTTATTTTCTCCACTCAAACCACACTGACCCAGCCCCTTGTGAACTCCTCTTGCGTCACTAGGACTATGGAAACCGAAAGCGCTCTCCGCCGGCTCAGCAGAGGAAACAAATTGGCCCTTAAAACGTTGAAGCGCCATCAGTCGAGACAGCTTCTGCATCTGGCAGAACTTATGAAGAGGGCTGGGAGTGACAAAGAAAGGATGAAGCTAAAGCCACTAGTGACCGTTGAAGTACACAACAGAGACGTACATGTAAGAACGAAGTGCCTCGATGCCATATTGCACTATACCACTCCTGCACTTTCGCAGCAAGTAACGCAGATTGCTTCAATTGCACGTTCAAACGATTGCGCCTGCACAGGAAAAACTGATGCAGAGTCGCTGTGACAGCGAGCATCACTTTTCATGGACTTCACAGCTCAGAATGGAACTGCGGGAAGACATTCACGAACCAGAGAAAAGTGATCTGCACTCGGAAGAATGACAGTTGCGGCATGGCCTTTGTGAACACAGTGTTAAGTCACTGAAACAGTATCCATCGACTCACTATGTACCTTGTTGAAGTAGTCTTCTGTGTGTTTCCTTGCAGATGGTATTTCGGCCCCCTTAATGCAGCCTGGATTTTCAGGCGCCTTGGTATGCCAGTGCCTTCAAACGGAAACAGTTACTCCTTATGGCTACGAGTACCAGGGGATTTACAGTCGGCTGGTCATAACCCCACTGACAGACCAGTGTTTCATGGCGCTTACATTCGCTTTGCACTTGAGACTCGGCGGGTCGTGTCAAGGGCCTGCAGGAACTGGTCGGCAAACTCCACAGTTGCGTATGATATCTCAGGGAACCTGTTGATTGCTACTGTCATCCGTCATAATTATTTTTTTCGCTATAAGCACACTACAACCACGACTAAGTGATATGACAACTGCGTCGTCGGTTCCGTTCATTTGGTGCAGGAAAGACCGAGACCGTGAAAGACCTTGGAAAGACCCTGGGGAAATTTGTTATTGTTTTCAATTGCTCTGACGCACTAGACTACGTGTCTCTAGGGAGGATATTTAGTGGGCTGGCTCAAAGTGGCGCTTGGTGCTGCTTTGACGAGTTCAACCGAATTGGTTTGGAGGTCCTCTCCGTGGTTGCACAGCAAATATCAACTATTCAAAACGCCTTAAGGCAAGTAGCGTTTTTGATGTCTGATGCGTATGGAAATTACTCCATGGCGTCCGCATGATTATCCTACTCTCCTTCGTGCTTGTTCTGCAGGGAAATTGCGTCGGATGATCACGTCCAACGAAAGTTTTTTTTTGAGGGACAGAGGGTACGCCTAGACCCTGGCTGTGGAATATTCACCACCATGAATCCAGGGTACAGAGGGAGAGCCGAACTACCTGACAACCTGAAAAGCCTTTTCCGGCCAGTTGCGATGATGACACCGGATGCCGCTCTCATATGTGAAATTTTGCTGATGGCTGAGGGATTTGACGTAAGCTGCAACAGGTGCTACTTTCGTGCGTACCCGAGCGTCGTGGAGGCACGAACAATTCAGGGTCCCTTTATTTAATCATTCATGATTCTGCTGTGGACAACTTCAGAACGCTAGACTACTTTCACGGAAAGCTACTGCGCTCTTCCAGCTGATGGCGCAGCAGCTTAGCAAGCAGGACCACTATGATTTTGGACTACGCCCAATCCGTGCAGCACTGCAAAGGGCAGGGGAAATAAAGCGTCAGGCTAGTGAATCCATGGTGGAACAAGCTGCCGTAATCCAAGCAATCCTTGACATGGTTGTCCCCAAAACAGTGCCAGACGACTTGGATATTTTGTTTGCGCTTGTCAAGGATCTTTTTCCAGAAGCTGAACTTGCTGAAGTAAGCATGGTGTGCCTCAACTGGCCAGAACAGCAACGTAGCAACATGGGCAAGGTTCATGAGCGCGTGCTGCGCACTTTCTTCAGAGTGAATCCGAAACCCTTAGGGAGGCTCTGGAAGTGATCATAGAGAAGAACGGTTGGACTAAAGTTGACCATCAAGCAACTAAAGCTCAACAATTGTATCAGTGCATGCGCACTCGTCATGGAAATATGATGGTTGGAAGTACCCTCTCCGGAAAGTCTACGGTGTTGTCAATGCTTGAGCAAGCGTTGACCTACCTCAGTATTGGAGGTTAGCCTGCGTGGTTACGTATTCAAGTCGACATCAAGACTCTGAGTCCAATAGTTAGGATAAAGACGTATTTCACCAGGGAAAGAAATGCCAACTGCGGAGTGCGAGCCTGCTGAAACCTCAGGATTGGACTACCCTACCGTCAGGAGGTGCGTAGTCAACCCCAAGTCACTGGATGGGGCTGAGCTCTACGGTGGGTTCAGCCCCACTACACGAGAATGGACAGATGGCGTATTTTCAGCATTGCTTCGGACATGCTGCAACGAAGTTCAGCAGCAAAGCCGAAGCAGCAGATGGGTTGTGCTCGACGGGCCCGTGGACACAACATGGGTAGAAAGTATGAATTCGTTGCTCGATGACAACAAGACACTGACTTTAACAAATGGAGATCGAATTGAACTGCATTCCCAGGTGGGTGCTCCTTGACATAACAGCAGTCTTTGGCATTGAAATGCAAAAGTGGCCTTTTGCGCCATGCGGGGAGTTCGGCTCAGGTTTCATTGCTCTTTGAAGTAGAAAACCTGTCAGCAGCGTCTCCAGCAACCGTTAGTAGAGTGGGCATTCTCTTTATGGACCCCACAATGCTAGGTAGGACAGTAGCCCTGGAAACTAAAGCTTGCGTGGGAGGACAGATCAAGATGCACACTCTGAAAGGACTGAATATAATCATCGAAGTTATACGAAAGACATAGTGTGCACGGGCAAGGCTTAATGAGCGAAAATCTGGGAGGTGGGACTTGCGACGGTTTAGGTTGGGTACCGTACGTGGAAGCGTGGCTGTCCAGGCAATACGGCGCAGACGATTCAGCAAGATATCTTCGTTCTCTCTTCGACAAGTATCTTCCGAAAGTGCTGCAGGTATGGATATTCGTCAGAAAGTGGTGTTGCGCACCGGAAAGAGATTTAGACTTCAGGAACACACTTGTGCGATGGCGCACAAGGTATGACCCGGAAATGCGCACTATTCAGCTCCCACCAACAAGAGTAAACGCGTACGCCACCTATGATTGCTTCACAGAACCATGTTCCATCAATGACTTTTAACGCAGGCAGTAAATGATTGTGAGCAAGTCGTAAAACAGTCTGAAATAGGGGCAGTTATATCCCTATGTCGACTTTTTGGTGCATTCGCTTCGCAGTCAAACGTCAATGCCAAGGTCAGTGACCCACGCACTTCACGTTCGCTAAGCAGCGGTTGGTTTACCTGTAGTAGGGGGGAGCTTACCTGTTCGCTCTGTTGTCTGAAGTTGAACGTCAAGTGCAATTCTCTGTCTGCAAAGTCTCAGGGGCATGGAACGCAGTCCTTTTTGGAAAAGCTCTTCCTGTTCTCCCTCACATGGTCTGTCGGAGCAGCTGTTGCTGAAGCCAGCCGGCAACATTTTGATTCTACAATTCGTCAGCTGAGCAACAGCTTTCCGCCATTGCATACCGTTTATGATTATGCTTTGAGCTCGGAGAAGGGTGATTGGATTCTCTGGGAGGACCGGGTGCCGTCGCCATACAGGTAGCGCCCAGATGATTCATATTGAAAACCCTATCTCTCTGCAGGCTTTCTATACCTCGGAATATGCACTGTGGAGCGTCCCCATATAATTGTTGACACTTGTTCAGAAGTGTTGCATTCGGTCGCTTCACGGCCTTTGCCGCTCCGCTGAGGGTAACCCGTTGAAGAAGGCATGCAGTATATGTGCTGCCCCAGGCCTCTAGACGGCATGCCATTCCATCGGATTTTCGTTCCAACCGCGGATGTCGTATGTCATGCTTTCCTTTTGGGTGGACTGGTGAGACACAAAGTTAACTCACTCGTAGTTGGGAGCCGTGGCTGTGGAAAAACTTCCTGCATCAAGAAAGCCGTTATCGACGACCTACCGGACAGCGTCTATACAACCACTACACTTACGTTCTCCTCACAAACATCGTCAAAGGAAGCACAGGAGGTACGGCTTTGATGAGTTGCGTCCAGATAGTGAAAAGGGATGGCGTTTCGCATGCGTGTGGATTGCCCACATCAGTTGGCACTACTTGAGGGAGTTGCGCAGGGCTTCGAAAGCAAACTTGAAAAGCGAGTGAAAGGGAAGTGGGGGCCGTCTGGAAGAAAACTGCTGCTCTGTTATGTTGACGATCTGAATATGCCGAAGCCTGATGAATTTGGCTCCCAGCCGCCGCTCGAACTCCTCAGGCATTTTCTCGATTATGGCTGCTGGTAGGAAGGCACTGACCACAGAGTCTTCACGAAGGTTTATTGTTACACTCTTGCACTCGCAGTCTGCAGCATCTCAGTTGCAGATGAGCCATTTGTATCTGCAGGTACGATCGAAGCCGGCAGTCACTCAAGGTAGTGCTTGACATGCAACTTATTGCGGCCATGGGAGCTCCTGAAGGCGGCCGAGCGTCCATTTCCTCTCGCTTACTTTCGCGATTCAACACTATCGCCTTTCTTGAGCCCCCATTGCCACGAATAAATCGGATCTACCAAACTCTTGTAGTCCACAAGTTCTCCGACTTCAAAGAGGTGAAAGTTAGTCGGATATGTTTGAGCATTGCATCAGATCACTTTAACGCATCCCACCACAATTTTTGCGATTGCGCTGCACGTCTATGCACACTCCGCACCATTCAGGACGTGAGGGGCGTCGCAGAGAACATTGCTGTATCAACTGTCGCTTTGCACCAAGCAGTCCGGCAGACATTCAGACCAAAGCCTGGAAAACCGCACTACCTATTCAGCATGCGCGACATGTCAAAAGTGGTGCAAGGTCTATATCAAGCTGATCATCGGTGCATTGAGGATAGGGACGTCTTGTTAAAGTTGTGGTCCGCCACAAATAACAGCCATGTCAAACATACACTGGAAAGACGCCGCCTAACAAGCTCTTGAGCTTCATACAATCGTAAAATCACAGCTAATCAAAGCTTAGTGTGCTTTTTTGGGGTCTGTACAAAGGTATCATGAATGCCAGCGCGTGTATCAAGATCGTTTGGCATCTACTTTGGATGTAGATCGCTTTACAGAGATATTGGACAGCATTCTTGAGAAGAACTTTCAGATGCGGACAAAGGAGTTGACGAAGGAACGGGGCATTCTGTTTAGCCACATGCGGCTAGAGCAGTCGGGCGCCTTGTCACTGGGAGGATACGAGGAAGTGCAGGATCGCCAAGCGCTACGATTGAGTCTACGCCAAAAGCTAAACGAGATCAATGCAACCAGCACCACCGGAGCAATCCACCTTGTCCTTTTTAAGTAAGCTACCTGCTGAACTCGTGGATATTCGCCGTAGCCGTCTGCTAATTATGGGACTTGCGTTATACAAACCTTTGGGAAGAAGATTTCCTCGCACTTCTCAAGACGTATGGGCTCACAGAGTAGTTGATCTGTGCCGCATAATTTAATATCAACCGCAACAGTCCTTTTTGTGCCGTTTTTATTCAGAGAGGCAGTCGAACATTGCTGTCGGATACACAGAACACTTTGTATGCCAAGAGGCCACATGCTGCTGGTTGGTATTGGAGGTAGTGGAAGAAAATCGCTGGCTACATTTGCGACAAAACTACTGAAGCTAAACCTCTGGCGAATTCGAGTGACGAAGAACTTTACTGTTCGAGACTTTCAAGAAGAGTTAAAGCAACATATTGTGAAGGCAGGTAAGGCTACGCCCTTTCAGCCTTGCATCGAAGAAGACTTGCTTTAAGACTGGCCAGCTGTTTCCAAAACAACCGAAGCGCATCTGGTGCGTTTGAATTCAGGGAGAGATGGTATTCGCTCAAGCCTACTGCTAACGGATAAAGACCTCAAGACTGACGCATTCGCAGACTGCCTGAACAGCTTATTAGGTTCTGGGCAAGTCCCGGGAATGCTGGATGCTGAAAGCCTTGGACTGCTGCTTAAGGACCTTCAGCCAGCAGCTGATGCTGCGAGGGTTTCAATGCCGCCGGATGCAATGCTTGAGTTCTTTCTAGGACGCGTTAGAGAAAATCTTCGTGTTCTTCTCTGCGTTAGTCCAATCGGGAGCACCATGAGGGACTACTGCAGGTATAGAACAGTAACAGCACGTTCGCAACCTAAACTCACGAATCCGTGTATGCAGCTTGCTTTGGCGGTTCACCCCTCCGCATAACTGGCAAAGTCGTGTAGACAATTTTTGCCTCCAGGATGTTCCCTGCATTCATCAACGAAACAACAATTGACTGGTTCTTCACATGGCCCCAGGAAGCTCTTGAGGAGGTTGCTGCCACATTCCTGGAGTCTGCTGATATGGAAGCTAGCACTCGAGAAGCAGTTGCGCGTGCCAGTAGCTATGTTCACATGGATGCTGTAAGCGAGGCCGAGGCCTTTCGGAAAGAGGCCAAGAGGACCAGCTTCATCACGCCTACGAAGTTTCTTCGGCTCGTTCGGGTGAGATTAAGTTTTTTCCCCATATGAATTGCTGATTAGATTCCTATAATTGTTGTTAATATTCTTGGATGGATGCGTAGGGGTATTGCCACACGCTTAAGGAGAAGAAAGATCGAGTCCACGAAAAGATTGATAAACTGTCAAGTGGTCTGGGCAAGCTAGTAGAGGCTCGTGAGCAGGTAGAGGCAATGAATGAAGAACTTGAGGCCAAAAAGGAGGACGTCGCAAGAAAACAGCGAGAGTGCGACGAGCTTATGGTGGTTATTGTCGAGAAACGCACTCTAGCAGATGAACAAATGAAACAGGTATCATCGTAGCTAATGGATTTCTTCAGTGCCTCGTGTATTGGCGTCTCCCTTCTCAAACAGAGAAACCACCATCTTTTCACCCTGATGCTTAGCTTTCCTCACCATTTTACAGCAAAAAGATACGCTATTCAAACCCTTGACCAGCAAAACCTGAGAAATCCTGCCCCCTTCCAATGATCTCCAGGATATTGCACCTCGTCCATCTTCAGGTTGAAGCTGACAGCGCCCGTATCCAGACCGAAGAAATGGAAACAAAACTTCTTTCAGACGAAGCCAGGCGGGATCTTGCCAAGGCGATGCCAGCCCTAGAAGCAGCAATAGATGCTCTTGAGAAGCTTGATAAGAAATCCGTGGCGGAGGTCAAAGCATACACCAAACCGCCAGGTCTTTGAACCACCCCTTGTCTTACTCGTCAGGCAGATTTTGCAACTGACGTCATGATCCCTTGATATTGACAGTCAATTGTTTAGCGGAGTTTGTTGAATGTTGCAGATCTCGTAGTCAAAACGATGGCAGCTGTTATGACAGTCATGGAAAAATCACCCTCATGGTCTCAGGCAAAAATCGAACTCAACGACCCCAGCTTCTTGACAAGGGTTAAAAACTTCGACAAGGATTCAATAACAAATGCGACCTTAAAAAAGATCGAGAAATTCACGAAGGACCCTTCATTTGCACCGCCAAACGTGCAGAAAGTGTCTCGCGCTGCTGGAGCCTTGTGCTTGTGGGTTCATGCAATGCAAATGTACGCGGAGGTTTACCGGGAGGTGGAGCCAAAGCGTTTGAAGCTGCGCCTTGCAGAGGAAGAGCTGGAAAAGAAGCAGAGCGACCTGCGGCTTGCTCGCAAAAGGTAAGGGGTAACGTACATCAGCATACTCATGCCTGAGCATGAGCTTGAACTGGCTGCTAGGGGCAGAAAACAATCAATGTGACTAACTGCGTGGCTCCTGCGCAGCCTAGAGGACATTCAAGGAAGACTCGAGGAACTGAATAATCAATATGACGAAAGCCTTCGCAACAAGAGTGAGCTAAACAGCTCGGCTGAGGAATTGCGAGTAAAGCTGGAAAGAGCAGAAAGCCTGATCACTGGTTTGGCTGACGAGAGAGATCGGTGGGAGCTGTCCCTGGAAAGCTACAAAGATAAGTTAGGCAACATCCCTGGGGATGCTCTCCTTGGATCAGCCTTCATGTCATATGCTGGCCCATTCACATCATCGTACAGGTCTCATCTTGTGAGTTCACTGGGTTGCTAGATGGTAACGAGTTTATAGTAGCATCGTCCAGAAATGAAAAACCCAATATTGAACGTACTTCACGGGGGACAAAGCACAAAATCGAAAAGCGCGCCTCTTCGTGGTTACGTGGCATTTTTTGCAGGTAAAAGATCTTTGGATTGGCAAAGTGCAAGCTGAGACCATCCCCTGTAGCGCCGATTTTGATTTCACTGATTTTTTCGTGACTCCTGTAGACGTTAGACAGTGGCAACTGGATGGGCTCCCAACAGACCCGTTTTCGGCTGAAAATGGCGTGTTAATAACAAAGGCTTCGAAGTGGCCTTTGATTATTGACCCTCAAAATCAAGCTAATCGCTGGATTAGGAAGCTGAAGTCTTCACAGATCACGGTAAAATATCGGAGCATGCAGGTTCTTCTTCGTCGCGTATCTCACAAGGTAGAGTGCCTATAGGAAGGCCAGAGGCTATAGGGCATGCGCCGTTTTTCTTCGCTCTGCATCCCAGGTGGTCGACCCCGAGTCAAATTCACTCCTGCGAATTCTCCATCTTTCAGTACAAACAGGACGATGCGTATTGCTTGAGCGCCTGCAAACCCAAATTGACCCATCTCTTGAGCCCATCATTACTAAGAACATTGTGGATGTCAACGGGAAGCGGCTCATTAGCATTGGTGGGGAAATAAGCAGGGCGGTTCGGGAGCTGTCTAAACGTATGGACACGCTAAACCCTAAGCCCTTTAGAAGTGGAAAACTGCCATGCGTTGTGCGGTCCCTTAATACAGGAGAACAGCTTGTGCCTTTTGATGACAGCTTTTCGCTTTGGATGACGACGAAAATCGGGAATCCCTTGTTTCCTCCTGAGATAGAGGCTGAAGTCACACTAATTAACTTTGTTATAATGCAGGATGGGCTCACAGAGCAGTTGTTGGTCAGCACGAAAACATACCGTTCATTGCTTCTCTCTGAAATTCATTAGGCGCCTTTCACTACAGGCAGACACGGAGTGCTGAACAGCAAAAGAAAACAACACAAGGAGAACAGCTGACAGCCATTGGCTCAGGCATTCAACTGTGCGACAGGAATGTCTGGTATTGCTAGTATGCTGAGGAAACGAACATCAGTATTTATCTGACAACTGCGGACGATGCAGGGAATCGTCGTCATGAAGGAAGAGCCAAGTCTAGAGGCACATAAGCACACCCTAGTATTAAGGCTTGCTGAAGGGCAGAAACGGTTGCAAGACATTGAGGACCAAATTTTAAGGCTGCTAACCGATGCAAGAGGCTGTCTTCTGGATGATCTCGAGCTGATTCGAGTGCTTCAGGTACTCCTGGAGACTCTGTAGATCGTTTGCACCTGCCCTGGAGGTGTGCTGTAATCATTGATCAGTATGTAGACCATAGGGCTATCAAACAAACGGACTTGGCCATTCCCATGGGTAGAAACACGGCTCAACGGTAGGTGAGAGCAACCGAATTAAAATGCGCGTGCCAGAAAGAGCATATCTCTGGTTCAGGATTCAAAACGCGTCGCAGGGGAAGTTAGTTCCCAAATTGAAGTTTCCGAACGCACTATGAGGAAGATTGATCAAGCGAGGGAGGCGTACCGGTAACGTTCCAAAAAACGCGCTGACCCAAGCACCAGTTCTAGTGATGGGATAATGCCCGAGGCCTACAGGTCACGTAAAGCGGCAAGATGAGCACTCCGTCTTGTTCTATTCAGGCCGTGCGGTCACCGAGCATCAGTTCTGTACTTTGTGTTACAAGATCTGGCAATGGCGGACTCCATGTATCAATTCTCTCTTGACGCCTATGAGGAACTGTTTGTGGAATCAATTCAAGGGGCGATGGAATCCAGTGCAATGGCCGCCTCCGCAGAAGACCACGTCATGACACTGAATACAGATCACACGCTAGCCGTGTACAAGTGAGAACAACAAACAATTAATTATTCACTTTTGAAGCACGCCTCGGCGGACAAACAGCCCGTTCGAAGAAAGAAGGCAAGCACGTACTCTTTGTGGTGCATGTCGTGCTGCTAAACAGGTACGCAAGGCAAGGAATATTTGAACGGCATAAACCCCTACTGAGCCTCCACTTGTGTGCTAGCGTGCTTCTTGCTGAAGATCAGATCAACAGGCAAGAATATGCCTTTCTGTTTACTCATGGGGGAGTCCCTGACTCACCTCCGCTTGTTGCTAATCCTGATCCGGAGTGGATTTCGCCATCAGTGTGGCAGCTTATTTGCAAGGCTGACCAACTGGAAGGCCTCCAAGGGTTGCAAAGCTCAATAGAACAAAACATAAGGTATGATGCGCTGATGGTTACTCGAAATCAGGGGTCTTGGCGGCTTGGTAATCTGCACCAATGTGTTGCCTCCCCGGTGGCCATTTAGGCAGCTACGCCCGTATTGTACTTTGGGAGAGTTCGCGCGGTTGTCGAGGTGATATTGAATGCAGGGAGTGGCGCCGGTGGTTTGGCTCCCCAGAGCCTGAGCGAGCTGCACTGCCCGGTGACTGGCAAAATAGACTGGACGCTCTCCAGAGGCTAATTGTCATTAGGTGTCTTCGTCCGGACAGAATAATCCCTGCGTCGTCTCGGTTCGTCACCGAGTCTATGGACTCTAAGTTCGTTGAGTGCTCGCCACTGGATTGGGAAGAATTGTTGTCATCGTCCAAAAACTCGGTTCCACTGCTCTTCATCCTGTCTGGAGTAGATCCTGTTGGGCAGCTTTTGTCCTTCGCCACTTCAAAAGGCACAACTGTGAGAAGCCGAGCAGGCAGAACTTGCAGTGACGAGATTTTCTACTTGCTCCTCTACGTAATTTGGGCTGCTGACACTTCACGTTTAATTGCGGCGTTCTTGTATTTAAACCAGGTAGTTTCTGTTGCACTAGGCCAAGGGCAAGCACTGAGGGCAGAACAAGTTATTCGTGACGGTGCGCGTCATGGCTTTTGGGTTTTCCTGGCAAACTGCCACCTTGCTATCTCTTGGCTGCCGGCACTCGAAAAGCTAGCCGAAGAGATTCTTGAAGCTCATCTTCATCCAGACTTTAGGCTGTGGCTTAGCTCTGAGCCTACACCTGATTTTCCGCTTGCCCTATTGCAAAGGTACTGCACAAATATTATGCAACTGTGGAAAATGAGGATCATAGGCTCCACTGCTCCACCCAAACAACGGTCAGCTGGCGAACAGCGGTGAGCCGGAGCTTGCTGCTCGTCATACTGCGGTTCGTTCTAAACCTGCAGGTCGACGAAAATATGTATAGAAAGACCGCGTGGATTGAAAGCCAATCTCCAGCGCTTGTTGCAACACCGCACCGAGGATGACATGCAGCGCTTGGCTGCAGGCGAGGAACGCTACAAGCGGCTTTTCTTCTCCCTATGCTGGCTGCACTCTTTACTTATCGAAAGAGGGAAATTCCACAATTTCGGGTGGAACACACCTACCAGTTTCAGCGACAGCGACTTCTTCGTGGGGGACAGCCTTCTTGCCACTTACTGTGAACAGGTACTTCATCGTTCCCGATTACCTTAAGAGGGCAGCATCTTCTGCATAGAATCTGCGTTTGCAGGAATTCTTCGCTCACTGCATTGCGTTGGGTGATGCAGTCTACAGGTGAATTCCCCTGGGATGCAGTACGCTTTCGGATTGCAGGAGCTTGTTATGGTGGCCGCTTAACTGACGAAAGGGACATGCGACTGCTGCGAGTGTACTGTAACGATTGTTTTAATCAACAAGTGTTGTCGAACGACTTTAAGTTTCAAGGACTCCAGCAGTATCCTATGCCTGAGGACACATCTTTGGTATGAAAAGTTTCTTTCTCGCGTCCAGGTGGCACTCGAAATAAATGGACACGCATGCTTGATTGTAGCCACCCCTCGAATGAACGGGGGTCGCACATGTTTGCTAACATCACACACAGAAATTGAAATCGTTAGCCAACGCTTGCAGACTCGCCGCAATATCATGTCCCTTTTGTTTGCCAAGCGGCCACCAAGTACTGCTTTCCGGTTTGTGCGCATTCGTCCAGGCGGGCCTCCGGCAGTACGTTCGCGAGCTGCCAGCAATAGATCCACCCGAGCTATTTGGTCAGCATGTTAATGCCGAAATCCAGTCGCAGATAGAAGAGGCCGAAGAACTTTTCGCAACTCTCCTGAGTATCCAACTCCCAGGGGCTGATCTCAGCGACACTGGAGACGCTGAATCCCGAGAATCTAGGGTATGCAAACACTAGGTAATACGAATATAACTGCATCCTCGACTTTCCATCGTTATCTCAAGTTGCTTTGACGGTAACGTGGAGGCGAGAACAGCTCTGCACCCAGCAGCTTAAACTACATGTGTATGCCATTACCTTCATATCCAGCCTTTGTAACGTACAGGTATTGCGGTGTTGTGATAACCTCGAAAACGTACTTCCCAACCATATAGACATTGCAAGGATGGAACAAGCAACGCTTGAAGACATGTCGCCTCTACGGGTCGTAATGATACAGGAAGCTCAGCGTCTCAACAGGCTTCTAACGTGCGTCACAGAGACGGTGCGCCATCTAAAGAGGGGTGTCGCAGGTCTTGTCGTGATGTCAGAAGATTTGGAAGACCTACAATGCTCTTTGCTGAACGGAAAGGTCCCACAATGCTGGGAATTCGCTTTCCCGTCACTGAAACCCCTGACTTCTTGGGCGTACGATGTAGCCGCACGCGTGGAGCAAATAAGCAAATGGGGCCTCGTAAGTTGACGTCATTGCCTCTTTCATTACTTTTGCTCATTGGTAGCATCGAGAAGATGTCGACCTACTTGGCGAAAAATTTTCATTCGAGTGCTCTGGATGAATAACATTTTTTCAGTATGCATGCCTATTACTTTATTTCGCAATGCTCTCCTCATGCGGTGCGTTCATTAGGAGGGACCGCCCAAGGCTTTCTGGTTAGGGGGGTTAACGTACCCAAGCGCCTTCTTGACGGCGCTTTTGCAGCAATTCGCCAGACGGAATTCAATATCAGTTGATACCATTAGCTTCGAATTCATAGCACTGGTACTTTCGCCGGTTATATTTAGAACAAACAACAACCACAAGATGGAGTACCGATTTGTCAGCTTTTCATAGTCAACCGAGCTAGAGGCGCATGATTGTTCCACGTGCAGTTTGCCTGCGCCCTTTTCAGACTACATACGACGAAAACACAATTGCGTCAGCGCCACGGGACGGGGCATACGTAAAACGGCTGTATCTCGAAGGCGCGTCATGGAATGTTGATGGCATGTCTCTTCGGGAACCGGAGCCCATGCAACTCATCTGCGAAATGCCAGTTGTCCACTTCAAGCCAGTAGCCCGCAGACGCGCTCCTTTAGATATGCCTTATATGTGTCCTATTTATCAATACCCCTGCCGTACAGGGAGCAATGGTAGGCCATCCCTGGTAACTATGCAAGAAATAAGGAGCGGAACGCAAGATCCTTCCTTTTGGATAAAGCGAGGCACTGCCATCTTGCTATCTACAGCTTCGTAACAGCGACTGCGTTTGTCCCAGCTCTTTTGTGAAAACTTCCCGAATGTGCGGCCTTCCTGACTGCTACCTGCCTCACTCTAGAAATGATGCTATACTTAAGTAAAGTGCTCCCTTAGCGCAAGCTCGATGAGCAGAGAAAACTTCACCCTGACAGCCAACGTCCAAAACAGGGTAGCTGTAAGTCGCTTGGAATCGGCAATCGTGAAACTGCTTGCCTAAGGAGGACCATTCCAGGCGCAGATGTGTCATTCAGAACAACTCACATGACATGCTTTCCCTTCTATGTTTTGTTACCTACCGGCTCAATATCCATACTTTCCTGGTGGAAATATCTGCAAACAGATGCTTAAGAGGCGCCAACCGCTTGGGAGACAAAAAAATACATGGTTAGGCTGTCTTCGCTGAATGGGAAACAGGGCACTGCTTTCCCTTCCCCCGTAGAATGCTGGTTGCTGACGCACTGGGAAGTGCTAATTAGCATCCATGCTAACCTGCCTTCTTCATCAAAAGAACTACTGCCGTACTTTAGCTCCACTTCACGGGCCTTCACCGTCAATACTGCTTGGCCCTGACGGAGTGCTAGTTGGCATTGAGCCTTGGAAGTACATGAAAGAAGATAGAACATGAATCGCTTCCCACTTACTATTAACAATCATGCTCGTGTTTTCCAACTGACCTTCGTGTAATGTTGACGCTCGCTGATTGTATTCATTTGTGTGCCGTCTGTTCTAGGATGGCAAATCACTGGTATTTGAACAAAACGCGTAGGTCTACATAGTATAACGCACCCAGATCCGCCAGCCTGCGCGAGTCTTGAGGCAAATCACAAGCTCAATCGGTAGATCTGGTGAAGTAACATCTCAACAGGGTGCTTGACTTGTTAATTGGGGTGAAACTCACGAAAGTGCGGGACCAAGCAGTCCTTAGGGGTAAATGAAATTCTAATATTTTTACCCTTGTCAATTGGAAACTCTACTACTCTGCGAACGGCTTTTGCCGCAAGTGTTATCGCCTGTTTCGAAGCCGTAAGGCAGCGCGACTCTTCCAGGGCGCATTTAATTCGAAACCCAAGCCTTAAGCCAGCCATGCTAAATCGCATGATCGGTGTATATGAAACTCATGGGCAGCGCACATAGAGGCAGCTTCTTTCGCTTCGACTGGAAACCGTAGCCCAAATAGGCTTCTGCCCATGCTCGGCAGGTGACCTGCTCGACGGCGTGTAAGATCTGCGCAGTTCACCCTAGTCAGAGGTCACAGCTACCCCACATAAACTACATTTAAATTAACGGAAGGCCAATATGGTTTATTTTCCCATATAGTAGCCGCAGCTGCCCCGTTTCTTCGAGTAGCCTCTAGTGTGCTTCAAGCCCACCGCTGCATATGCACTGCGAGTGGAGAACGTGCCACGTAGGTCCTGGCGGCTGACTATGGATAAATCTGGTGAACGGTAGGAACAGTTTGCGGTCGCTTTGCTACGCTACAAAGAACTGTGTTACTAGATGTAGAGTTGGATTTGCCCTCTGTAACGCTGGAGTCCCCGGAGATATAAACTGGCCACTCGCGGGACCAAGGGTTAGAGCAAATGCCGTGTTTTGGCCGACGCAAATGCTAGAACACAGGGGCATAACTCCATAAACACGATTCCAGAATACTTGAATGCTCGGCATTATGGCGTGTGCCCTGTGCTACCTGAACTACGGCAGAGCCCCAAGGCCCACATACCGAAGACGTCCCAGATTCGAACTTCACGTAACCATAAGTGAGCCCTTATCGCATAGCGTAGGCCTAACGATAAAATAAAAATTCCACATTGCATGAGAAAAGGAAACAGAGCGAGGTCAGTAATCGGGGATGAACGCGCTTGCGTTTCCCGTCCATCGCATCGCAAGTGCTTGCCGGACACTGGGATCCACACAAGCAGTACAAGGCTAAGCAGGAGATTAACGCCCGTGAAACCCAAGGAACCGCTCCCCGCAGGGAAGGCTGAGCTCATGCAAAGTGGCTGTTCCGATTGCGTGACACTCGGTCCGGTGCTCGTCCGTCTTGCTCGCCGACAGTAGTTCAACAACGACAATCCTTTCACTCAAAGCGCTTATGAGTTGCTCCCTATGCACCCATCCTATACTTTTTGAACTCTGCAGAGTCAATCATTCGTCGCGGTGATGCAGGCCTAGCGAGCACATGAGTTTTAAGCCTCCCCTATAACTCAGCCAATCGCTGAAAAACCATACTGTGGAAAACGTTGCCCACCCCGTTATTGATGGGGGAAATATATCCCCTTCTTCGATCAATTTTCGCGCAACGAGCTCCTCGAAAGCGTTATGCTGCCAGGATTCGGCAATACCCTGAGCTGCTTGTGGTTTATGCAGAGGTGCGGCTCCTCGTAAATGCAAAAATCCTCCGGCACCTTTTTGAATGTGACGGCTAAGCGCGCGTGGCAGCATATCGCTCTGTCTTAACGGCAGGAAAAAGCAGTTCTCGTGACTGCATTGGTTTGTTCCGTCTAGCATATTCAGTCAAAGAAAGCTTCCACTTAAGAGAAATAGTGGGGACAAAGTAAGAATGAGAAAGTCAAATTTGGTGCAGTGCCCTGTGGGGACGACTCATATTGGAGGTCAGGATTTAGCCCGGCAACAGGTACTGATTGTCGATAGTACGACGTTGGCGTGTGTCACGAACACGCAGGTTCTCTTGTACACTGTCCACAATTTTCCACCACTTTGTGGGGGAGATACCAGCCCACCTCCAGAAGGAAGGTGCCTTGAAAACCCTTACTTGTTGCATTCTTCAAATGACTTTGAGGATGATGGCGGAGTGTCTGCAGTCGCAGTGGACAACGACCACGAGCTCATCGCCGTCTGCGGCAGAAGTATCGGCAAGCCTGCAAGTGAGGACCACTAATATGTTTTTCGGTCATGATCGAGGTATTAAAAGTGCTAGTGCCCTCCCCATCGTTGGCTGTCATCCTGCTACTTAGTGTAGGGACCATCATTCAACCTTTGGTTTTCAGCTACGGCAGTTCGCAGTCACTCGGCTTGGACAAGCTTTCGGGCTGGCCGCGCTGTTGACTGGAGGGGGATACATACAAATTCTCACACGGAGACGTTGCACAAGCTATCCCTTTCTAGCTGTGGAGGTCATGCAACACTTCCAGGGGTTCATGCTTGTTTTCGTAAAATTTGGCAGGCATTTATGTGTATTCAACAAGAACCTTAGAGCGAGTGCGGCAATGCAAGGCCTTTAGCGAGCGTGGTTTTTCCGTTGCAACTTTCCGTGGAAAGTTTTCTTCAAATGGCACAGAAGCTAGTACCGTTAAGCAGCATCCTACTACTACGAAGCGCTGTGGGGATACGTTACCTCAAGATGACGGTGATAGCACGCCACAAAACAATGTTGAACAAGATGTGAATCACCAAATGAGTGCAGTGGAGTCTCTCTCCACAGACATCGCAACAGGGGAGCATGCAGGCGGCAGCGCGACAGAGGAGGAATTATATGATCCTCAACAAGTGCCGTTGCTGGCTGTTGTCGGATGGGAGGGTGAAGGCGGAGAAAGAGCATCACTTTCCTGCTGTTTCCTCACACTCTGGAACATCTCCACAGGGCGCCCATTCCTCCGAATGAAGACTCCTGCACTGCAAGTGATATCACTAGAATGGTATGGCCCGCAGGGTGCCCACGTTCCGCATACAATTTAGCAAACACGCAGCTGCATTTTGCTGTGTGAAAAGCTGCCACTCTACCCCGCACCGCCCCCCTGAACGGCTGTACGATGGTTGACGCCTAGGTCACCCTTCTTCGCTTACCAGCTTACATCTTCGGGGTCACGCCATATTCGGCTATGGACAGCTGTGCAGACGTTTACTGGGCTCAAGCTGAAGGTCCGTTTTGTTCAGTTCCATACAACATTTCTTTACTTCACGGTTTATTCCCTGACCAGCACAACACAACGCTGCAAGCATCAACTGCAGGAGTATGGGAAGGTCGAAAACCTCGCGTGGAAGTGACAATCACAATGGTAGTATGCGACTCAGGGAAGAACTTGCAGATTTGGTCAACTGACTGTTTCCGACGTCCCAAGCTTTGTCGAGCTCACAGGGCAAATGCTGCTCTCTGGCTCTGACTCGGGCAAGCTACTTCTGTGGGAGGTGATCCAGCCCGCTTCAGAACATGCATACGGCACTACTCTGTAGCGCTAAAACAACTATTCAACGGTGCCTAAAACATATTGTTTCCTTGCACGACAGCAAGCAGAAGCCGGCTTGCGCTTGGATGTGACGAGGCACGGTGTGTACCTTCTGCGCGACGCTACGCCGCAGGATGGAAATATTAAGGCAGAAGTGCTACAGCTGCAGCCCAGCACGATCAGTTCCTACCGTAGAAGTTTAAGCGTTGCGAGAGACCAGATAGAAAATCTCCAAACATTACGGGCTCCTTCAGGAACAGGGCGTATTCGTAGCAACCCTAGAGGGTCTGTTCGGTCTGGGCGTAGAGGCTCTTCAATTCTGCATTTGGAAGCTACTCACGGACAAGAATTGCAGGGCGAATCAGCTCAGCCCAATAAACTGCCAGTTGTGTGCCATCGAGGCACCATCAACAGCGTGTTTAGAGATCCAAGAAATGACAGTCACGTAGTCTCCGCTGGTGACGACGGGCAAATGAAATGGTAATTCAATAAGTTCGTCCCTTGCTCACGCACTTGATACAGTTTCGCCTTCAGGTACTTACGCTGGAGATGGAAACTGCGAAACTTAGCTTCGCTGATATGCTCGGTTTACTTACAGGTGGGCCGCAGATGAGGTTCTGGAAGCAGTCAGCTACATGACAGAAGAGTCCATTGTTGCAATTTCAGTTACTAAGGTCTTTACCATGCCAGAGGAAATGCCAATCAAGCGGGTTCTACCCCATAGGTTAGTCATTGTATGCCATGCTTGCCACACTGGCCAGAGGTTCGACAGGCACTGCCACACACTACTTATCAGCGGATGCTTTGGACGCCTGGCTTCAGGTTAGCCTTCTTCACAAAGGCAAAGCTCATGTCTATTTGATTGAAACGCCCCCAACCTTGCGGATTCCTCTTTTGTACAGGGATAGTGCATGCCCATTCTGGATAATAGTTGCTGGGTGCGGCATAACGTGGCTTTTTGCTCCGGACTCAAATTGCTTACTTAAGGTAAGGATTGCCTTCAGTTTCTGTTGCCGCTAGTTCATTTGTGCTTCCAATAATGCTTAGACCATGTGCCTGCACTGTACAGCCGCCTAAAATCCGGCTGATACATTTTGAGGTACGTTCCTATTAGGCATTTGATTTCCATGCCTCAAGTGTCCTTGTTGCGATGGAAGTCGTCAATGAGACAAAACGAACCAGGTGTGGTAAGCTTTGTAGCCGACTACGCTCTTCTAAAGCTAGTAGTTTGTACTACTAAGTAGCTGTTAGTCTGTGGCAAGTTACCACCCAGGAGGGGCTCAGCATTCTGGGGACTGGCTTAAGCCTAGCAGCTGTGCTTAAAGCATTTGCAGGCGCGCGGCAGCACTACTGTACTAGCTGCTTGTTGTATCGGTTCTCAGCACGGTGCACGGTCGCGGTTTTGTTTTGACTCCACGATGCTATGCAGACTTGTTAACTGTTGGAGCTGATGGATCCATACGCACTTGGGGAAGCCCACCGTGCCTCATGCCAGTGACCTGCCGGTATTTCATTTGCCTCTATCTCCTGCACGCCGAAGCAGGTTGACTATTATGTCCGCCGCCTGCGAGTCCTCATTCCCTGCCATGGAGGATGAAACCATTGGCTGTTAACGCAGGCGCTGGCCGAACGAGATCCGGTGCATTTCGCTGATGCCACAGGCAAGACAAAACAGCTGCCCCCTCTTCCTCTTCGGCTCCTCTGATGGAGTTGTTAGACTGTCTTCAGCTTCCAGGAACGGGGCACACCTTCTCATGGCCATAAAGACGCATGCATGCGCAGTCGCACACTTGGCTGTCGACCCTGCAGGTACAAAAATATGTTTTGCAGAAAACCTAGGCCAAGAGCCTTAAATCACTCTTGGATTCACTGGTACTTTCTGCATATATTGCGTTCTCTGCCAGCTTTAAGAACCCCGTAAAGTCACACTGGCTGCTTCGTTGCTCACATCTGCCTGTGCACTGGCGCTTTGTTGTAGTGATCATGTTGGGTCTCCTCAGGGCAGCACCTGGCGGTGTTGGGTGACGATGGGTTATTGCTGCTTCTGAAACTTGCCCAATGCCATCGACGAGAGACACAACTAACAGCAAATGACGATGTGGAGAATGTAGGGGACTCTCAGTATGCGCAAAGCCGATGGCAAGCAGAGCCCCTAGGGTTCATAAAAACTCCCGAACCCTTGACACGGCTGATGTGGGAGCATCCAGTGCACCTGCTAGGCCTGGCAAGAGATGCAGCAATATTCGTGCTGACTGGGCTCGAACAGCTTAGCACGCTACCTCGTAGAAACGGGACTAATGACACCGCCAACATGGGTCTGGTGGATGGCGCAAAAGCTCTCGGTGCCGAGCAGAAAGTGCCCACCGGTGACGTGGCTGCGGACGAACCAGGCAGCGAAGATATGAGCTCAGACTATACCGGCGACGATGGTTCGCAGGAAGAAGAGTGTGACCCCGCAGATAGAGATGCCGGAAGCGGCTCTCCACTCCCCCAGTCCGAGTCTGCCCTAAGTGCCGCAGAAGATCCATTAGATCTAACTCAAGTTCTCTTTTTCAGGCAAGGATAGTGGGATATCAGACAGGCAGCCTCGATAGTGACCCTTTAGTAGGGTCTGAAAGAAGTAGAGTTTTTCCACTATCGATTTGGCGATCCTCGATGGATTCAGTGTACAGGGCTACCTGGCGCTTACTAACGGTTCCGCCTTCCGCCTGCCATTTATTATTTCAAACGTTCTACTGGATGCTTCAGTGTAAATGCAACAGTTATGCTCTCTTCGGCATCTAGTGCAGTGCACTATTTTTGCAATGCGCAGGCGAATCGAAGTGAGGGTCCCAACTGCGATGCTGCGGAGCATGATTCCAGATGGAAAAGATCGACGCGAACACGAAGATTTAAATGAGAGCGACAGCGAGGCCGATGCGGCCAGCGATCATGACACGGCTTCTTCTGTAGGCTTTCATGAAGCCCAGCCTAGGGTGGCTTCTTCCAATGGGAGTCTTATAGAACAGTCTGCAGCTGCTGATGAAACCCGGCGTGTCCTGGCTGCAGCAATGAAACAGCAACAGCGGCGTCGTGCGGCTGCCGCGGCGGCTGCCGCAGCGGCAGCTCGGCTCACCGCAGTAACTATTGTTGAGCTAGAGCGATGCACCGACACAACAGGACTGTTGCGTTGGGGAACATTTTGCAGTGAGATCCCTAACACCGGCCTCTCACATGAGAATGATGAAGGAGCAAGGGTGCTAGGAGGTTCCTTTCTGCTATTTTCTGGGACGTCCACTTTGCGGAACGGTATATGGTGCACTCCGCTAGAGAGTCTGTCGATGGCAGGGACATCTGGGCCTTCTGTTGCCACTCCAGCAACTTCCATAACAGCTCGCCCTCTACTGTCTCTCTTCACCGCCCTTCAGCAGTTTTACAGTGAAAAGTCAGAGAATGCCTCCAGCGAAATTGCGGGACCTCACGTGACCCAGTTGGTTTTTGTGCCCAAACAGCATTTGCTTCTGTCCGGCACCTCAGACGGGCGGGTTTTAATGTTTCCCGCTGACACTCCGAATGCCTGCGCTGTGGTAAACCAATCCCAATACTCATTGCCTTCATATCCTCTAGTGATATGTCGAGGTTAATCCGAATTGGTGCAAAACTATGCTGTGGCTTAGGGGATTGACACTTTAGGGCTAGCCTTCGCACTTGTAAAATACCGCCTTACTTTTCTTCTGCAGAAATATTCTTCTTGTTCTAGCTGTATTTCAAATTGCCCGCAGGCAAGAGTCTTTGACAGTCACGTTGGGAGTCTAACAAGCCTTATCATCAGGCCGACGGGCGACACAAACCGATGGGCCTTGGTTGCTGCAGCTCAGAGCGGAGCTTGGTGGAGGTGGGAATTTGAGTATGATATTATCCTTTCCCGTTGCAAGGAGGCGCAGGATGCAGAGGGAGGAGTTGAGACAAATCCGCCTGCTAGAGATGAAGAAGACCGTATCGAAGCGCAAAGGGCTCGTAGATGTGGACCAACGCAGCCGGCAGAAAAGCACCAACAACAGCAGCAATTCCTACGCCGCTTGCTCATGCTAGAGGCAACTAGCTACGACGATCAACTTACTAATGAAGTGACTATGGATCCAAATGGGCTCACTCCCAAGTGTGTCACTATATCCCAGAGCGCATAAACGTCTCTGCCCTCTGCACTGGTTCATTGCTGTTCCGATGCTGAGGGGAACCAGGAGAGAGAGGATGCTTTCCCAGAAACTGCATGAAGACTCTACGTTCTTCATTGTAGGAAACGTTGCATGCTTCAGTTTTGGCAATATGCTGAGTTGGCAGGAAAGCAAAGGAGCCAAAAATACCGTGTCCGCGTCCGGTGCCAATCGACAAAATCTTGCAGGTGGTTTCAAATGCGTCAGAGACCATTGACACCAGTTCCCTGGCGGCTGCAGTGAATATATTACACACAGCAGCTGAAGCAGACGCTGTGAAAGATATTCTTCACCCAGAAGAGCCCACAATCACGGTGAATGTGCAATGCTGACTCAACAGCGTATACCCATTGCAGATGGTAGCCAATTGCCAGCACGACATGGACCAAGGTTTTCCCACGGACAGCAGCATTTGGGTGCCTTCTTCGGGCATGCGGCACACACTACGGTTAAGCGTATTGCTGCTGTGCATACCTGGGCAGGAGAATCAAAGGCTGCGGAGGCAACGCGCGGCGTACACTGAAGCTGAAGCTGTCAAGCAGCAAGAACGTGACATGCTAGAGGATATATCTAGGCGTTTCCAGGCAAGATCACCATGCTTTATATAACATTTTTTGCACTCAGGAACACACAGCCGTCCGTGGTGAAAAGCCCACAGTGCAAGCCACGGAATACGGTGTATCTATTAACAAGATTGCCGAATTACTTCTCTTCGGAGCCACAATGTGACGCCTTCATTGTAGCATTAAGGTAGTGAAAACGAGCACAAGGAGGCGAATAATTGTTTCTACAAATAAAAACTGCTAATGCATGGAATATCTTACTCGCTGGACCATACGCAAAATTGAACAGGACTTGATAACTCGCTTAAAAGCTCTTCCAGGTGTGAATACACAAGAAATGATGATGGAGCTGACTCTGCGGGGAGATCTCCTTAAGACTGATGAGGCTGAGGCAGCGAAATCCCTGGAGATAGTCGACCGCCATATACAAGATGCGGGAGAGCGGCACCAAGCATTCATAGATACACTAGCGGTATGGGAACCAAGCGCCGCCAGTCGCAAGCCTACTTGCGATTGATGGCTGAGTATTTTGCAAGGAAATACTGCACGAAAATTGCTCGAAGCGTCTCATTCCCTTGCATGTCTGCATGCTAAATAGCTAATTGCTACCGTAGAGCTAACCCATATCAACTGCTTTCGCTTCAATTGTTTACGCTCTGCGCGCCCTTCAAGAAGAACAAGATACGTTTGAACAGTGCCCTGCATTCAGCGACTTTTCGGTGGAGCTCTGGAAGCTGTCACAGTGGCTGGCATTTTGGACGACATTTGCGTGTGCTCATTCCCCACTGCGCAGACACCACTTGTACGTTGTTAAATACAGTAACTTGCTAATCTTTTTCCAAAGGAAACACTCTCTTCCCCTGGATGTTACAAGCGCAGTGCCACACTGCTGAATGGGACTACTACGATGCACAGTTAGATTTCCTTCACCGGTGGGGATTTTATTCAGGACATTCACCGATTACAAACAGAAGGACAGGCACAGTGCACCACAAGTGGAGCTGCCGAGATGCAGGCAATTTTGGAAGCCGCGCGAGAAAATGAACTGAGACACCTGCTGCTTCCTGAACAGCCAATAGCATCTAACACCCCGAGTGCGCGTGCATCAGATGCATCTATTCCGAGTTGCATTGCATGCTGCCTGAGCCATTCCAGATGCGAAAGATGCCTTTAATTCTCTCAGTAGACTGATTATCTATATGCCTTGTGCAACAACTGATCCATTCAGCTCCCAGTAGGCGGCCGACCGTTGAACCAGAGGCTGTGAAGGCTTCGCGAATTCAAGAAATGGAGATACCAGGCATATGCAACGGACCTGGGAGCCTCGTAGCACTTGCTTTGCAGTCTGGAGACTTCACTAGGGCAACAGGTTAGAGCACTATGTAGAGCTTGGCTCCTTGTGTAGCCATTGTTTCCTCGTGTGCCAACTTTCGCTTGCAATCCAAGAAAGTGTGAGAGCGTGTCGGATGGATCACCCTAAGCTTGTCCCTAAACCTCCCCAATGGCTGCCTCCACTGCGGAACTTGGCTGCGTGAATCCGCAGGCGCTGCACCGTCGACTGACGCCCGGAGAGAGCGCACGCTGCAGATGGCAGCACTCTTGAAGGCGCAGCCAAGGGAAGACTCTACAAATGCACAAGACGAGCATCGCATTGCAGACACGATCAAGAAGTTGAATGCGTGCAGCCTCACCCCATCTGGGACCGTATCAGAGGCCTCAATGTAAGCTTGCTCAGGCCGCGAATATGGAGCGGCGAACATGAATTTAAAGAGCCCAATCTACAGAAGAGCGGAACAGGTTGACTCGGAAAAGCTAAGCTGGGACTGCGGGGCAAGATGAAGATATTAGACAGGAATGTTCTCAACTATATGCGAGCTTGTACGTCTACAGAACTATGGCTTCACGGAAAAAGAAACAAATGCTGGAGCTTGCCGAGTGGGCCTCTGCGAAGGCGAACTCCTTTAATCGAAAAGTCCACGTACTGGCGCAAATGCGCAAGGAACTGCTCAGGGCATCTGATTGCATCCTGCAGGAACTTAGTGAGGCCTTGCAATCAGCTGAGCTCCAAGATTGTAACGAATTTAACCAGGTGCAGTTATTGGCTCAAGTTGTGGAAAGAGCTACTGTCGAGGAACACTCCAACGGATCCTTGTGGAGCATCAGCAAGGAGCAGCTCGTGTAGGTTCTTGTCGATTAACGATTTACATTATAAGAAAACCTAGTTCCTCTGAGGACATGCTCTCCAAGGATTCTCCGTGTTGTGCAGTGACTCGTTAGAAAAACGACTCAAGGAACTGAATAACACCGGAGCCCTCTTCGAAACTGACGCTGCCAAGGCAGAAATTGAAGAAGTCAAAACTGCTCTTGCTGAGGCCCGTCGGCAGCCTGGCGAGTTCGTTGTGTCTTTCGAGCACTTGCGCCCAGCTGCTTATACACCGTCTACTGAAGAATTGGGCACCATGCTAGAAAGACAAGCCAATGCCGCTGGTTCTCTTGGGGGCCGGATCAATACTTTCACAGATGGGTGTACACGTGCCACAAGCAAGAACGATCAAACATTCAAAGAACGCCTTGTGGTCGTCATAGATGGGCTTAGAAGATGCGAGATGTGCCAAAGCTGCACGGTCCAAAAAGCTCTCAACTTGCAGGAATGTTCAAAGATTTACCAGCACTACTACGTGGACAACTCCATCAACTCTGGTTCACTGTCCCGATCGGGCAAAAGTTGGGCAGCGCTTCAAGGTGTGGAAATTCAACTTCAGGCCAACCGATCTATTGATATGGTAAGCTTAAGGCGAAACCGCCGAGGTCTAGCAACGGTCACCACGATGTTGAAGATGCCGGGGATGCTGATACATGCAGCACTTCCCACAAAGAAATCCACGGCGTGCACATCATCTGCTACTTCGGCTTCTGCAGATTAAGCATGCCATTTCTACATTTGACCAAGAGTTGCGAGATCTGTTGAAGGAACGCACCGCAGTCCACCAACAGTTGCTTTTGGCACGCCTGAAACAACTCGTACGTTCCCCTTTAGGTGACTGCTCGCGGTCTTATACCTCTAAAAGAGTCACTGCAGTGGCTTAGAGTCTTGAACACAGCAGGAAACTACATAATTCTGCAATCGCTCAGGAGCAAATTCAAGAGCTGTGTATCATTGAATCAGTGGAGCCACGGAACTTCAGACTCCAGCAGGACCTGTTAAGTGTGCAGAAGGAGGGTCAGCAAGTCAATAGTCGCCTTGAAGCTCTTGATGCCTCTATTGCCGAAAAGATACAGGGGATCGATAATTGCCATGTGGGCCTGGCGACTTATGCCACTAAATCATATCGCGCAATAAAAAGAAACTACAACTACTGATGAACAACAAAACACCTTGAACCTGAACGTGGTTAGGTGAATGCGTTGCGGGACATAGTATCGTCGCTTTCCGTCTTCTTCGAGATTCGTGCAGGCGACAGAGATAGAAATACGCCGACGGGTGGCAGAGACTATCGGACAACGAAATCCTCAGCAGGCGGCCCTGATGCAAATTTTCGAGCGCACTGTACCACTCTTTCACTGCACCCGTCTTTAGGGACTGCTTCCGTGTTTATTCTCAGTTTCCTTCATCGCACTCAGCTTCTACTAGCCCAGACAAAACACTATTACTAGCCCTATCGAAAGTTTGAGATGGCTGCAGCCCCCTCTTCATTCCTAGTTCATATCCTGGCAGGTGGCCCATAAAATACAGAAACTACCCGCCAGCCCTCATGGTGGCGACGCTGAGGCTAGTGACCTGGAAGGTGAGATTCATACAGTATTACCTCTCTTCCCTTTTGTGCATTGCATAGAAGAATCTTCGCGTGCCGCTTACTATGCTTGATTCACGCCATTTGCGGCAAAGCCTGCTAAGCGTTTATGTCGTGCAGCATGTGCGTCCTGCGAGCTATATGGCGAACGCAGACGAAGCAGATGACGCTGAGCAGCTGCAAGCAAACTCCGGCGGTGTCGAAGAAGATATCTGCCCTTTAGGATGTGATATGGCTGTCTACGAGGCTCTCTTGGAATTCAGGTAAACTTTTATCGAGTGAGGAAGCCGTGAAACCTGCACTGCTGCACAAACTGACGAAGATGGACTTGGTAATGCGGATGCTTGCACAGAGACCAGAAAACGGCAAATGACGCGACGCTCACAGTTCATCAACGAGATCTTGATGAACTTAAGAGGGTAGGCTGATTCTTAGTTTGAAATCTGCCACCATCTTCAACTATAGAAAAGCCCGCGATGACTGGAGCGATCGCATTTGCGTTGCGATCGCTCAAATAATCGTTTGCCTCGTCAGCAAATATTCTTCCACATTGAAACGAAATGGCTATACAGAACGAGGCTCCTCCAAAATCAAGAACGCACGACTCTATCTGCAGGGTGACAGTTAGAAATGCCAAACTATGTACACACAACGACAGCTGGAGTTGGCAGCACCTTCCACAGTTTGCATGCTATTCTATAGGAATATACGAAAGTCCAGGGGATTCAAAAGCAACATGCGTCTCGTTACAAGTCTGTAGAGGCGGCGATCCACAAGTTTTTAAGGGAGCTTCAGGGCACTTTCGACGAGTTGGAGACCGTTGTGCCACTGCGGGCATCCCAGGTGCCGGCCGACACATTGACAGTATATGGCTACTAGGTGGCACCGTTGAGCCCTTTCCGCCTTGACAGTGGAGAGAAGCCCTTGTCTTGGCTTGCCGTCAGGCTTCGTTTTCGCAGCTTCACCCATTCTTGTGCAGTTGCCGAGGAGTTGTACAGTTGCAGTGGGATGGTTATCACTGCTCCACCGAAAATGGAGTGCTTGAATACAGCTATTTGCGGTTGGCAGATTAAATGCTTGTCATCTGTTGAAGAGACATGGCAGCTCCCTACAAAACTAGATTCCGCCATCATTTTCAGCAATGAAGGATTCGCTGCTCTTCGCCAACGGTAGGCGGACTCTCAGTTATCTAACAACAAATTCAACAGAGTTCAGGAGGAAACATTTGGTAGCAGCGCGCCTAGTGGGAAAAAAAGCAAACAATTCTTTGACTGCAGCATCTAGGGTGGGTAAGACAATATCACTTGCCTGGCTCAAACGTTCTCTGTTGTGCATGCAGAGTTGCAGAGCTGCAGCACGAAACAATTCTCGTGACGGACGACTTGAAGCAACTGAAACGCCTTCTTGCGAGTGCCCAAAGAGAAAATAAACAAGTAAAGCACTGAATCTCAGCCCAAGTGCAGCATTTAGATCCCGTCAAGTGCATATCGGAAAGAGCGCGCATCCCAAGCTGGGTCGGAGAAATCCCTCTGCGGCCATACGGGCTGGCCATGCTGTTGCATCAAGGGCGTCCCCTGCACCTACATGTCGTGGTATGCAGAGTTCGCAGCGCCTGGCAAATCTCCGAGCAACGTTCAAGGCAGTGGAGCTAGTGAGGTTTGGTGCGTCTCTTACGTTGGAGCAAGTTGAAGCCGCTGCAATAGCTGCAGGTCACGAGGACTCCCAAAGACATAGCGAGCCTACTAGGCCAGCGTTTGAGAGGGACATGGAAATGGTAGCTGCCAAGCAAGTGAGGCAGGAGCAGGAGCGATTTCTACCCTTGATGTAACTAGCGCTTCGCTTCAGCTGCAACTGAAGAGGCAGATATTCATAGGGTTCGTCTGGGAGCCCAGAATTTTGACCGCTTGGCGCACGTATGGAGCCGGTTTTTTTCCCATTGCCCTAAAGAAGGTTGTGTTTCTATTAATTTTCTTAGGCACAGCTCAAGCAGCAGCACCGACAGTACATGGAACTCAAGCACCAGCTTCGGAGCATAACCAAGCGTCACACTGAATTGTTGCACAGATTTGCCTTGGCAAGAGAGGGAGATTCATTACTCACCCAGCAACTGCAGGGCGAAAAGCGCCATCGAGTAAGCTACACAGTTTGATCAGTCTGGGGAGATGCCAGCATCGAGGGCTTCATGTTTCTAAGCAGTGAACGGCTGCGCGTAAAGGCATTTGGGAGTGAGGCTGCCGTAAGCGATATAATGTGGCTTCAGAACACAAGCGACGACGGCACATTTGCCAGGATGCGCCTAGACGAGCTTGCGCGACTCAAAGATATGCTCAAAAGAAGCGAAGGCGAAATTCAGAGATTGCAAGCTCTCGCCGTGAGAATGAAGACAAAAGGCAAGTTGGTTCATGTGGCATACATGCTTTTTGCCTGGGCTGGGAATGCCTGTATTTCTCATGGAACTGTAATTACCTGCAGAGTGCACAAAAGAGGATAGAGAAGATCCGCTGTACTTTTGGTGTCCGATGGGCTTCTGTGCTGCATAGGTGCCCACGTAGACCCCACCATTCTGTGGCGCCGAGACCCAGCAGTCCTTCACAAGTAGAGCCCTTTGAGAGTTAAAATGAAGCTAGTAATCGCGGCAGTTCTCTTCGAACGGTGGCCCGACTAGAACTATGAAAACACATAGCGAGTGCGATATTCCACGACATTCTGGCCACTGCCTTCAACCAGTTATAAGAGCGCTTTGCTAACGATGGAAGCAGGAACGCGCCACTGTATAGCTCACACTGGCTCCTGATCTAAGGCTTGAAAATGTTGGAAGTGGTGCAACGCTCCCCACCAAAGCATCATCAACTTAAGATGGCATTCAGATTATAGGTAGAGTGAGCATGCAGCGGCTAATCCTGAATTTGGGGCTCCATTGTCCGCCAAAAATTGCGATTTTAATTACTATACGGAATGACGACACATGCTGTCATTTTCCCTTGTTGCAAGAAGCAATTTTTATGTTTTGTACCTGAGCCTTGACCAGTTGTCGTGCACAGTAATTCGTTGTCAAGACCCCACGCACCCCCTCGGTTCGCGCGCATTGCCAGGCTCTACGGTGCCCCCCGTAATTGCCGTAATTGCCTCGCAAACATAAAACAACTAAAAATGTCAGATTACAAATGCAACAGTAATAAGTGGTATAACTTTACAAAATTGTTGGGGTCCTGCTGGTGGCTAGTGACCTGTACCCGCAGCCGACGGCGCGTGTGCGCACCCAGGGTTGTAGGGAAGGGGCGTTGGTTCTTTTCCTCTGCTCCAACTGAACTCCTGGGTAGCATAATAATGTATAAATATTAAGGTGATAGTTGGATACCCTGGACTAGTCACAAAGAAACCATAAGAACAAGCCGGTCCCGGATACTCACGAAGATCCCTGCGGTGGGCAGGGGAACCACGCTGCCTGCCCCTTGAGTAAAGCGCTAGCCATACGTTGGTGACACTCTCCCCCAAATTCCCGAAATAAAGAGTCTTAAACCGTAAACCAAAGAAAAAAGCTTACAGCAATGGCGCCGCTCCACTATATAGGGTCAGAAGACGCCGGTGTGCAGTCCGCGTCTCTGACAATGCGGTGTTCCGTTTTATGCACACTGTCTACTCGTTGCCAGCACTGGCGCACGTTCGTTCCTGCTCCTTCTCCACATATATACATAGACCGCAAATAAGCAGCGGTTGTACTCAGGCATGTGCATGGTCCGCCTAACAACTTGTGCCGGTGAAGTCGTGGTGGGCATTTTGAGTGACGCATGGTCCGCCAAACGCACTCTTCTTTGCTGGTGATTGCTTTAAGTACAACTGTGCACCAGTGTCTTTTTAAAAACGGAAAAACAATTTCCTTAGCTTTGATCGGGAGTAGGCTCCCCGCTCTTTCAATTCACCGCGTGAGTTCAGAAGTAGTGCCGCAGCCGCTGGTGCGGTGGGCATGGTGGGAGCGTGAACATCCAGGTGGTGGTATGACCAATCTGTTGGTCGTTCTTAGTATGTATAATAGTGAAGAACAAGCTTGTGGGAGAGTAATGCCTCGGCCTTGAATTGGCTTGGACCACCTTGTGGTTCTATGCGTTCTTCTGGTAATTACACTCCTGTGCAGCGGGGCGCTACATCATCCGCATCGAAAGCTCCCGCTCAGTCGCACTCTGCAACATCCCACTTTGATTGATGCTCTTTTGCATTTTGCTGGGGGGAAGGCACCTTGCAGTGAAGAAATGGGAAGAATTGATATGGCCCTGCAGCAGCAGGTGGAGGACTCATCTTCCTTCGTACTGCCTCTGAACCGTCGGTTCCCCGTGAAGGCTGCAGAGGAGGTGATGACGTCTGTGCTACAGTCGAGACTAAGAGGAGAAGTCTACTCAGCAGATCAGGCCTCTCAGCTTGCCAAGAACCTGGGTGCTTCCCTGCGTGATGCTTTAGTCGCCCTATCCAGGCCTAGGTTCAGGATAGGAGTCACCGTTGATCTGGGGGAGGATTGCGGTCAGGGTATTCGAGTGGGTTCTCGGTGCTTTTGGGATAGCAAAACGGATTCAGTGGCAAGAGCGGTATATAGGAGCTCATCACTTTTTTGCGTCGCCACCGCGTATGCGGTGTATCAATACTGAGTCTAATGGCAGTACCGAAAGGCAGGGTGGTTTATTGAATTGCAGCACTTAGAATTATACGTAGAATATCAACCAGTTATCAATTCAGAAGAGGGAAATGCGTCTCTTCCCTTTCCAGTGCTTCCGTCGTATATGCACTTCCCAGGCAGCAAAATGCACCACCGAGCAGCTCGCCTTTGTTTAACCTTAAGTAAACAAGGACTAAGCCGCATCACAGCAGTTTCTAGTCTCCGTTCTCCGTCATCAAGCATGTTATCTACTCAAAATATCCTGCCGGGCAGCTCACGAACGGGGTGCCTCATGTTACCTCATGGCATATTTGCCATCACTAATGGCGGAAAATCTACCAGAGCGGGAACATCATGTTTCATCGGCCCCTACTGCATTTTTGGATCTAAGATAGGTCCATTCATGAACGATCAGTAGTGCAACGCCGTTGCCCCTGTTGAAACTTTACTGAGCTCACAGAGTGCAACTTATTACTGCAAAAACGTGCATTTTCAAGCCCACCTTCCGAGTGAAACTACATGATTTGCTCCAGTCGTGAAACAGCCATGCGTAAAGAACCACTAACGCGCATGGCCGTGCATCGACTGTACTACAGGCACTGGTCCCCTGTAGTGGAAAGAGGAGTACCCATCTCCAATGGCGCCAATTTAGCCTTTTGGGCAAACCGGTAGCATGATCGCTTTCGGGCCACCCCCCCGGGGTACAGTCCCCGTTATGAAGTGCATTGATGACATCCACGGTTGCCATATTTTAAAAAGCTCCTGTAAGTATTTTCATGATCCCTTTCAAATGCCAAACGTAGGACTCTCGAGTGTTCCGTATTTCAGCGAGTTCTATTCCCTTACATTGCCTTGTACCAAAAGTTTATTTTTTTGCATGGGCTGTAACTGCAGTAGGTAGACTACTGTTGGTAGGAAATAGTAGTAGTGGGAATGGCCCATGTACTGTGTAGATGAGCGTTGCAGTGCACAAGAGCGGCAAGCGCTTTGATACCTACACCACTTCCTTCCCTTCGCCCTTTTGGTGCATATCCAAGTACATATGTGCAAAAGAAACCACTATCATACGTCTTCATTTTGCCGAAAAATGATCTCCAGGTATTCAATGTCCTGTGTCTGTTGCCGAGCAACTCTTCAATAGTGATCTATCTTCAGGCTTCGCAGGGTGCCTGGGTTGTACGGGAGGAGCGGCCCCCTAAGGCCTACAATATTTCCTTCTGCTATGCACATAGGGCACTCATCTGTGGAGCTGATGCATTGCAAGAGTGTCTAGCTTGATTGGATGCCTGTAGGACATGGGAAGGCATCCTGGTAAGTGCCTTGCACATCCCTGAATGTGGGAAACTCCCATCACTGAATTTCTCAAATCCTGAGGAGAGCCACACTTGGATCCACCAATACACTCCCGGTTATGGTATAGAGTTGAAACTTGACGCAGAATTCCAAATACTGCTCGTGCTCTAGGCAGGCATTGGCTGAAGCGTGGCATAGTTCAAATGCTAGCCGGCGGAGCACGCAGAAATTACTGAGCAAAGTTTCGGCTGCTGACTACCTGTATTTTGTTGGCCTACACGTATTTCACTAGCAAACTTCATTCTTGCAGTGCATCCGCAAAAACTTTCCCATGCCGCGCAGAACATTGCAGCGGCCTTCTTGTATAGCGGTGGAGACCTGCGGTCAAAGAAAGGCATCGGGGCCATTACGAAATACTTGTGAAGTACTGCGTGGACCACCTTTTGATGGTTTATGCCTCCACACAGCAGCAAAGTACATAGCTTGTTCATGAAATAGCTCATTCCATGGAGTTGCATGACGCGGAGGGTTTAGCTGACTCTTACCCCTCAGGAACTACATGTGCAGGGCAGCAACAATTACCGACTGTAGCTCACTCAGCATGAGGCGGGCACGTGTACGCTTACTTGCATGCAGGCTGGCCACCGAAGGATAAGTATTTTTTTGCAATTGTACAATTGTATAGTGTCAGTATAGTGCCAGTGCATCCAGCAATGGGAGCTCAGTTATGCGTGCATCCGGAGTTGCCTTATAGCAGGGGTTGCAGCAAACTCTGTTGCAGCCGATGGCAAATCGCCTCCTTCCCTCACCAGTTCCAAGTTGCTGTGAGGGAGGCTTTAATGCAAGGAATGGAGGCTAGGTATTTTTGGCGAGCCTTTGCTTTGAATTTTGTCTCTATTGCAAATCAAGACGATCAACAGCTCGACGAGTTTCATTAGGTTTCGTAGCACTGCAAGGCCAGTGGGTGCAGGCACGAGCAGGGAACTCCACACCTAAAGCTCGGCGGCATGGTACAACAGCTGGCAGAAGCCAGCGGTTCCAGCCCTCAGAACGGCGGAGGAACGTATGAAGCGGTGAATATGCTTTATCTTCAACAAACAAAGTCATATGATTCGAGATTGCACATGCAGAGAGAAAACGCTAAGAAGACGGAAAAGCAGAAATTCAAGTAGCATCACGAGAGGAACAAGCGAAGAGACCAGGGAAACTCCCGGGTCACCGCATCACGCGTGGGGCAGCGATGGGGTCGAAAGATATAACACCCACACCAGAAGATCAGTCGCGTGTCAGCTCTTTGCTCACCCAAAAGTTCGTATTATTGGCCAGGAGGTACCAGCGCCAGTTGACACAGGCTGCAGCTTCCTGGCAGCAACGGCCGAAGGGTCTGTGGGCACAGGTGAGGAGACGGCTTGATATGAATTCCAAGGCTGCAGCTGGTGCTCCTAAGTCAGCTCACATGAAAACACAACCAGACTCTATTTCCTGCATCGACTGTTGTAGAAGTACATGTGCCAACTTCAGACAGACCATGCTACACGAAGTGACTTACCGCGCATGGCAAAGTTATGAAGCTTGCAGTTGAAGTGGTGTATGGACTGAACATTCACTACAAAGTGCTTTTTCTCAAGAGCCGATGCTTGTGTCACCGCGTTTGGAGCGATGATCTGTCAGCAAGCCGACGACTCGACAAAAGCTGCGGCAAATAGACTTGTGTGATTCACGCCGCTTCATGGAGAGAGAGCAGAAGTATCAGATTCACGTTGCGTTGCTCTGTGCCGTCTGGAGGGGAGTAAGAGAGTGCCGAGAATAGTTTTAGCAGCCACCGTTCATTGCTCTAGCCGAACAACAATGCATAACACAGCTATCGCTATATGATAGTGGTGGATACATTCCAGCCTCAATTTGCACAAACGTTTTGCGCGAAATGCACTAGAAGGATTTAGTGGAGCATTGTGGGGTCAAAAAGGCAGTGAAGCGGGTGGGTCAACCCCTTTCGCTGGCCTAGGGTATGCATTTTAGCAGAGAATATATGTATGCAATACCATTTGTCTTCGTAAATAGATTCAGCTAGCCCACACTCTTCATCCCCTGGTCTTGTTGAGCTAGAGCACAGGGAATGGCCCAGTGATTCCCTAGCCCTTTTTTGGAAGCTACAGGGTTTTCCGAAAGCATGATTACTGACAACGTCGTTTGCTCCGTCTGGCGCCAATCCACAAAGCGGCCAGGCATCGACAACCATATAGCACCGACAACCACCCGGAGGCATGCTGTCACAGAAAGCGCGCACTGCACGCGAGTACAGTACTGGAGACACCATGCAAACAAATTTTACCAAAGTGTCTCGATTTCTTCCCTCTTGCGGCATGATGCTTTTAATGCAACAGTGAGCTCTCTGACCTGTTTCTCGCGTGCATGCCAGATCTACACCGAAACACCGTCATCTGACCAGAGGTTAGAGCCGGCTGTTGAGACTCAGCCCCCCAAAGCCGCAGCCGCTGAGTCCCATCTCCAGCTGCAAAAGCGCGGGAACGCGCGAACAGAGAACCAGAACGCAAGGAAGGAACTACAACGAACGACCTTCAGCTGTCACTTTCAACCGTTGCAACTTCGTTCTGGCGAATTCGACCGCTCTCAGAAGAACGCAGGACTGTGAACAGTGTGCGATGCTCGCAATGCGTGTAGTAGGGCATTTGGCTGTTGGTTTTCGGAGCAGCGTGCTAGCTTCAATTGTAAACTTGCCAACACCGTGGTGACGAGTTTACAAAAAGGCCCAAGAAATCGCCGGAATCCTCTCAAATCCTTTCCACAGAACGGCAGCAGCGTCTTTGAACGAATCAGTGGATGAGAACGAGGTCCCAGACATATACTGAACGACTACCAGAAACCTTCGAAAACCAGAACAATGCTTTAAACGGCCAGGAAACCGTCAACAAGAACGAGTTTCTGGGGTTTACTGCTGCGAATACAAGTTCTTGTAAGTGCCCTCCTCGACTCAACGAAGCGACTGCAAGCGCGCGCACGCGGAGTACAGCCTTCATTTGGGCTGCGCTCAACAAGTCGGTGGCATTCGCTTTGTCACGAGTTAAAGAGGCACTCTTGGTCCGTCGATGTGCATGGTTTGTTGCCGTGTTTCCAGTTACAACAGCAAAAGAGCAACGCCAGTTCCATACGCGCCTTGCTAAAACAGAAACCCAACCTGCTGCTGCTGTAGGAATCTGTTGGCGCAGCGCTTCCAAGACACAAATGTGGCAATTAACACTATCATGTGCGCGGCAACAGCGGAAGGGGCACAGCCAGCAACAGCTCTTGCTGCTGCGCCTCTGTTCCTATCACAGTTTGAGGCCAGGGCTGGTTCGGCGGGTTAGCCCGGTGCGGCCAAATCTCCGTGAAGCAGCAGCACCAAGAAGGCGACAACAGCACTACACCTTTCCCGTGTGCAAAACCTCGACCTGAAGTGCCTTCACAGAACGACCATAGTGGTGCTGCGTCCCCATACTACATATTCTCGATGCAGCAAACGCAGCAGCAGTTGCTGTTAACCGCGAACAATAGAAAGGGTACGCATACAGGCAATTTGAAGCAGTTTAGAGACAAAGAAAGCAGCAGTAGCAGCAAGCGACGCAATAGCAATAGATGCAACAGCAGGAGAACCGGCAGTAAGTTGCGCTGCCGAAGTACCCGGAGGGACCGATTGAACCGCAGAAACAACACTTGCTGCAGCAACAGGAAGTGCGGCAGGAATTCTCCACCCACCCTTTGCTGGGCGAGAAGGCACAGGAGAATTTGCGCTGCTGAATGGGAACAGATGTAGCATGGCGACACCGAAGTTTCTGCTTGAGCGCAAGCTGCAAGAGGACCCCCAGCTCGGGTCAAGGACCCTGGTTACGGTCATATGCTGCGTCACCAAAAGACTGCGCCAATCTTGCAGCACTGCTCTGCAGTGCTGCAAGATTGAGATAACGACATGCTATTATTTGAGGGATCGCGTGATGTTCAAATGCTTTCATTGCACTTGTTTCTTTGAAAAGAACCGAAATTCAGTTCGATCCGGACTATCCCTACAGCGCCAAGGTGGCTATTCTCTCGTTATCGCAACCACGCACATCACTGGTGCATCCATCAAGCATAGTTCCGCAAAGCTGTGTTCCCACCTTTGATAAATGACATAGAGGACTATCTGATGGCCGCATGCATGGAAAAGTGCCTTTGCTCAAGCTGTGCAACGCGCAACCCTTCCCTTGCTGGGCGTCAAGGTCACCCATTGGCACTCTACCATGAGGTTTGGCGTTCTATCCAGTCAAATGACAAAAATTTGCCTTTTAAATCCAAAGGAAATATGAGTTGCAGTACATTTCACTCGGTACTCTTGCGTGAGTAGGGAATGGGCCCGTTGGCTGCAGTCCACTGGTGGAGCGTCTCCTGCCCACCGGGTTCCTGCGGATCAGTCCTCGTGAGGTGGGGAGCCTTTGCAGGCCAAAGAATAGCTTTTTCATTATTTCTAAAGGTTTTCGCCGTCTTTGCTGTGCTCGTACGACGCCTGTGGCGCAGCGGCTAGGTTGCTTCAATCGTCTGAACTCAGTGTTCCCGTATTTCACTGCAGCCTCCCCTAAGTGGTGGTATAGAATATATCTCATCAAGGACTGCCTAGCCTCATGCACAAAGCAACAGGATTGCCGAAGTATGGGATCCCAGGAGTGAGACGAGGGACATTGACCTGACAGGAATGGCAAAAACGTAGCCAACACGGTCACAGGACTACTTAACCGGGCGAATAACATAGATCCTTTGCTTGTCAGCAGCTATAGGGCAAGAAATTCAGATGGACACCCAGTGCCTGCTGAAATGAATCTTTTTCGTGCCTGGAGAGGAACGGCAGTACCATATATCCTGCACCAAATTGCATCCAAGGTCGTTCTCCTCTAAGGGGGATTTACAGTTTCTCACTGCTCGGGAAAGCCCGCTGTAGTTTCTGGATATTCATATATCCCATTGTGCAAGCGTTAAAGCTTCCCAGTGGATCCTTGGTTGAGCTGGAGGAAACGCCATCTAGAGACATTCGGGGTTGTACTCACTGAAGATGCCACACGGAACTTACGGGTGTAATGGAGGGAAAAGCCCGCCCTTTAAGCTATGCAGCAAAGCAAGAATCAAGTACACAATGCCTGGCTTTTATTTTGTGCTGCTGGGAAGCTTGCTACGCTTGTCCTGTGCAACGCCAGCGGAACTCGAATTCGACACTAGCGCTGGCGAAAATTTTCCCTCGAGGCACCTGCAACAGTCTGCTTACTCTGTACAACCAAGGGTGGGACACAGAGGGGAAGAACCGGTCACTACTGCAGATTTGAGCTCGACCTCGACCCCCTTCAGTGCACACCCTGACCGTGAGCTTAACACGGGCAAGGCGAAACGCTATGCTGTTGAAAACGACGGCAAAGTAAAGGGAGACAGCAAAAGACCAGAAATATTCGTACAAGCACGTCAAATTCAGTTTAATCCCGGGGGGACGAAGTGGGTTGAGCTGAAAGTGGAGGTGCTGGGATCGGACGGGAAAATTAATAGGCGATACGACGGCGGTGTAGCTGCCTCGCTCATTTTAGCTGAGTCAGATGCAACTCCAGTGAGATCCCTAGTGGCGACTTTGGAGGACGAAAACGGGGTAACTGCTGAAAGGGCAGTGAGCATAGCGTCAAGCGTCGCCACTAACGGTACGCTCCAGTTTGCTTCGACTCATCGCACGAACTTTCACAGAGCATGCGGCTGCGGGAGAATTCCCCAGACACTGTTCTTTACATCGCGGGAATCTACCAGAAATCGTACTTGGTGGTGTGGATTTCCGATTGCCGCTTACATCCCGCGACGTAAAGAACAGTTTCTGGGGAATTCTCCCGCAGCCGCATGCTCTGTGCTCCGTATGTCATGGGTAGTGGAATTCAGGGAGTTTTAGCTTTTTCGCTGTTTGACTGCATACAGGAGTGGCCGTTCTGCACTTCAGTCCCCCAACTGACGGCGTATACCGGTTTAATATCACCTGCGGAGGCTGCAATCAAAAACTAAATACAGAGAAGCAATATTTCTCAGCAGGAACGAACGCCGTTCTAAAAGTCACGTCACAGCCCTCAGGGGCGAGCAGTGGGGCAATATTGGAATACCAGCCTGCAGTGCAACTGGAAGACCGAGACGGAAGGCCGCTTGAAGTGAAAACTACTATTGTAGCCAACATCATCCCCGTAGGCCCTCATACTAAGGAAGAGGGTAAGTACCGCCAGCTGCAATGACTAGTGCTTGTTTTGCGGTCGGATCTAACCCTTTTTGTACCCCATAATCTCCACCAAGTCTTCAGTTGTGTCGAAGAGTCACAACCGTAGAATTCCCGGTTCTTCGCCACTTTGCGCAGTCCCTTTGGACACTTGGACTCTGGAAACGGACGAATTTGGGTACGCCAAAGCCAGTGGCATACGCGTAACCAAGGCAGGCCAGCACATAATTCAGTTTGTGACCACGCTGTGGCAGGACACCCGTCTTGAAGTGTCCTCGGCCTCTTTTGAAGTGGTTCCAGGACCTGCCGCGGCAGCCACTTTCTCCATAAATCCTCCTCTAAGGGTTCTCATTCGTGAGCCATTTAGCATTGTGGCGGTCTTAGTGGATTCATATGGAAACGAAACGGCGAGCCCCCCTGAATTACAGAGGAACGGCGACCCTGTGGAAGTTCATCTAGGTGCCTTCAACAAGGCTGGCCAAAGAGTTCCACTGCATGGTCATACAAGACAGGTTTGGGGAGGGGGGCAGATTATTTTTGAAGGTCTTTGGTTTTCCGAGCCTGGAGCAATATCACTCAAGGCAAGCCTGCGCAGCAGCTTGTGGCAAGAGGTTGCGCACCGGGCCCTAGGCCCAATTTAAAGTAGTTGCAGTGATGCTTTACACGTTATTGGGCTCCCTTTCCGCACTACAATTTTGTTGCAAGTGAATTATCCCAGTGATAGACTGCACAGCTACTCAAGACCTTCTGCTGGGGTGGTTATGCTCTGCTTGGCGCTTCTAGGTAACATGCACGTTGTGCCCCAAAGGTGCACCCAGCTCTTCAGCAGAAATCCACGTGGCTTCAGCCTCAAGGGTTCACGTACATCATATGCCGCTGTTGATCGAGCGTCGCATACCAGTTGACGGTGAAGGCGTAGTGCCGTCCCGTGAATATTGGGGGCAGTTGCGGATATCACTGACGGCAGAGGACTGGAGCTTTGGAGCACCCCAAAAACCCGTTTCGGTGGAAGTTAAGGAAATCGTTCTACTGGATCCTCTTCGAGGATTGACTGGCGATGATGGGGGAAAGTATCTGAGGGTCGAGCCGAAGCGCTTACTATTTCCTGTAGAGAATGCAGCATACCCTCAAATATTTTATGTCCTGGTGAGCCATTGGCAGTAGATTAGTCCCTTGTGGCCTTCCTTGTTTTCAAATTAAAACAAGCAACTGCTTAATTCTAAAGTGCTACTGGACGGTTGTGTGCACGTGGGATATGCCGTGGCCATATTTTCCACTGCTGAATTTGCAGCCGTGGAGTCCTGGTGTGGTCGTTGGGAGTGAAGGACTGTCTAAGCCTATGTCTGCCACACACATTGGGGCCTTTTCTATCGAGCTTGACGTGGTTTCTGAGGACCCGTCCTGGTCATCGACCGCTGTAGTGTTTGATCTCCCTTCTCCAGCACTTGCGCGTGGAGTAAGCGTGAGCTTTGTTCCTGGGCCAAGGGACCTTATTGTATACGCCAAGGATAGCGACACAAACGAGGTTCTGACTGGCTTCCCTCAGCAGCAGCTTGTTCGAGAGGGAGACGTGGTGAGCATCACTTCTAACAGGCTTATTTTTGCGAAGGGACAACCCTTCGTTGACGGCTTCTAGCGACACAGGAAAAGAAGCCCGCGGCTTCCTTGTAAACATTGAAACCCACACCATGCTAGTCTTTGCAATGACCCGCTGTCACGATTGCGCGTTGGCTGCATATTCAGATCGCCTATACTCTGCGCCTCTCTGCCTGCCCGCTTGAAAATGAAGAAGTTGAAGTCCGCATTCACGGCGATCCCAGCGGCGGCTATTTCGTGGAGCCAGAGCGTCTGCACTTTTCCGCGACCAACTGGCAGCAGGAACAGACGGTTTCAATAAAGGTTGATCAGGATGACATTGCTCCATCTGGAGTAGGTATTGCAACATGTGCCCTGCAAGTGTTTCAGTACCTGCAACTTGTTTAGATAACCATTGTAGGCGACAAATAACGTCCAGCATGGGCCGGCTACCAAGCATTGCAACGGCAAGTGTTTTTCTGTGATGCTCCACAGGATGAGTTATCCTTCGAAGGGAGCACTATTGGGAACGCCATTCGAACTTTGATACTACACCATGAAGTTTCCAGCAGTGAGGAAGATCACGCCTGGTTCATGCGGGGTGGCAAAGAGGTGGCCTTTTCAGTCTGGGACGATGATATTGCAGGGGTAAGACAGATAACAGCTAGCCCATTCCCCGCTTTACGGTAAGATTTTCCATCTTACAGCTCTACCTTTGTGTAGGATACATATGCGATGGATCCCTTGGTAATGCTCAACATCAAGAGGACACTGTGAGAGGGGTGGTTCGCAGGTCGACTGGAGAGCGAATTCGGACTCTCTTGTTCAATCTGAACACTTCAAACTGGGATTCCGGCTTCGCTCTCAACCGGTGGCTGACGTTAGTCTGCAGCTGCACTGCGAAGGAACTGAAATTATTGCTCAGTTAAAACCTGATCAAGCCTTCAAAGACGCCTCTTCTAGCTTGAGTTTAATTGAAGGCGCAGAGCTGGGGAAGATTACCGTCCAACCTGCAAACTGGCGGACTGAATACGAGTTTTTACTCCGTCTCAAGATTACTGCAGAATCGTCTGCGGCTCAAAGTAGTATGCAAACATGCCTGGCTACTTCAAACACTGCTACGCAAAGGGCGTTCTATTATTTTACCTTTTGGAACCTTAAGAAATCCAATTCCTCTTGAGAAAACGTTTTAAGTTTTCGGAAGGAAGTGTGCAGGCAAAGAATGCTTTGGTATGCTCTCCGGCAGGTGCAGACGATGCAGTATTTCACACTTCATGTACTTTGACAGCAAGGTCCGACGATCCAAACTACAATACAAGTGAGCGTACGACACACGAATTTGGCGTGTCCTCTACATTCTCAGTGAACTTAACATTCAAGTCCCTCGCATTTCTCTTGAAGGGGTTGGCTCTTCCTTCTTCGGCATAGGGGGAAAATCTGCTAGCCAGCAGCACTTGTTAACCTTGCGTGGCTTTGGAATACCCCTGGCCATCAGCCACATCTCAAGTCAAACTCTGACAGATGGGCACTCCAATGGCCAAGCAACTGCTACATCGGTCGTTTCTTGTGTTGGAGCGCATTATTTGCGGTATGGCAAGAATTACAAATTTTTAATGTCTTCGGGCCGCCCACGCATCGCAGAATATGGAATCGGTAAACTTCAGGGCCCGAAATAATTGACACTGGCAATTTGTGTATGCTGCTACAGCACGGCAAACCGTGGAGTTGAGTGTTTACCCTGCCCTCCGGGATACGAATGCCCCGACCCCATGGAGCCCCCCAAACCGTGTCCCCAGGAGCATATGTCACTGGGTGGCTTCCTGGCATGCGTGCCGTGTCCTGAAGGTAAGTGTTTTCGTGGAGGGGCGACCTCTCACGACAGGGCTGTGGCAAATACTCGCCTAAGTTACCTGTACATGGCAAGCCGATCACTAAGCAGCATCCGTCCTGCTTGCGGATATTTGCATCCAGGCTTCACATGCCCTGAGGGAACAGCCGTTCCGAAAAAACTCAGACCAGGGTTTTATCATGGTATATCAGTTGAGGGTAACGATTTACGCAAAAGCACACGCGCCGCCATCCCTTGCCCCGAAGGATTTTACTGTGCTGGAGGATCAGCATCACCCGTGCCCTGCTTGCCAGGATATGTTAGCAACAAAGGCGCAAGCGAGTGCATCCCTTGCCCCGCTGGGTTTAAATGCAAGACCGGTCGAGCATCGGACTTGGAGGTGAATTACCACGGACTGACTCTTATTTTAAACAGAACACTAGGTCACAGTGAGTCCTGTAGTTGAAGGGCTTTTGTGCATTCCTTAGACGAAATGTTAGTTCTCACAGAAATTTAAGCGTAAGGCAATTGTTGGTTTGATAACGCAGCTTCGACGACCCCTAAGCAAAATGATTCGGTCGCTGCGCACAGGTTTATTTTAATACTTGTAAACGTAAAATTTTGAAACCTTGACTGCTCTTTCTTGGATTACTAACAGGTGTGCCCTGAAGGCTCATACAGTCTGCGGGGAGAACTTGCTTGCCGGCCGTGCCCGGCAGGATTCGCCTGCACAGTTCAACAAGGCGGTCTGTTCCGCTCTTTTGGTGGCGAGCCCACTGCAGTCGGACTCAGCGGCAGCGGAGTGGAAACCAACTTCCATGCCGAAGATGGAGATCTCCGCTCTGATTTCACCTTCGTCGAGCAAAACATTGCCGACCTGCTCCTTCCTTGCAAAGTTGGATACTTTTCAGGAGACGTGAGACAAAGCTGTGGAGTGGGTCTCGATTTGTGACTTTGCAGTTAGATGTACGGGCACTACTAGGTTCCAATTTTGACGTTCTAGCTTATTGGGTGTCTGTAGGGCGAGGCGGACTGCATTCCGTGCGGGGGAGCAGTGGCATGCCCGACTCCGTTCACTAGGGAGCATTGCTTTGTACCTTTTGCAGTGGCTCTTCCTGATGACCCCACAGAATGCGTGCCGTGCCCAGCAGGTATGCTCCCCATTACGTATTCCTTGACTGGTAGTGACCACTGAACATGAGAACTAAGAATTTGCCGACGTGGCTCCAGGCTTAGGAAGGACTAGAGTACCAATCGCTTGCCACACAGATGCGCGAAACAGATGCTGATGCACGATATGCCTTCAGACAGCCGTGGCAAAAAGTGCGTTGATGAATTACTACAGCGTTCCGGTTAGGTGGAAGGCAACCTATCGAGACGTTCCGACAATCGCAGTTGAGGGCGTGATCTGCCGTTGTCGTTTTTGCTACTTCAGGGCATTCTTGTAGTAATGGAATCGTGGAAAGGTGCCCCGACTTTCACTACGCAAGACTGGGCGAAGGTGTATGCCGACTATGCAAAGGAGGGTACCTTTGCAAAGGTGGAGCGACAGCACCTGATGAAGGAGATTTAGTTCCTATCGGGTGAGTGAATGAAAGTAGTCCCCTGTTCATTTTCAGTCCAACTAAATACTGTAATTGTGCCATCTTTTTACGAGCCCTGCCTTCTCGAATTTTAGCAACGTGTTAACTTATCTCCGTTGCATGCTCAGATACTACCGCTCAGAACGCGATGCTCAGGTTCACCCCTGCCCGAGTGGCACTCTGGGGTTGATACCCGGCGCTACCAGCAAGCAGAACTGCTCTCCATGCCCTTCTGGGTACATGTGCGAGATGAAGGATGAAGGAGGGGAGTTTCTAAGATCTTCGGCGGTTGCGTGCCCTCCGGGATATGTTTGTTTACCGGATCCTTTTGCGTGTCCATGGAGTAAGGGCTCTTTGGTAAAGAAGAGCAGTCTTTTTGTTGCAGCGCTGGACGCCTGTGCTTGCAGACTGGCCAGGTGCTTTCACTTAGGTCCCCGGCCGACAGATATAGTCGAGGAAACGCAGGCATAGAGTAGACGCAGACCTTTGCATTTTTCCGCTTGTGTGGGTCTTCCTTCCGAGCAGATTTCTACCAACCAACCCGAGGATCAACTGCTACACAGTGCACCCCCTGCCCATCGGGAAAACGTACTTTGACAACAGGCTCAGCCAGCTGCGAACGTTGTCTAACTTGGTATTACTGCAGTGGAGGAATTGGACCTTTGCCATGTCGGTACTCTTCTGTAATTGGCGCGGCTCTATGTAAGCTAAACATCGCATAGCGGACTTCTGCACCTCTCGTCCAACAATACGCTAGTCCTGAGAGCGCAGCCTTGTTTTGCCGTCTGCGAGATTCGTCATAGGATATAGATGGTACTACACATATGCGCTTGGCCTTTTGTAACTTAGCTTGGAGGTTAGACTCGTGTGCGCGGAAACCTGGAGAGTTCATCGTCTATACCGAAAGTGAAATCTTTCGAAACTCCGCAACATGCCCCGAAGGTAGCGCTCATCCGGATGACCTAACTGGCACTGGTATCGGGCTATTTAGCATGGAAGGCTACGGCAGCTGCATAAGCTGCGCGGCTGGAGATGTCTGCAGAGGCGGCAATGTTCCCTCTAAAATTCAGCAGTAAGGAAAGCTGGTGCAAACGTCGCTGTGCGAAGTAGTTATTTAACTTGGGAGTTCTTTATCTTGGGAGTACAACCGATGCATAGAACGTACGGTGCATCCCACTGGAGATCCCAGCAGGTGTTCGCGACGTCGCGACGTCGTGCTTCTCGTAGCTTATCTCCTTTTTTTGCCAAGTTCGCCGAATCTGCAGGTGCGTCGCCGGATATTACTGCCCAAGAGGAACAGGGCCCACCTCATTGATCAAGTGTCCTGCCGGGACAGAAGGCACGAAGAAACGCAGCATGAATTACTCAGATTGCAGCGCATGCAGCGCTGGTTTTGTGCGTTGGAAACACTGGAACGAAGACTGAGCTGCCACAGAAGCTTCAAATGAGAGTTTAGATCATCGCTCCATGCCTGGTACACGAGTACAGCCTTTCTGTCTAGTGGCTTATAACATACAATGCTCGGACACAGTGAGTTCAATGCTTTGACTCAGGTGTGCATCGGGAGCAAGAAATCAGCATGCCCCCAAGGATTTTACTGCCCTGCAGGTGAACCAGCACAAAGTTTTGTTGAGGCCTGGTCAACTGGGCATTTCGCACGTTATTTCCGTTGAAAAGAGCTGCTCTGCGAAAATGTGCTCGAATTTCACCTGCAGATATGCCGGCCTCAAACCATCTCCAGTTAAGGCGATACGTAATCAGTAAATTAGACTGCTGCCTTTTTCAGGATCGTGGAGCCAATACCTTTTCCCGTGCCCCGCCGGTACAGTGTCAGCTGTATTGAGCGCAACGAGCAAGGCCACATGCGTGACTACTCTTCCTGGATTTTGGTCGCCGAGTGCATCTTCGGTACCATCCATCTGTGGTCGTGGGAACTACTGCCCTCCTGGAAGCAAGGAGCCTACTCCATGTCCAAGAAAGACTTACTCGACTCTCCTTAGTGGGGTCAGCAGGGTCGCACATCCCCATAGCTAGGCGGTGTTACGGCGTGCTACGAAAGTAAACTGGATTGTCTTCTTTTTTCTGTGTATTCGTCCCCGTGTTCTCTGCAACAGCTACTCAACGACTGCTTAAGTTGTCCGAAAAACAAAATATGCCCAGAGGGATCCATGACTACCTATAGCTGCCCACCAGGTATGTCCAGGCCTTCGGTTGCAGCAGGTTCTTCATAATTAGCTAAAGGCACTCTGCACGACTACTGAAGTGCAAAGAGTGGGCAATGAATTACATCCCTGACCAAATTTGTAGCTCCCCACTCTTGTTGCCGGCTCCATTAGGCGGACTAGTAATGGCATATGCAGTGTTCGAATTGTTTTAATCGGCCTATATAAGAAATACAGTCATGCGCTTACTTCCAGGCAGCTAAAGGTTCACTCCGTGTCAAGAAGCAGCTCTGCGTCTGATTCAGTTGTGTCCTGCTGTCCCCGACAGGCTGGTACTACGACTCTACAGGGGAAGGTCAATGCCTTGTTTGCCCCCTGGGATATACATGCTCTTCTGGGCAACCGGTAGCCTGCTCGCCTGGCTTTTACGGAGCGTTTGTTTCACAGAAAAACTCACGAGACTGTGTTGCCTGCCCTCAAGTAAGACGGTAATCAGCCGTACCTGCACTATCTCATCTCATCCCTGCGTAAAGATTTCTCCAGAGGTGGTGAAAACAACAAGCTTTTTCCCAGCAGCAGTCTTCAAAACTTGCGCTGAAAAAGGGTCTGCTTATGAGTGCACTGCCTGCATTTTGTCGGACTAATAGCGTTCTCCTCATACTCAACTTGCGCCATTGATCTCTTGGTCCCAAGATTGACTGAATTGGCCTTGATGCTTGCGCCATTGATCTCTTGGTCCCAAGATTGAATGAATTGGCCTTCATGCGGAATGTCTTGTTATGGTTGTGGCGCGTGCGATGGGATTGTGCAGGGGTACTACTGCGAGGGCTCGGCATTGACAATAGGGGCAGCAAAGCCTTGTACTGCTGGATTCATATGCAATACGTCGGGGCTTGGTAGGTTTGTGCTAGCTGTGCAGAACATGACCTGTAGTAGGGGCAAATCCTGAAGGTTCAGAAATGATTCTTTGCAATGGAGCGCATATCAGTATATGCTTAGGTTGGATTTTTCGAGTTGCACTTCCAAAGGCCTGAGGATCAATTTGCTCTCAAGGCTCCTCTTACCTTATCAGACTGATAAAGGAAGCCTGCATCACTATAGCCTGCTAATACATGAAGCGCAGCTTTCGTTTCGTGAGTTGCTGAGCAGAAAGGCCTAAGATCGAGTGCCCTGAGGGATATTATTGCCCACTGGGAACGGCATTTCGTCTGGGAACACCCTGCCCACCCGGGACGTGGAGTAACCGAAAGGGGCTCGTATCTGCATCTCAGTGTAAACCTGTTAAAGCAGGGGCGTTTTCGTATGAGGGTGCCACAAGCGAAGAAGGTAGCGGGAGATGTGCAAAGGTTCGACTTTTCCACAGTTGCCGCATAATGCGACGTCCGGCCGAGACGGTTTGCTTCGTCTTCACATTTGAAAAAACGATGATCTTCATTCTCTGTGGGTTGAGCGTTGTACTTAGAAGTGGGCTTTCGCATATCTGTGTCTCATTAACAGGGATTTTACTGTCCAGAACGATCGACGACGTCAATGGCAGTGGCATGCCCTCCAGGGTAGGTGGAGCACGATTTTGGTGTCCTCGTATGTCTCTGTATTCGCCGTGAACGGGATGTTCAAGAGTGGGCGAATGTCAGAAGACATTCCCTAGTCCCCCATCCGTCTTGCCTTCACTACGGGAAGCGAACGTTTATTCTCTTGAACTCGGGTACACATTTCGATCCTTTTTGTCCACTTGTCCAGAACCTACAATGCCAAAGAAGGAGGCGCATCGCTTGATGCGTGCCTGCCTTGCCCCGCTGGAAAGGACTGCAGTACTAGTGGAACATCAGACCTCCGCAACTGCCCGACGTCTTACTATTGCCCCAAGGGCTCCTCCAAAGTCGTTCCCTGCCCAGTCGGGACTTTTAGGTAATTTATGCGATGCATGGTAGTAGTAGGTGCTGTCCTCCTTGACTCCTTTTGGTTTGCTGCTTGTTGGAACTTCCTGAAGAGGCTCGAATTTACTATCGTGTTTATTTCTGGCTCTGGTAGTAGTTTGACTTGAACGCTCAGCAATAAAGAAGGACTGGAGTCAGAAGATCAATGCACTAAATGCCCTGCCGGAAAGTTTTGCAGCATTGCCAGCTTGGCAGCGCCATCAGGCAGTTGCGAGCCAGGGTTCATCTGCCACGGTGGAGCAACAACACCAACTCCGACTGATGGAGAGACAGGTGAGAGCGCATCACAAAATCGAACCTGCACAGGTGTCATTACATCCACTTGAGGACTCGTCCGTGCTTCAATTCATTCACATGCCGGTACGGTTAGCTATTGAATGTTACATGGACACGCGGTAACATGAAAAAAGTAGCAGGAGGCTCAGTTTTGCTTAAATATTGTAATCTCTGGTAGTATGTGGAATGATTCAGGGGAGCAATGCCCTCCTGGCGGTTATTGCCCTGCTGGTGCAACACAAGTGACTCCCTGCTTGGCTGGATACTACAATCCACGATGGGGAGCTGGTTCCCCTTCTGCTTGCCTACAGTGTCCCCTTGGTGCATACTGTGACGGCAAAGTGGTGAGCGAAGGAGGGATTACAGGGAGCTGTAAAGAAGGATACTTCTGCGGGGAGGGATCGACAACGGCCCAGGCCAATCAAGCCCCAGCTGGCTCCTTTGCCCCAACTGGAAGCAGCAGCCCACTCCTCTGTTATCCAGGGACATTTCAAGATGAGGCCGGTCGTGGTAACTGCAAAAGTTGTCCTGCAGGAAAGTACTGCCAGCACCTGGTGGGTCTCCGTGGGAAGTAGAATGGATCGCTGCCATGGGGCCAATGCGTTGCATCGTGCGAACGTTTGACGACCAGTAGCTGCGTAGCTTTTCGTGTCAAATTTAGATTTTTTGCCTGCCCAGCTGCGGCGGGGCTGGTTGGGCGCTGTCTTGAGCAAACCACATGCGTCATTTACACTTGGATGGGGGGAAGACTTATTCATGGGCAAACGAAGTTTTTCTAAAGGACGTCCCAGGCAGCAACAAGATACATGTGTGATTCGTTTAATCCTATTCATGTCACAGGGTATGGTAGGCGGGACAGATTGCCCACAATCCTTCTACTGCCCCGAGGGAAGTTCAGCCCCCAAGCTGTGTCCCGCAGGCACGCACTCTTCAACCAAAAATCTGCAGGCGGCGTCTACCTGCACGCCATGCCCAGAAGGAAAATATTGTGGAGACGATGGTCTTGAACTACCATCTGGAGATTGCCAAGCAGGGTTTTTCTGCAAAGGCGGCAGCGCCTCATCAGCTCCCCAGGTAAATACGGTCAGGTATAAGTAGATTGCTTACTCCTTCACCCGATCTAAAACCTAGACTGAGTGGCGGAGTGGAGAGACTGCTTTACTAGCACAGTTTAAATGCTGCGTCCCAGGACACTACAGGGAAGAATCAAATTTGCCCTGTTGGGCACTACTGCGAATCCGGCAGCCGAGAGCCTCAACCATGCCAAATTGGGACGTATTCTCCGTCTCAGCAGGCAATTAATCAAAATGCTTGTATACCTTGCGACCCTGGAAAGTAGGAATCGTCTTACGTGCAAACATTGACCCTAACGGCTGTAGACGCCACTATGCTACATGCTATCTGCATTATTCCCTTTTAGCACTTAATCCACGGGTTTCTTTTGCGACATGTTTCAGGGTGTGTTCTAAACCCGGGCTTTCTGCACCGGACGGTCTCTGTCCCAGTGGCGAATACTGTCCAGGTACAGAGATCTGCACAAGAAAAGAGGCGCGACGCTAAAATCCCGACGCATTTCCGCCGCATTTGCTGCCTGCTGGGTTTTCACATCCGAAAGAGTTTCTTATGTAATATGGGTGGAATGCTTAAACAAACTTTTGTGTGAGTTAGGTGGCACTCCAATTCAGTGCGAAGCAGGTCACGAGTGCCCTGAGGGATCTGCCTCACCAACCCCTTGCAAACCGGTATGCAATCACGTCAAGGCTAACGTTGCATTCTGAGGAGACAGCATTTTAGTCAATATTACACTTCCAAATCTCTTGACTGTGCCACGCAGGGCACATACGCAGACACAAAAGGGCTTGATAAATGCAAAGAGTGCCCAGCAGGATACTTCTGCGACTCCACCGTCGACGCGCCAACGGAAAGTAAAAAGTGCCCCCGCGGATACTTCTGCCCTGCTGGCACTGCATCTTCGCATGAAAACCCCTGCCCACAGGGTACGCTTGCGAAAGCCATTCTTCTATGCTTAAATCTAGCACGTCTGAAACTCCCTAAGATACATTCCGTCCGACCTATGCCAGAAAACTGTGTACTGGTTTCCAAGTGGGCGTGCATGCCAAGCTAACCAGCGTTGCTCAATCTGCAGCAGGCGTTTTTAGACTGTAGAAGAAGACACGCGTGCGTCCAGCCAGTAGGGGACGGCAGCTGGTTAAAGGATGAGTCTTTGCGGTTGTTGGACGTGCTGGTAGGGACAATCAACAAGGAAGAAGGAGCCACTTCATTAGATAACTGCGTACCGTGCCCAGCAGGTCACTACTGCGTGGGACCAGCGGCTTCCACGGAAACTGGAGAGGTTGATGGCGGATATTACAGCATGGGCGGTGCCATGTCCCCTAGACCAGTTCCAGGTCAAGACCACCTTTTCAGTGTAGTATTGCAGCAGTGCCAGCGCGTCGGTTCCAGCCTTTTAACAGAGTGAAAAAAATGATGGTGCTCTGCACTTCTGCCTTGTTTTTCATCAGGATGTAGGATACTGGCGGCTCTTGCTGGTGTGCAGAAGACAGCTTGCAAAGGGCTCGAATCACCCATACTCGCCTTTTCGGATGCCACAACCAAGTGCTTAGAGAATGATGCATGCCAGGGGATTGTCGAAACGCCAGAAAAAACATTTTTCCTCAGGTCAGCCAAGCGAATTTCCAGCTTCGCCATCTAAATCTCCACTGATCATCCAACGGCCTGTAACCCCCAGTCAAATGGGGATTCCTCCAACATTTTCACTGCACCTCAGCCGCTAGGTGTCCGCATGAGCACCGTACCTTCACGCCATATTTTCAGACGCATTTTGACAACTTGGTGTACAGATGTAACAGTAAATCAGCCATATAGTGCATCCCGATATGAAAGCGTTGCTCATGCAGGTGCGGGAACTTCAGCAGGGTTTCTGATGAAAAGCTGAGCTTCTTCCACCCGAAACTTTGCACAATTGGAGGCATGTGCAAGCCAGGAACATATTGTCCAGTAGGAACGACGGAGCCCCACAAGTGCCCGGAAGGGTCGTACTGCGCACTTCATGGCCTCACAAGTCCTTCTGCAAAATGTGTAGCTGGATACGTCTGCCCGGGGGGTCAGTGACCTAAGCTATTCCGCAGCCTCTGCATGCGGAGAAAGTCTGCGAATACGCTAGTTCGATTAAACATGCACTGTAAAGTTTCGTATGCCGCAGGTTCCTCAAGCCCTCATGAGGCCTCAGCATTGTGCTCGCCAGGGCACTATTGTCCAGAAAATGCAGCTACCGCCACTCCGTGTCCTGCCGGGAAAGTAATTGGTGGCTTGTAGGTTGCCACAATACCAGATGGTAGCTGCCCCCTAAATTTTCTTTTTGGCAGTTTTTCTAAGGAAAACAGGTTTGGCTGTTGCTGTGATAACAGGGGTGGCTCCAAAGAGGCAGACTGTTTACCATGTCCAGCAGGGCATTACTGCGACAAGGACGGCCTTTCTTCCCCAACTGGTGCCTGCGTAGCAGGTTAGTCTCCCATTTAGTTTGAAAGCCCTTCTCTGACTAGAGCTTCCATCGGGGGAAGACTGGCTACGCGCGCGCGGTCAACCCTCACGGAGATCCCTTTCATAACTAAAAATGATGTATTGTGCTTATGCATAAAGCGCATCATCGAAAGGGCGCTAGCATACGCTAGCATATGCTGGAGAACAGCTACTTTATTTTTTCGGCCGTTAATTAGGAACCAACCGGGCGCCCGTGCCCTGTGACATTTCTGGCTTCAGGGAAGTATTGCCCTGAAGGCACAGACACCGTGGAGAAAGCGAAGGAGTGCACTGCTGGCCATATGTGCCCTGAAGGTAGCGCCGCCCCTGTTCCTTGCCCTCGTGGGACAAAACAGCCTCAAACAGGCAAAGCATCCTGTCTTAGCTGTGATGCCGGTAGGCCTCGCCTGCACTCTTTCATAGATTAGCAAGCATGCATGAACATTTAACTTGGCTCTGACTAGTTTGTGCGTAGGATTTGGCAGAAGTTGCCGCTGGCGTAGAATGCGCCATAGGAAACGCTGATGGATGCACAGTTTGCTATGTTCTCCCTCGTGACTCCTTTCAGGAGAGATTTGCAGCGAAGGCAGTAAAGAAGGCGAAACGTGTCCACTGGGATTTACATGCCCAGAGGGGACGTCTGTCAAAACGTCATTCCCTTGTCCTCCAGGGACGTATTCGGATCATGCTGGCAGTTGCACTTCTTGCCCGCAAGGCTTTTATTGTGATAGGCCAGCAAGCGATGCACCTAGTGGACAGTGCAAGGCTGGTAGGTTTGCTGAACGATGAAGCATCAACCTCATTACGTTAAGTGCTAGCCTGGTTTGCAAAGCTTGCGGAATTCAATCCTGTGCACCCTGTGTATGTGCTTGTGTTTAAAGGATATTACTGCCCTGCCGGGACCAAATGGAAGGAGCCTACGACCTTCTGCAAACATGGAGAAATATGCCCGCCTGGGTCGGCAACTCCCCTGGACTGCCCACCTAATCACTTTTGTAATACCATCAAGCTCGCGGAGCCTTCGGGCCCCTGTAGTGGTGGATTCATCTGCACCTCTAGATCAGCCAGTCCCAGGCCAATCGGGACCGAAAATGGCTCCGCCTGCGAAGAAAATATGCATGGGAGGCCTTGCCTCAGAGGCCATTACTGCCCTCGCCGTGAGCCGCAAACTATCGCTGCGCTATGGTTGCCTTTTGCCATTAAACCGAATACGGTCAATTTCTGCTGCACAAGCGCAAGCAATTGTATGGTTGAACCAGCATCAAACCTCTGGCGAATGTTTAATATCTGCTGGCTCTTTCTCAGCCGATTCCCCCTTGATTGCGGGGACAGGTTTTGCCGGCAGTGGAGGAGATGGACTTCCCGGCCCGGAGACGCTTCTAATGCTCCCTGCAAATGCTATAATGGATGCAGATACGGGCGACGTGTACGTTGCAGACTACAGCAACTATGCTGTGAAAGTAGTCCATGGAGAGACAGGTATGTGGGACTTGAGAGGGCAGATTCTAGGCGGACTAAGGTTTTAACGCAATATGCTTTACCTTACTAAGCCAAGCCTCCATGCATGTGTACTTAACAGGAACTGTAGAAACCCTCGTCTCTGGAGCGTCTGTAAGCGGAACGCTCACCTGGGTCCGAAGTACTAGCCCTGCCGGCCTAGCATTCTGCACAAGCACCAAGAAGCTGTACATTTCCTATCCGGGTTTGTCCCCTTTTGCGATCCTGAGATATTGGTTTTGCCTGCATAAACTTAGGGGCTCCTCTTGTTGTCGAGAGCAGCAATACTCTGTCAAAAGAAATTGCGTGGTTAATTGCTTTCCTCCAGGCAGAAACGCGATTGTTGAGCACGATGTGGCACTGCGCTCTTCCACATTGATGAGCAGCATTAGTGCTCAATTGTCGAAGCCACTGGGTTTAGGAGTGGATACAGATTGCAGCAACCTGTACATTGCTGACAGTGGGAACCACCGTGTGCTGAAATACAATCTAGGTGGAAGCCAACCCCCCGAAACCATTATTGGAACTGGCACTGCAGGTCCGTTCCTCTCAACATGTCCACCGTTTTAAAATTACAGTCCTCAACGCAGGTATTCCATGTTTTGTCGTGTAAATTTGTGAATGGCGCTTTTAGGGAAAGGTGATGCTACGTCAAACACCCCTCTTAACTCATTCGAGGTTAACGTGCCTTCTGGAGTGGCGCTTCACAATGACACCGTCTACATTGTAGATTCTGGGAATAAGCGAGTAGGCGTTTTTCCCGGTAACATACTCGACAGCACTTCAGGGATAGGGATGAGAGCACACAATCGTTTGCGCTGTGTCCGGCATTTCTCCTTGTTTCATGACAATTAACAGACAACAGCTACGAGTAATTGCTACCACAGAATGGCACAGTGCCTGTTCTTAGGTGCTAGAAATAAACACGAACACAAATGCTGTCAAGGTACTTCCGGGAAGCGGTGCCGGGACAACATCTGGCGGCGGCGATAGCTCCTCTGGGGTCGTCTTTGAGAGGCCGGTTTCAGTGGCAATTGCTGATCGGGAGGTATTCAAACAGCCATCCTTCGAACTCACTTCTGCCTCTTGCTTAGAAAAAGTTCCATATCTGGAAGCAGTATGCGTGGTGCGTTGTGCAGAGTAACGTAGTGCTCATTGTTGCTGATCTCGATGCTCGCGCGTAAGTAAACAGACAGAAACCAGGACGCACTACACATTATTCCCTGCTGCCCGCATCGCACGTGCAGTTTGGCACACAAGCTTCATAGTCTTGCGCTTTCCGCACAGTGTCCTTCCATCGCAGCCTGAGAAAGATAGACCTTCAAGCAAATACTATATCAACACTGGTTGATTATTCAGCCTGGAGGTCGCATGTGATCGACGACGCGGAGATTAGCATTGCCACGACAGGAGTAGAGGAAGCCTTTTATGGTGTTAGTAGCTTCTATGGAGTAAGGCAACAGGCGGAATCCTAGTTAGAGCACATTCTTTCCAGTTATTGAGCTGCTTTCCCCAAAGAAAAGTGATGGTTTGAGTTTTTGCTTTTGCCAACGGCTTTCTTGTGGCAGAAGGGCAGGAAGCGAACAGGGGTGCTTCTTGCTGACAGTTATACCCACCGAATACGCCGTATTGAACTTGAAGAGAACCTTTATTTGCGTCCAGCTGTGTCGGATATCCCCTGCCCTGAAGGTACGATTATCTCGGCCTTCCTTCCGGCGGCCTCCCGTGCGATTCCAGTGTAGATGTGCGCAAAGGACAGAGTGAAAATGCTACCCATAGCAGTTTGCTTATTATGCACTACAGCGAAGCCTGTTCAAAATCCGATACGCGAAGTCAGTTCTGCTCTGTGAGTTTGCAGGGACATTTCTACCATACACTGGGGCTGCTTCTGAGGCCGAGTGCATAAAGTGCCCTTTTGGAATGTACTGTAGCTCCCCTGGACTTATCGAGCCTGAGGGTCCCTGCGTTGAAGGTTACTACTGCCCCCGAGGGTCGACATCTCCTACTGCACACAAGTGTGCTCGTGGTCATTACTGCTCTGCACATTCAGGTGGGGAAGACGCAGGAGTATACTTGACTACTAGCTAGGCGGTGCAGACGAACGCAAGATGTTCAAAAATCCCGGTCAACGTTCAAAATGGTTCCTGTGCTCTCCATTCTGACTTAACAGGGACAATTCATGCTAAGGCAAAGCGCCCTAGTAGTAGGGAGCTGCCGTTGAAGCGTGAAGCCCTTACTGACCTGGAGCTAGCCGCGAATGGTGCAGGTCTTTCATCTGGATGGTTCAGACGTCGCGTGGGTAGTGCGAGCTGCATTGAAGCAACTACGTGCCGCCAACGAGCTGCTGCTAGTCAAGAACAGGAAGAGCTCTTCGTGGTAGAGCTAGTCGAGCCGACAGATTTGGTCGGCATTCGCATTCAGCTAGAAGGCGGCCAAAACCCTGCGGTAGGGCGACGCTCCAAGCCCTCTCGAAAAGGCTTTTGCAGGGAACATAGTAATCGGAGTTACACCCGTCTTTCAATTACATTTCGAACAGCACCATACCTGCAAGCTTGGGGCTACGATTATGCTAACATCACATCTGGACCATTTCCCTAGGTACTCGCCTACAATCGTCCGAACAGAGAGTTCTGTCAGCGTACCTGGTTCGGATTGACCAATCGTGGTTCTATCATGCAGGCCTTGCTCGGAGTGGACGTAAACTATGAAAATGGGTGTATTACTCTGTGCGGGACTTCCGCTGGACTCGACGGATCCACGTGGTCTACGCCCTACACATTTGGTGCATGGAGGCGCCCCCTTCCGTATCGTGCCAAATCAATACACCATATCGTGGAAAATAAGGGCGAGGAGCTGAAGGGCGTAAAGTCTATAATATTTCGCTTTTTTCCTGGAACTCAATCCATTACGGCCTATGCTTCACTATCCAGCAAAGCGACTCGAGGTCGGGAAACTAGGAAAATAAACGAGCTGCAAAACCTTCAGAGTGCAGATGCAAGCTAGTTCTCTAGGCCTCATAGAGTGCCATGTAGTCGCGCCACTTGGCGCGGTGCCTAGTGGGCGTGAGTCCCTACACTTCCCTTCAAGCCACAATATTCCTTTATACTGAGGCTGCATCGAAGGAATCGACCTTCTGCGCTACTTTTGTTGTACTGCAAGGCCCGGTAACACAAAAGAAGTGCCCACCAGGAACATATCAGCCAGAGGAAGGTGCAGGAAGCTGCAAAGTTTGCCCTGCTGGCTATTACTGCGATGCGTTCGGTGTCGAGAACCCCAAAGAATGTTTAGCGGGTTTTGTATGTCCTGAGGGATCAACTAGAGGAACATCGGAATACTGCAAGATTGGTTGGATCTCTACGGGAGTAGGGTCGTCAAACACAAAATCCTGCGTGCCCTGTGAAAAGGGCAAGTTTTGTGCAGAAACAGGAGCAACAAAGGACTCAGGGAAATGCTCAGCCGTAAGTATTACTTATGTCTCGTTGTCGATTTTCCTCAGTTCGTCTACGCAACGCTTAATATATTTGAATATACGCACTACAAACTATTTGCTGGATGTCATGGTTACTGGTGCACATATGATACTGCTCTTGATCTACAAACTATTTGCTGGATGTCAGGGTTACTACTGCAAAGGAGGGTCTTGGACTGCCACACCGTTGGCAGGCATGGTGCATCCGGAGACTGGTGAAGTAGTTGATATCGGCGACATCTGCCCTCCCAACCATTTCTGCATCGAAGGCGTTTCGCAGCCCACCGCATGCCCCGTGTACGCCCACCTGTGCATGCTGGTCCTCGCAGAGTTCGCAACGAATTCCGCAGAAGTAGACTGACCATTAGCCTCCTTGTCTGGCGCCCACCCATGTTCTGTTCAGTCATAACAAGTCGCTGGCTTCTCAGTGATAACGTAATAACCGCAACTGACTCCCTTAAACCGCTGTCATAATTTGTAAAGACACGAATCTTGGGTTAGTAGTTGGTATGGCTTGCGCGCAGAGGAACATTCTCGCAAACGGGAGGAGTTACTTCTGAGTCCGGGTGCTTCAAATGCTCCGCCGGCTTCGCATGCATCAGCGAGGGTGTGCAGGTTCCCTGTGCTGAGGGCTACGTCTGCCTGGAAGGATCAAACACCGCAACACCTGAAGACAAGAAAATGGGCTACATCTGTCCAGCAGGCCATTACTGTCCTGAAGGCTCATTCGCCGAGAAGGCAAGAGAACGGATACATTCACAGTATTGTTTAGTCGCCAGTGACACTACTTAGCCAGCTACACCAGTGTAGGGAATTCAGTGAAATAACCAGTACCAATATTATTCCCCCACTTTGCCACAGCCCCATGCTGCTCTCAGAGTGTCATTTTACTGATTTGATAACGTAGGCCACCTTTGATTGGTTAGTTCATGACGCCCTGCAGTTTCAGCCCAGTGGAGGCTCAATTGTGCAAGACGGCACGTTTGCAGCATCCATATCTTTTTGGCACTTCTCAGCAATGCCCTGCCGGAACATTCAGCTCTGCTGGCCAAGCTTCGTGCACTCCTTGCAGCCCCGGCACCTACTGTCCAACTCCAGGGAATACCCAAGACGGTGCAGAGTGCCCGATAGGGCACTTCTGCGGCCAACAAACTATAATCCCACAGCCTTGCAAACCTGGGACGTTTCAGGATCAACCAGGGCAATCATCGTGCAAGCTGTGTCCTAGAGGAGTATACTGCCCTAACTACAGGGCATCAGCTGCCACAGACAAGTGCTACGCAGGGACTATCTGCGTCGCAGGAGCCACACATCCCCGCATTATTGATCATGTGTACAGTTTTGAAGACGAGATGAATGGGCTGTGTCCGCCAGGTCATTTTTGTAAGGCAGGAGTTACGAAGCCAACGCCATGTCCTGAAGGGCAGTATCAGGTTCGTTGCCTTAGTAATTTAGGCTGCATGTTGCTGGCTTGCAGTATATTCACCCCCGCCATCTCGTTTTTGCAATGTGTGGCTCTAGGAGAAACCCGGAGGGACGTCGTGCGTAGAATGCCCAGCGGGCAAGTATTGTTCTGGAGAGGGCAATACAGCCCCTACAGGAGACTGCGCCCCCGGATACGTCTGTTACAAAGGTTCTGCAACAAGAAAACCCACGGATGGGGATAAAGGCGAAGTCTGCCCAAAAGGATTTTATTGTGAAGAGGGGGCAACCCATCCCATTGCATGCGCACCAGGCTCATACACTAGCACGACGGGCCAACGCTCTTGCCAACCCTGCCCAGAAGGGTTCTACTGCAACGCGACTAGCACCGACCCGATAGAGTGCCCCGCAGAAAAGGTCAGTAGCAACTCGGCAAGAGCGAATTCAACGTTTTGCTTGAAAGGAATATCTAAATCGCCTTTTTTCGCAAGAAACTTACTTTAGGGGAGAACACGGAGGCCATGCATGCATCGTATTTATTGACACAAAATTGATTGCGAATGTATACGCGAGCCGCAGGTGTGTCCCGAAGGAAGTGCAGAACCTGGCCTCTGCCCTCGAGGCTCTGTACCCGCTTCAGACCCTGATGCAACTGATATTTGCGTTCCATGTCCGAGAGGAAAATATTGTAGGGGGGCTGCCGAAGTTGGGGATTGCCTTGCAGGGTATGCACTTCGGAATATTGCCATTGGTTTCACGACAAATGGGAGGATGCACTGTGAAGAATTTGAGGACCAAGAGGAAACGCACAGCATGCTAAAAGCACTGGTGTGCCTATGAACCCGTGTGGGCAGGTTCTTCTGTGGTCTGGGCAATTGGGTGCCCAACCCATGGATGGAACAGCTGCCAAATGAACCGTTTGTACCACCGAGTGCTAGTGCTGCCGGAGACGTTACACTATTGACCTTGGATAATTGGGAAGAAGTATGGGACACAGGATATGGAGGCATCCCTTGCCCTCCAGGGCATTACTGCCCAGCAGGTGCCAAGGGACCACAGGCTTGTCCAGCCGGAAGTGTCAGACAGGCTACATTAGGCAGATGGGAAAGCGATTGTTCTATTTGTCCGAAGGGGTAGGTTCTGAACATCGTGCACCTTAGACCTTAAAATTGTAGGAATTGAGGCTTCCTGGCATGTGTTTTCCTTTCGGTGCGCTGCGTACCTCTTTGATTTTGGTGCCTCGGCTCCTCGCAAACACAGCGATTTCTTGCATCGTTTAGTTGCCCACTATGGCATTGCCATTCTGTGGAGTTTTCATCGGTGTTCAGGTTCTATTGCCCTGCCCTCGCGCTTGTCCCTGAACCTTGCCCAGTAGGCCACTTTTGTCCTCTGGGCTCTTCGGAACCACGGCCGTGCATAGGGGGCACTTACAATCCCCACCAAGAAGGCAGCGGCACCGCCGCATGCCTTATTTGCCTACCCGGATACCTCTGTCCTGGTGAAGGCAATGGAGAATTGTCAAAGGAGAACCAATGCCCTACGGGGCACTATTGCCTCGAGGGTAGTCAGCAAGCAATACCTTGCCCACCTGGAACGTATGCAGACGAGCGCGGGTTGACCAGTGACTTTGGTTGTAAGCCCTGTCCAGGTGAGCGAAGCTTATGGCCTGCACACTACCCGGTGCCATAAACAGGCGTCTTTTCTGAGTGGGTGCTTGCTTTGCGGGGTAGCAGGTAGCGCTCTAGCCTTCACCTAGTGCCAGACATCTGCGCTAAGGAGCCTATTGGGTTGCAAAACAACAGCGTTTTACCTACAAGTGCATGCTATAGATCCCCTATGCCTGCTGGGGCTCCTTAGGAACTGGTGCTCACTCGTCGTGGTTCACATTTGTTATGGTGCCCGCTAACCGTATGCGGCCAATATCCCTCGCCTGGATGCGTGTTCAGCGGGGAGTTATTGTCCAGTGGAAGGGTCATCCGAGCCTGGAGTTGCATGTCCAGTAGGGCATTCTTGCCCTTTAGGGACCGCAGTCCCACGCAAATGCCTACAGGGAACTTGGTGCCCTGCCGGTAGCGGCGAACCACAACTATGCCCAGCTGGAGCTCTGTGTCCAGTGGGCTCAGGGACGCCCTTGCAGTGTCCACCCGGTTCCTATTGTCCGCTCGATCAATCAATCCCCAGTCCATGCCCAGCTGGTTACATGGGTTCCGCCGATCGATCTGACACTACTTCATTGGAAACTGGCTGTACTATATGCCCAGCGGTATCGTCTTCAGCACGCCAGCGTACAAAATTCAAAGGCCGTACTGCAATGCACTAAACCTATGAAATAAATAAGGTAATAAATGGCCTGATAATAGGTGAATGCGTTTGCATTTACGCTATCTTGCAGGGCACCTACTCAAGCGAGCCTGGTATGACAGAGTGTCGGCCGTGTACCCCTGGATACGTTTGTTTGGAAGGATGCAACTCCCAGTAAGATCAGGCACCGAAGCGTAAATACCTTAGTTCTGCTCAAGAATACGGTCCAATAGGAGAGAAAGAAGGAGCATTTGCCGGTGCAAACTCGGCGCTTCACCAATACTCTGTAGGCAGCACTCCCCAATGTGCGTTCAGGATGCCAACCAACAAGGAAAGAGACAAGGGCTTTCGGTGTGCCCCTGGCACGTACTGCCCTGCAGGATCTAGGAGCGAGACACCTTGTCCTCCAGGGACATACGGACTTCAAGCTGCCTCATCAAGTGCTAAGGCTTGCTATTCATGCCCGGTAGGACAGGCGTTGCCAAACAGCAGTTCAGACGCATAAAGAATCCAACATCCACGGCATTCAATCGCGTAACCACTTAGATGGTATGCGTGCTTTGACAATATGCATGCGTTGCTGCAGTCAGGGACATACAACCCCTTGGAAGGCCAAACAGGCTGCGTACTATGCGGGGCCACAGCAACGTCTAATTCGAAAGCTACGTCTTGTTCTTGTAGGGGAACGAATCGAGCGTTCCAACAGGCAGACAGGTCGTGCGTTTGCCTGTCCGGGTTCCACTATATTCAAGGGAAGGAAGACCTTAGTGATCAGGATGGCGTGGAGCCCTGCCAACAAACTGTGAGTCACTGATTATTGGTGGAGCATGAAAATGAAAAAAACCGCGACAGGATGCTGGGATACTTCATCATCTCAACCCAATATTCATGCAGTGCAATCAATACTTCGTCACACTTTTGCGCATGCTGGTATCCAGATTTACGATGAATGCACAGAAGACGCGGTGCGGGACTCAACAGGAGCTTGCTCATCTTCAAAGGATATTTGCTCTAGCCAGTGCGGCCCGGCAGGCGGTTCCTTTAGCAGTATATCGGGTCTTTGCTCTTGTGCCGGCGAAAAGTCCCTGGATGAAGTCTGCGACGAAGCTTGCAGGGCTACGCGCCCCCAATTGATTCTAAAGGAGTCTAAGCTGCTTATTGACGACCCTGAAACAGCGTCGGGCGACAGAGAGTTTGCGCTACAAGATCTTACAACGCAGACTGGGCTTGCCACTGGTTCATATGAGTGCGAGGACAAAGCAGGCTGTACTATCCGGATGTTTGATACGACGCTAGGTCAGCGTCTCCGCACAAAGTCAAAAATAGACTTTATTACATTAGTTCATCTTTCGTAGGTTTGGGAAGCGGGTAATGAAAGCTATACAAAGGGCACTCGCATTTATCACCAAGGTCCTCCCGGTGTGAGCCTTCCGGCCCTCCCCTCAGCTTGAGCAGCACGACTGTGTGTGTTAATATGCTTCAGCCAAAATGACAGGTCTTGTGGGCGTACCACAGAGTTTCGTTGATGACGTAACTGAACGCTTAGAGGGATACGGCATCGTGCCCGAAATCCCCAGCAGCGGTGAGGAAGAAGGAACAAAAGACACGGAAATTGATGCAAGGGCTCACACACGACGATTGGCACCATCTGTCGACTTCGGTTACTTCGGAGTGTCCGATCCAGTCCAATGCCTTCCACTGGGCTCGACTGTAGCCTGGCACATCCGCCCGAGCCCTAATCCCATATACCCGGTGTATCTTCGGAACAATTTGTTGAACACGAACCAACAGTTCGACTACGGAGCCTTTAGGTGAGAAGCACATCGCTTGCGCTTCCCGTTTGTCGAGCGAGGCCTTGGGCTTAGTTGTAGTGTTGGGTTTAGCTAATGCACAATAAGCCCCTTGCTGACTTTGCGCAGGGAACTGGATACCGACATGAAAGCGGGAGAACAGAGAATCCTATTCATGTTTACCTTCAAAGATCCCGGGCTCTACGTATTTGGCCTGAATGCAGACCAAAACAAGATCTTGGTCCTGCGTGTCATGGAACCCAAAAGGCTTTGCAGGGACGACGCACTGCTACCCCAACTGCGAACTGCTGAGACACTCGCCGCCATTTCTGCGCGGCTCCCTACTGCCTTAGAAACATCTGGCTGGCTGTTATTTAGTGCAGTCGTTTTGGGGACCGTATTGATGGCAGTGTTCCTGTTTTTGGCGGCCTGGACGGTCAAACATCAGAGACTGGAAAAGCTTGAAACAGACCCCAAATCGAAATACAACCAGCGGCCCCCAAAGGAGACATCCACGTATGTTGTACACCTACTGTAACGTCGCCTATGCAATGCGCTAGTTGGTATGCATCACGTCACCACTGAATTGACATTTGCACAGGAAAGCCACAATTAGGGAAGTGGAAGACCTCATCCTTCAAAACCAAGCTCAGGTTCCCATGGAGGAGGATCCTGGTGTTTTAAGGGCAAGACGAGCCTTGGCCAAAAAGCTGGAAACGCAAGACCCTCGACTATTCATTGCAGTTCTCAACCTAGCCAAACAAATTCAACAGGAAGCAGAGCACCAATGCAGCCAAATAATGGCTGAACGCAGCCAGGGTTTATCTCAACTTCTCGAATCAACGAAGCAATTGAAACAGGCCCTTTCACAACAGCTACAAGATGCTGCAGCCTCAGATGTAAGTCGTGGGGAAACGGGATAGAGCTATGCCTGCTGAAACTATTAATGGGAGTGGTCTATAGTGCAAATGGACCGTGGAAAGTCATCCGAAAGTGCTATGTGTCATCTATAGCAAGAGAGGCAGCGTACCCTAGAAAACCTGTTAGCGGTAGTATGGCAGTGGTGGCCCTAGAAAAATATCGCCCCAGCTGAGGAAAAGAGAAGCGATGGTAGACAGGTGATGCTCGTCTCATATGGTTCAATGTAACTGTGGAGGGTCTATACCGGCATACCTGACCCGAAACAAACTTCTTGTACCACGGATTTATGCGCGTGTGCCGCTTGAAAACAGATATGGGACAAGGAGCATGATGAAGAGCGTGAAGAGATTCTATCTACACTGCTTAGCCTGCTCCGGTTAAGAAGACGAGATCTTGTCAACAAGCTGGCGCGGGAAGAGAAGGAGCACCAGGAGGTTTGCTTCCTTGCACTGCAGTTGTGCTCTGTAGGATATACTTGATACTCTCCTCTCGACAGTCAGCCGTGGTTTTATGCGGTTTCTGCGGTACCTGGATAGGAAGAGGCCCTCAAAGGCAAAGGCGAGCAGCTACTGCTACTGCGCCAAGCAAGCGGGATGTGGTCACGAAACGACTCCCTAGTCTCAAGTATTATTCTTCCAGCTGTTGGTGAAAAAGGGCAGACGCAAATTTCTTCGATCAAGCTTTCTGTAGAGACGCAGATAGAAGAACTCCTCGAGGAGTTCAGAAAAGCTCGGGCTGATGAGGACGACGACATGCCTTCCATAATAGAGATCTACAAAGCCAGAATGAGAAATCTTCTGGAAGAAGTGAGGCTTTTCATTGACTTTCCCACTTTTATCAACTATTGACGATGAGGAAGCTTTTCCCGCCCATGCATGGATGTCTTACGGCTTCCGTTGGTGCTGTCATGGTTAGGCTCAAGGAGACACAAACCTTGCTTTCAAGAGCATGCTTTCTGAAGATATTGAAGGGCACGTGAGTGCATGGCAGCTATTAACCAGACGCACCGATAGTTGGTTCAATAGAGTATCTTGCTGAGATGAAAATGACTGCCACTGCGGTTTCACCTGTCAATGAATGTGCGATTAGCTAATGACTGGCAGTGCTTTGTTGGAGCTAAGAGAAGCCAGGGCCAACTTGGCACGAAGCGAAGACGAGGCTGAGGAGCAAAAGGCTCTTGAAATATATCGTGCGGTATGCCATCTGTTCAACGTCTGGTTTTCCTGCCCTTTTTTTCGCAGAACGTTGCCCCCTAGCACTGGATTCAAGGCAATTCTGAGCCTTCATAGCTGATTCCTTTTTTGGGTTGGAAATTTGTCTGGAGAGTGTTTTTCGTTTGCTATACAGCTCGCAGGAGCAGCATGGAAGCTAACTGTGTACACAGCTGTCATTGAACAAGAAATTTCGTCTTCCACCCAAGCGGTAAATAGGGCTGCTTTCGAGGGAAAGCAAGCGGTGGAAACGGCGAAGATGGATTCCGGCGAAGCAGCCAAAGCGCTGAAGGTTGCTGTGATGGGTAGTCTTAAGGTAAGCGTTAATCCCAATGGCTACTCAATGGAAATAAAAGTGTGCAATATACGGCGTGGAGTATAAACAAACCCTAAAACCCAACGGAGAATACGCACTTGAACCCGGAAATTATGAGTTCCTTAACACTGGTGACGGCAGGAGGGACGCTCAAGAGTACAAGAAGCTGCTGAAGCAGCTGAAAAAGCCATTGCTTCTGCGGAAGAACAGGCAATGTCACAAATGGACTCTTGGACTGCCAATTACCAAGCAGAATTGAGAGATATGTATGATGTAAGCTTTGTAGCACTTTTGTGCATGTGATGACTGAAGTGCTCCATTGAAAAACTCTGTCTGGACCTTACCCGCCAGGATGCATGCGTTTGGCGTGCGAATAGGGCGAGCGTTTCACATCAACCAAACACTTCACCCTAGCATAATTCCTGCCATATGCCTGTAGGCAATAATTGATGCTCAAAATAAAACGTTGAATTCGGCGTTTGCCACTGAGTCAAGACTCCTTAAAACATCCATGCAAACTACGAAGAACCAAATTTTGGAGCGCATACGTAATCGGTACGAGCAATAGGCACCCGCGGAGCCGGCCTAAACTTTGAATAGGAACATCGTGGATCGTCTAACAGTAGCGCGTTTCAAAATATGAAGTTTGTAGACCAGTGGGCATACCGTCAAAACATGCGTCCCTTCAGGTACGACAATATCCAATCTGTTAGGTGCTCCGACATTTTGGAAGAAATGCAGGTTACACTAGATGCAAGCATTTCGGACAGAAGCTTCAAAAACAGGCGAAAGTTCATCGATGACTCGGTGAACGAGGTCGGTCAAATTTTAGCATGCTAGACAGATAAAAAGTCTTACCTATCTAGATGGTGCTGCCAAATGACGCACCAACACTGCTTCGGCGAAGATTGTCAATGCTCGAGCAGCCAGTCAAACTACTCGAACAAGCAATATCACCGAAGGTCTCAGAAAGGTCGCGAATATCTCTTGGGTGCTACCTAAAGGCTGTGAGGCTGAGCTGCAGTTTTTGTCCTACACACAGGTTTCAAAAGAAACTCACCGCCTTCGGGACGCCGAGCTAGAATCCGCCACTGCTGCCCTTAAGCGTGTCATTGCTTCAAGGGCAGAATCGGTTCACAAGAGACAGTCTGCATTCAAGTCGCGCAAGCTTTTGATGCTTCAAAAACGGCAAGAACTGGCAGTTCAGCACGTATCTCTGCAAGCACAATGTGCAGTTGCGCTGATGCGCAGGGGGTTGCACATACTGGCTGAACAACTGAAGGTCAGAAAATACTTGAAGCAAAGAGCGGAGGTAGTGGCCGCTCTCTGTGCTCCAGACCACATTTGCGTTCATGAATTAGTGCATAATTCTTCGTATTAAAGGAGGAGATCCAAAACACCCTATGCCGCATTTTGCGAATGCAACGCCTTTTGTGTCTCCTGTTGATTTAGGCTGCTACGACTTATGAAACAACCCTCTTCCAAAATGTCGCCAAGTTCGGGGTGGATATGGCGGTGAGAATTGAACCGTTGTTGGCCTAACTTAGCCGGAGTACGCTTGCTTTTAGTCAGGCATAGACATTCACTGGCAGCGTTGCTAGAATACACTCTGTTTTACTGTGCGGGCTTTCAGACATTGATAAAGGATAACACAGAGGATCTCAGCGCACCGGCAACTCTTCAGGACGAACTGAAAACGCAGCAGGGTGAAGCGCTGGCTAAGTACAGAGATCAGTTGCTTGCGTGCTTGCGAAACCAGAGACAGGAAGCAACGGAAGAACTGTGGGACCTGGAGCTACAAGAACGAAAGCGGGTCGCCGAGCTTCTCGAAGATCAAACAGAGCAACTCGAAGTAGCCTGTAATAAACTGGATGAGTATGAAAGCAACTACCGCAAATATTGAACACTACACATGAAAAGAGTGCAACCAACACAAGTGGGCGCTGATAAGCATGTAGTGTGCTGCATAACCATCCATATATGCACACCGGCTGCTTCTGACATGCTGTGCCGGACAGGGCTACCGCGAAAGAGGAGACAGTCCTTGACGAGTACGAGGATACCGTACTAAAATTAAGACAACAGAACCAAAGGGGATTAAAGGAACTAGACACAATCCATGCTGTCTCTACATTCAAGCAAAAGCTGCTCAGCAAAGTTAATGATTCGTTTTTGGCCCGCGCAAACGAGGTACCGTTACATCGCGCTATTTGAGGTCCATCATACTCTACCAATCATAGTGCATTCAGGTATGCTTGAGCTCTACACGACCAAATATGTATAAATGGCATGATCGGCGTACTGGAAACTCAGGCAAGGAGCAAGGGTATTGATGACGCGGACACAGACGATAGGTTGCAGGTGAGCACACATGCAAATTTCAGTCTTGCATACACGTAGGAATTTATTGCTAAGAAAGACCCTAGGATGCAGCTACACAAGCGGGAACACGTTTCCTCAGGATGCTTTCTTTGCAATATTGGCCGCGCATTTGGCGTTCTACGACTGTTGAATGCTGTGCGCCCAATGCTAAGCCTGTTGGGCCCTAAGCGGCCCCCCATGCTAGAATCTGCACAGACGCTGCTCCTGTTATAACGGTATGCTGTGCCTTGGCCTGTAGAAAGAGTGGAGGCTTGCAGCAGCTGAGCTGGAGCCGCTCATAGGCCGAGAGAAAGAAACGTACTGTCGATACGCCGACTTAGCTTTCCAGACTCAGAACGAAAACGCCATGAGGGCTCTTCAGAGCTCAAGGCAAAACCGCCTCAGCCAGGCAGCTCTCACAAAGTCCATGGTAAGACATGCGTAAAAGGTAGAAGCCATTGGAGTTTAGTGCCGAGTAGACGTCGGAAGACTCACTGTACCGTCTAACATCTGCGTAACCGTCAACATGTCCTGCAAACACGAAAATTTCACGTGTCACCTCTCGCAGCGGCCTTCATTTTGGATTACACTGTACACTTCCTTACGATTTTTGCGCATTGTCGGGCTGCACATATTTTGCGCTATGTGGGTGCTTCACCTGCTTATTCTGCAGGAGCAAGCTGAGGAGGAGGGAGAGGAGGACTTGCTCAACAAACGCCGGGCTATGGGAACTGATGAAGTCCAACGTATCGTTTGGCGCATTTGCGCCATTCTGTCATCTGGAGGAGTTGCCTCTGCAGAAACGTCTAAGCCTAGTCTCGTTGTTCCTGAAAACAGGCAAGATGAAACGATCGAAGAACTACGCCAGCAGCTTCGTCGCCGACGAAAGAAGCATCTAGCCTACTGCATTGCACAGCGCAACATGATTGAGGGTAGTTCTAAGTCCGCTTTAGCCATTCTTCAGAGCGAGACTATTCAGGGGCTCTCGGACACGTCAGAGGCTATCGAAAAATTCAGCAGGTCAGCCCAACTGATGATATGGGGCATTTGCATTTCTGCATTATTACAGCAGTGCATTTGCACCAGGACAATATACGCTACTGTGCTTTCTCTCTTAGGGGCTCTGCCACAATGGAGGCAGCAGATTCCTCTGCAACAATTTTGCAAATCATGGAAGAAGCTCAGCAAAAGCTGGACAAGGCCCTTGAGGAAATTCAGAAGGAACAGGAGGTACGCACTCCATCTGTTGTTTGTAGCGCTCTACTGAGTAGGCCACAGTGCACTCTGAGGAGGACAGGGCCTCATCGCACTCGAAGACTGCCTATTTCTTCACCTTTGAATTCTAGGAAGCAGAGGAACGCGATAGAATCGAGCGAGAACAGGAAATTGCTGAACGGAGGAGAGCTCACGAGCTGGCGAAGCAAAAGCTTAACGAAGAGCGGGAAGCAAAACTAGCACAAGTTCCTGATGACGCAAGGGAAGAACTTCTTAAAGGTAATAAATATGCGTTGTCGAAATTTGAAGCTCCCCGTATTCCCCCAATAATATACGGTTAGAGCTCTAGTTCGGATGGGTCCGATCATTCGCTGCACTCCTACCCCCTATGTAGGAGAGGGTATGAGAATATGCCGCTCCCTCCCTTGTTATGATTCGCGTGGATCTTGTGCTGCAGAACATGAGCTTGCACTAAAGCAAATGGAGTCGACATTGGCAGCTGAACTGCAAGAGCAAGAAGAGCGAGCTCAGCGGCGGCTGCTGGAGCGAAGGCAACGTCTACAACAAAAGCGGCAGGAAGCAGAAGCGCAGAAGCAGAAAGCAATTGAACAAGCTAAAGCGGAACTTGAGGCAAAGATTGCTGCTGAGGCTAAGCAGGTACGAACGCTTGTCATGCTTGGAAGGAGACGGTTCTCTCATTGTCCTCAGGCGTGTTAGGAATCCAGCTGCAATCTTCTGCTGCGATTGAGTTGCGCTGCAGAAAGAAGAGGCAGCAGAAATGGAGGAGTTGCAACGCCTAGTCAATCAGGGTAGCAACACTGCTGCAGTGGCACAGGTAAGCAAACAGCCGCATGTTATCTACTAGCGCAGCTATTTTGTCTTCCTCCTAGCACAGCTGAGACGTAAAGGCTTAAGCTGGTGTTGAGGGCAGACACAGATTAGGCTTTGGATTCTATCGCAGCTGCTAGCACGCAAACACGACAAGGAAACGGCGTCGCTTCTTCAAGAGCTAACTATGAAAAAAGCAGAAGAGATCAGCGCACTCACGGAAAACTTCTGGAAGGACAAGGGAGGCAGAGTGTACGTGAAATCGCAACAGCCATCTGTCACAAACCCCAAATAGCGGTAACTTTTTAGCAGTTATACATAAACAAATGCATACATGTATATATCAAGCAATGGACAGAATGAAGTCCTTCTTTGCTGAGCTTTTGTTTTCAGGTGCGACGGACGTCCTGACGATGTGCAAGAGCTCTACAAAGTAAGGTCCAGTCAGCCCGGTGGCACGCATGTTCCTCTTCCGTTGGTTTGGTGACTTTCAAATGCGTGGACTTGTTGGATGTACATCCTCAGGCCGAGTTACAGGAATACTTGTTCGTACAAACACAGACGGTAGGGAAACTTCATCTTCCTTTATCTTCGAGCGACGTTGTGTGCTCATCATAAGAAGAATTCGGTACCAGATGAATATCTGTAACTGTCTTCATTCCCTGCCAAGTGCGGTTGCATTCTTACGCGCAAGCTACTGGACATAGGCCTTATTATTTGCAGGTGGATGACCGCATTACCCTGCAAATGCAGGAGCTACAGCAGCGCCAAGCGGCAGAAACGGAGGCCATGATGAAACAGATGGAACGCATGGCGAAACTGACACGGGAAACTGAGTTGGTCAGTGGCGGTGCTTGATGCTGTGCATTCAGAAATGCGTTTCGAGGTTCTCCATCTCGACGCTATTTTAAAATTAACGGGCGAGGAGTATTTATGTTCTTGGTCTTGAACGGTGTGTGTACTTCAGCCTCAAATGTCTGAAGAAGAACAATATGCTCAGCTACAGCGAGAAGCTGAAGCTGCGGCAGAGGAGGAAGTTGGCGCCATAGAAAAACGCATGATGGAAGAACAGGAAAAGCTGCTAAAGGAAATGGAAGAAAAGCGCAATGCCTACGATAAGGTGCTGGACAAGTTGAAGCACCGTAAACAAATGGAGGAAAAACGACGAGCATTGCTTCAAGAGCAGGAGCAGCGCAAGCGAGAAGGACAGGGAAGTGCGCTAAAGCAGCTCATGAGCCAGTTCGAGGAACACAGGAAGTTGCTGGAAGAAGCGCTGGCTATTGAGGCGGAAAGGCAGCACAAACAAGCAAGAGAGCGCGTTCTTCTGCGAAATGCCGAGAGAGCGGATCGTTTATACCAGAAACGACTCATTGAGAAACAGAGGTTCCTTGTGAACCAGAACGAGATAAAACGACGGGAACTGGGGCTAGTGAGATAATACCCCTAGGACCCCGTTCACTTCACTAAGTCAAAGGCAATACACAGCGAAGTCCAAGTTCGTTGCACTCATTCATTCGTTTAGATTGCGTTAGTCACCAGCCTGCCTCACCCCATTCTCACCAATGACTACTCTGCAGTTAATTCTCTTGCAGAACAATGCCCGGGCAGGAGTGAGGAGCCAGAGGAATTTGGTCGAGACTTTGAATCAGCAAGAGCTGAAGCGAAGGTGGGCGCAAACTAGCGACCTACCCTGATACTATAAGAGGTTTCTACCGGACTATTATCGCCATTCCCTATGCTCGTTGACTGGAAGCAGCCTTTTTTCTCCCTCACTCTGAAGCGAATGCATAAGCAAACAGTTAACGTTCAGCTGTGCCTGGTTTCCATTCAGGATGGAGCTGGCACATCGGTTGGAGGAGGAGCGCCATTGGGCTCCTATCTGGCGAGAGATCCTTGAAGAGGAGCAGAACGCGGGCACATTCGATTCCTGGGATCTTGATGATCAGCAAATTAGTTGTGCGTATTTCTTCTGCGTATTGTGTATGCTACTTGCATAGAAGAATAAAGAGGGCACGATGGTTGCTCTCCGCCTTCTGTGGAGGCTGCGTTAAAGTACTAGAAAGACGCTTTCTCTCTGTGAATGGTTCTGTGTGCAGTCGCCGGGCCATTTGCAACAAATTTGCTGCACACCGAGCGCATGCTGCAGAGCGAAGGGTCTTATATGCGCAAACTCATCGGCGAACTCCAGCAGCTCAGCGAGTTGATTTCTCTTGTAAATGCATCTGAGAAGGAGGAAGGGGCAACTCCCTTAGAAGAGGAAGCGTCCAAGCATTCCTCCAGCAGCTCGTCTTCAACTGAAGAAGATGAATCTGAAAGCACTGACAGTGCCAGTTCAGAAAGCAGCAGCACCGAGGAAAGCTCCGAATCCGAGAGCGACGACTCCAGCAGCGAATCTCAACCCGCATCCTCTGACTCCAGTTCAGATGAAGAGGAACAAGCCGCCTCATCTAGCAGCGAAGAGGCATCAGAGAGCAGCAACAGCTCCAGCAGCTCAGCAAGCAGCGACGAAAGTAGCAGCAGCAGTACAAATTCCTCCAGTTCAGACGCCGATAGCGACTGACACCATCTGTCTCCTTATTGTTTTGAACCGGAGACACGGTCTTTCTCCTTATTGTTTTGTGCGGGAGACACTGTTTACCTCCCTATTCTTTTGCCTAGAAGAGACTGTCCGTCTCCTTACTATTTTGCAAAGGAGCAAGCAGCTGTCTGGCCCCTTATTGCTGAATGTTAGAGACAGTGTTTGTTTCTGTATTGGTTTCCGCTCGAGACGCCATCTGTCTCCTCCTTGTTCTTCTGAGGAGACACCGTTGATCTCCTCATTGTTTTGCCCGTGAGGCGTTTTCTGTCTCATAATTGTTTTGCCTGTGAGACGCTTGCTGTCTCTTTTTTTTACAGACGAGGAGCTGTCTTTCTCATTATTGTTTAGGGTTGGGTACGCTGTTTGCCTCCTCCTTGTTTTAAGTTGGAGACACTGGCCCTGGCATCCAGCAAATGCCTCAGCACCAAACACGGCTAAAACAAACGGACGAATATACGGAGAGGTAGATAGAGGAGAGAGAAGAAATGCTGCAGCCGCCACGTACAACCCGCTAGCTGCATCCAATATCACACAGGGTTCAGGTGTATGTACACCAGGATTACACCAGGATTTGTTGGAGCTTCGTTTTCTTTTTCAGTTTTTATTGTATTGTGTTCTCTATTATGGTTCTATTAAAAAGCTCCCCTACAGACTCCTATTGAAAAGGAAATATGTGAGGGTAACTCAGCACGAAGCAAACTGTTATAATGATGCCTTCGAGGGTCTTTACAGAATGCATCTTCGGTGTCTGCGCAGACACCGGAGAAGACCACCTAATTAGCTAACGCTGCTGAGGCTTTTACCTTCACAAATAGTGTAGTTAATAATGTTGTACCTTCTTAACTTATTTACGAGACTGAGCATACATCAATTAGAGCACGTACACCCCAAGTACAGAAACACGACACAGGGACATGAAGCGAATAGCTCAACGGAACAACAACTTGTTGTTGTTGCTGTTATGTACTACTGTTTATTTTATTTTCCATTATTTCTGATTCGTTGTTTCTTATATTCCCGCGCCCCAGGGGAAGAAAGACGCCCCCTGGGGGTAGGGAGGCGTTATGAAGGTAAAACAACGAATGTTTTCATTTATATGGCGCATGCAGCTGTGTAACAAACATAGTCAAGACAAAATCGATTATAATATTCTGAAAAGTGTCTATTTCAAAAATAAAGAACATGTGACGTAAATGGTAGTGTTGTTTTTCCTTCGGGCTACACCAGCCCTATATAGCGTGGTGGGCCCTCCTGCGCACGTTTGTGTTTTTATCTTTCTTGGCATGAGGCTTGTGAGTTCTTTTTCTTTGTTTGTTTATTGGTTCTTTTTGCTAATAATTAAACCCCTAAATGAAATGCTGAAGATGGCCGGGAGCCGCTGCTAGCTGCGTGCAGCAGCTGCCACCCCACCCCGATAAACACCCCCCCGGGTTTTCGGGGTATATAGGCAAAAGAGAGGGCTGATGCTGCCTCTTTGTTTTGTATTTAAACAAAATGGCGCTGCAAGACTTTACAGTTGATCTCGTTCAACAAGTAATTCCTTTTCGCTCCCCCAACCCCCTAGAGGACCCTCGCGAGCATCGCCTCCGCCTGGTATGCAGCAATAAATACATATTTATACTCATATATATTTATTTATTCGTTTAAATGCCTCGGGATAATGCAGATTTCAGGGACCGGAAAAGACAACACAATACACAAGACGATCCAGTGCCTTCTTCACTTACCTGGAAAGCGTTTGTATATTTTCGTTTCTTTCTTTGAAAGCATGCTAAACATTCCCCCGCTGCATTTTCTGCACCAATTGAATAAAGACGCGGGCACTGTGGAGAGATTAAATGCATTAATTGCGATAGGATTCAGGTGTATGTGCAGGTTGAACGACTCGGCGGCGGCACGTACGGCGATGTGTACAGAGCAGTAGAAGAACCCGAAGAAGGAGTAGGAGGAGGAGAAACATTTGCAGTTAAATATTATGTTGATGAAACACGAACAGTCACAGAAGATGGGTTGGGGTGTACGACGATTCGCGAGCTTTCTACGATTTCTGTAAGCGGAGTATTTCAGGTGTACGTGCAGCTCGTATGTTTACCGACGTGTTGTGGCTCATTCTGCTGCTCTTCATTTGCTTTCTTTTGCGTTTTCAGTCTTTCGGAACCCATCCGAACCTGGTTCGGATGCGTTATCTCTTTATAGATCAGCTTCCTCGTCTGGTTGAGTGCATCAATCAACAACGCATTCAATGGGCCCGCCAGCAGCACGCCGCAGCAGACCCGGAAAACCAGGAGCAGCTACGGAGGGAGTTGCAGGCGCAGTTGGCGCAGGAGGAGCTGAAGCAGACCCAAGTATTTGTATTTGCTGCCTATGAGTTGTGCGAGGGAGGGGACTTAAAGAAACTTCTAGCTAAGAAAAGAGAAGCAAAACCCTCTCCCACCGTCTCACCTGAATGGGGCCTCCCCTTAAAGCACGCGAAACTCCTTGCATTTCAGTTGCTGAACGGCTTGGCTTTTCTGCACAATGAGAAGGTAACAAACATGCATGCAACGCAGCACAAACAACCAAACACCAGCAGATGCTGATATTTGCTTCTGCTATAACAAAAGTTTGCTTCGACTGCGTCCCACATCTACTGAATGGCTAATACACTCAGCTCGATCTATTGCCCAAAAAAGCCTCCGAATGGCCGCTTTTCTCGTTTTTAAATTCAACTTGACTCACAGCAGCAACAGCAGCAGCACGAGCAGCAGCAGCACTTCCCCATCTCCACCACCCCCACCAATCTCTCGTTCCTCCGTAGCCCCAGTATTTACTGCCCATCACTGCAGTACTATTATAGCGGCTAGGGGAAATGCATGGGGGGCGTTGGGTGTCTGCACAGCTCTGCCACCGCGACCTGAAGCCCGACAATTTGATGCTGACATCTGAAAGTGAAAACTGCATCCTTAAAATCGGCGACTTGGGGCTCTGCAGGAGCTTCCGGGCCAACGCAGGTATTTAATAAGCCTCATCCGTGTCTTCAGCTGCACAAAGCTGCTGCTTCTGGCGGTGCTGCTGTTGTTGCTGCTGTAGGTGGTAGTGCTCGTGCTGCTGTTGCTGCTGGTGGTGGTGATGCTGCTGCTGTAGGTGGTGCTGCTTGTGCTGCTGCTGTTCTTGTTGTTGCTGCGTGTTTATGTGGATACTGAGGCCTCTAGCGTTCGCCTAAAAGTGATAATATTAAAGTGAATTTTCTCCTTTGGGCCGTCGGTGTTCGTGATGGGGTGTATCTGCATCTTTTTGCGGTGTTTGCGTGCGCATTGACTGTTGCTTGTTTGTCTCGCTGCTGCGACTCTCAGGAGAAATAACGCCAACTGTCTGCACCATTTATTACCGCCCTCTGGAGGTTCTTTTGGGGAGAATGAAAATCGGGAGCGACGGCACGGAGGTTTGTCTTCTTTTACTGCTTTGTTTGTCTTATTAGTCTTTCTGGTTTGCTTGTTTTGCTGATTTTTTTGCTTTGTTTGTTTTGTTTGCAGTGCCTCAGTTTATATATATGAATATTTAAATTAACTATATATATAATGTAAACCTATATATGTATAGAAGTGTACCCGCAGTGCAGATTGCTGTAGGCCCTTATCCCTGGCGGTTTAGGGTTTAGGGTTTAGGGTTTAGCGGTGTTGTTTGTGTAGGAGCATGGGACGCACTATGGCTTGGGAGCAGACATTTGGGGGGCGGGCTGCATTATAGCGGAGATGTTTCGAGGAATTCCTCTTTTTAAAGGCACTCAGGAATTCGAAGTTTTAATTCGCGTTACTAAAATACTCGGTACACCCACCGAGGCAGAGTGGACAAACTGCACCGCGTAAGAGCACCAACACATAACAATCCAACCCCACGATCCCAACCCCACGATCCCAACCCCACGATCCCAACCCCACGATCCCAACCCCACGATCCCAACCCCACAATCCCAACCCCACAATCCTGGGATCCCTCGATATTGTGATCCCACGATCTTGATTTTCCTGTGTGGAGATCGCTTTGTCCCGTATCATTGAAGTTGGAGTGTACGCTGCTTGTTGGATTAATAATACTAGTTTATTTGTTTTTGTTTGTGTGTTTTGTTTGTCTTGTTTGTCTGGTTGTGGGGTGGTGCAGGCTGCAGCACTATCCGTTTGGGAACAGGGGGGAGAGTCACTTTTTCAGTGAGCACGATAAGCGTTCGAATTTAAATGCGGTGCTCTTCGGCAAACTCGACTTAGATGGTCTCGATCTTCTAGCGAGGATGCTGGATTATAACCCTCATACGCGCATCTCAGCACAAGAGGCCCTCAGCCACCAGTGGTACGCAACCCTAAACCCTAAAACCCTAAACCCTAAACCCTTTTGGAAGACAATCTCGCGCTTCTTTCCCTCGCAGCCCTGCAAAGTGAATGGGCAAAGAAGGTAGATTGTACTCCGCATGAAGAGCAATCTTGGTTATCGCTGCTGGTGCTTCTGCTGCTGTTGCTGCTGCTGCTTATGCTGGTATTGTTGTTGCTGCGTGTGCTGCTGCTGCTGCTGCTGCTTCTGATGCTGCTGCTGTTGCTGCTGCAGGTTCACGGACGTGGCGTTTGGGCAGCTAGACGGGCTTGGAGTGTATAATTGGTTTGTGGATGTGTTAAAGTTTCGTCTGGGGGAGAAGACGTTCTCAGCAATGGAGGCGCACACTCCGGGGTGTCTATGCACCTCGAAGCTGTCGCATATATTATGCCAACGCGGATATAGAGGGGCTGTAGTCCAGCGCATTGATCGCGTTTTCGCCGAAGTCGGAGGCTTTCAAGAACCCGAACAAAGCCAACACTGGAAACAAGGTCCCCCCCCTGATGCTGCTGTTGCTGCTGCTGCTGCTGCTGTTGTTGTTCCTGTTGCTGCTGATGGTGCTGCTGCTGCTGTCGTTCCCAATGCTGCTGATCGTGCTGCTGCTGTTGTGCCTGTTGCTGCTTATGGTGCTGTTGCTGCTGTTGTTGCCGCTGCTGTTGCTGCTGCTCTTGCTGCTGCTAGAGACAGACTTGCACTTTCTGCTGCTGCGGCACCCTTTGGGGTGTTAATGTGTTTGGCCGTGGAGTTGTTCTCTTCTTTGTTGCTGCTGCTCCGCATTGTGCTGCTGCTACTGGTGTTTGCGATTCTGCTGCTGCTGCGATTTGTGTTGCTGCTGCTGAATTTTGTGTTGCTGTTCCAGTGCTATCTGCTGCTGCTGCTGCGCTATGTATTGCTACTGCTGGGCAGCCAATCGTTTGCTGCACCTTGCGGTTTATCTACGGTTGCTGCTTACTTCATGATGTTCTGTTTTGATGCTGTGCTGCAGTTGTTGCTGCTGAAAAGCTAGCAAGGGCTAGGAGGGACCGTAAGCAGGCGAAAGACACGCAGCAGAAGCCTTTTGCTGCTGCTGGTGCAGCAGCAGCAGCAGCAGCAGCAGGGGATCAGGAAAATGCACCTGGCCGCACAAACCTTCGTTGCTGCCCCTACCCCACGACGAAAGGAACGTCTCTAGGCCATGCTGCTGCTGCTGCTGCTCCTTCTGAGGGCCCCGTAAGACGGGGTACGCACTGGCACAGCGCAGCAGCAGAGACAGACGCTGGCAGCAGCAAGAGCAGCAGCAGCAGCAGCAACTGTAACAGTAGCAGCAACAGCAGCAGCAGCAGCAGCAGTGGCGGCAGCAGTGGACGGCTGGGCATAGCCTCTTTGTTGCTGTCCAATGCGCCGCTTGCAGCAGCAACTCTACACGAAGAAGCTGCTGTCTCTTCTCAAGACTTGGGAGAGCCAGCTGCTGCTGCTGCTGATACCAACAAAAACTGCAACACCGCTCTTTAAATGTTACACCCAAACAGCCTCCGTCTCTGCTGATGCTACGCATTGCTTCTGCTGCTTGAGATACTGCTGCTGGTGCTGTTTCCGCTGCTGCTTGGCATATTGCTGCTGCTACTGCTGCTGCTTAGGGCGCTCTTGCTACTGCTGCTGCTTTTGTGATGGTGCTGCTGGTGCTTGGGTTGCTCCTGCTGCTACTGCTGCTGCTGCTGCTGCTGTTTGGGGTGCTGCTGCTGCTGCATCTTGTGTTTCGGCCGAGTGCGCGCCAGCAGATATCTGCCGGCCGCTGCATTCGTCTCACTGTACATGTTTTATTAATTGCATGCATCGAGAGGTAATTTTTAATAATATAATAATATCATTGTTTTAAAAAATTATAATTAAAAATATTTTTTTCTTCCTGTCATTTCTATTGCCCCTTGGGCCGCATGCGAAACTCAGCGTGATATATTTAACATATATTTGCAATATATATGTTAAATATATCATGCTGGGTTTCGCGTGTATATATATATATATATGCATACATATATATATACTTGTATATATATATATATATATATATCCACACACACACACACACACACACACACACACACACACACACACACACACACACACACACACACACTCACATATCCACATACGTGATACATATGAATGCATATATATATATATATATGTATATACATTCATATGTATGTACATACACATATATCTACGTATATATTCAGATAAATAAATATCTATGAATATATAATAATGGTTACTACGGGGCCCTTGCAAGTATTCGCTGTGCGCCCAACTTGTCGATTAAAATACAAAATACGAAATTCTTCGGCTCTTAACAAAGCCAAAGGCAGACAGCTCAGAGAATATCCCTAAGGCTGCACGCCGCTGGGGATGGCTAACCAGCTAGCTAGCTACCTAGCTTGCTGGATGTCTAGCTAGCTGACTGGCTAGCTAGCTGGCTGTCTAGCTAGGCAGTTAGCTAGCTAGCTAGCTAGCCAACTGACTTCCGAGCCGGCTGATCGTCTAACTAACTAGTTAGCTAGCTAGCTAGCAAGCATTGCAAACGTTTGCCGTGCGCCCAGCACACTAGCCGTTCGCTGTACAGCTAGCTAGCTAGCTGTACAGCAGACAGCTAGTCTGCTGCACGTTTAGGGTTTGGTTTGGGGTTGTTCCGGCAGTTAATGATATGTTTATAAATGAAGAGACAGCAAAAAAGAAGAGAGAAAGAAGAGACAGCAAATAACTCGTCGAGCGCGTAGGAAGAACGAAGGCGATGCAGCAGCCGCAGCAGCAAATAAGGGCTTGCTGCACTTCCACGAACAGCAGCAGCAACACCTGCTGCTTCTGCTAGCTGCTGCAGCAGCAGCGGAGGAGACAGACAGAGACAAATGCTAATGTACAGCAGAACTGGCAGCCAGAGATACTGCATGCAAACAAACACAAAAAACAAACATAAAAATTAAATCGTATTATATCTAAACAAACAAACACAAAAAATAAATCATAAGTCCAAATAAACGTTCTAAATAAACAAACAAACAAACAAACAAACAAACAAACAAACAAACAAACAAAACAAACGAACGAACGAACGAACAAACAAACAAACAAACAAACAAACAAACAAACAATAGACAAATAACCAAATAAACAAATATTGCAATGCATACAAGCAAACAAACTCAAACGAGGAGAGATATGAACAAGTATATTGATATAACTATCGAAATAATAATAATTATAATTATGTTAATGTCTTTATTACAAAAATAATAATATTAGTAAACGTAAAATAATATTATAACAATACAATAATAATAATAATAATACTGATACAATAGTAGTGTAATAATAAGAATAATAGAATAACTACTATTATAATTATATAAATAATACATACTAACATTAATAATTATAAAACAATATTAAAATAACAATACAATAATAATAATAATAATAATGATACAACAGTAGTAAAGTAATAACAGCAATAGAAATAATAAGAATAAAGATTATAATAAATAAATAATAAACAATAACATTACTAATACTAATATAATAATATAATATTATTAAACATAATAATATAATATAATATTATTAAACCCTCTTCTCACCAGCAAAGAGCGAACATGCAGCTTCAGACGCGCGGCGATGAGTTCCACACAAACGAGAGAAAAACAAATTATTTGAATGCCTAAAGGAGGTGAAAAGTAAAAAGTCTGCAGCAAACAAACACCAGCTGTACGTACACCCCAATCCATACTCCTAATCCTCTCTTCCCGCAACAGCAGCAGCTCCTGTTGCTGCAGCAGGAGCTGCTGCAGCAGCAGCAACTGCTGCTGCTGCAGTAGTAACAGTTGCTTGTTTTAAGCCTCAACCACAAACCCTAAACCCTCAAGCATGAACAGGTGAGGCATTCCTTATTTTCGTGTGAATGTTCGTTGCCTCTAGCCAAAACTCTAAACCCTAAACCCTAAACCCTAAACCCTGATGTTGCTTACAACAGCGAAAAAGCATAGCCCAGGAACAAACCGCGGGAAGTGTTCGCGAGACATCAAGCTCATCAGCAGCCTGCACACAAATTCTAAACCCTAAACCCTAAACCCTAGCCGTAAACCCCAAACCCTAAACCCTAAGCCTGCACACAAAGTCAAGGTAATATTATAAATAAAATATAACTTCCCGTTGTTACACCTCTGGAGTGCAAAGAAGAAAGCGTAGAAAAAGACCCACCTACCCCGCAAACCCTAAACCCTAAACCCTAAACCCTAAACCCTAAACCCTGCATACCCAAACTTTAGACCCTAACCATCGCAAACCCTACTAAACCCTAAACCCTAAACCGTAGAGGACAGCCTACCGAGATGACTGGAATATACAGAAAGCCACAGAAATGAGGAGGGCGCAGAGGCCGACAGTAAGTTGCTGCTGCAGCATGAGCATGACTTGCTGCTGCTGCTGCTGCGGCACGAAGAAGCTGCTGCACCACTGCGCTGCTGCTGCTGCTGCTGCAGCAACAGAACCCCCAAACACTGGCAGCAACTCCAACAGCTTAAATATAGACATAACGAAAAAAGAAGGGTAGACTGCTCGTAGCAGCAGCAGCAACGGAATAACGATAAAATTCAACTCATCAACCTGCAAGCACAAAACCCAAACCCTAAACCCTAAACCCTAAACCCTAAAACCCCCTAAGCACTCACCCCTAACCCCGAAACCCTAAGCCCTAAACCCGATGCCGACAAAACCATTAAACCCTATACACCTAAACCCTAGACCCTGGAAGGAGGATTTGCTCAGCACTAAATACTAAACCCTAAACCCATGAAGTTGCTGTACCCCAAACCTAAACCCTAAACCCTAAACCCTAAACCCTCACGGAGAAGGTTCCTGGGCCCTCTAGCGAGGCGGAGAGCATTGTCCTGCCAACAATTGGATGCGCCCAAGTTGCTGTGAAGAACGGCAGCTGAGCTAAGACAATAAAGCAGAGTTGAAAGAGCCTGGGGTGTATATGCAGCTCGGAGACAGCCTGGAAGCAAACCCTAAACCCTAAACCCCCGCCTGGTAGCAAAACCCTCAAAAGCGGAATATGCCGCAGAAACGCCAGAGATACACAAGCCTGCTGCGGCCCTGCTGCTTCTGCTGCTGCTCCTGCTGCTGCTTCGTTTGCTGCTGCTGCTGCTGCTGCTGCTGCAGGTTCTGCTGCTGCTACGGGCCCACACAACATATGCAAAATAATTAGAGCAGCAAAAGAAGAAGAAATCGAATCGCTCGAGTGGTCGAAGAAATCCCCTCCAGCGCTGCACAGCCCCAAACGGCGAGCCTGAAACCGCAAACCCTAAACCCTAAACCCTAAACCCTAAACCCTAAACCCTAAACCATAAACACTACGGGCCACAACGCACCAACATTTCAACAATATAATCCTCAAACAAAACTAGAAACCCTAAACCCTAAACCCTAAAGTAGAGCACAAGCCCCTATACCCTAAACCCTAAACCCTTCCACTAAAGAACAGTACACAGTACACCCCTGAAGCCCAAACCCTAAACCCCTCAGCCACAGCGCAGAGTCCTAAACCCTAAACCCTAAACCCTAAACCCTCGACGGACTTGCTTGCCATCCAGATTGTCTAAGAGAGCATAGAGAACCCAGAAGAAGGCAGAAGCTGCTAGAGAGGGTGTGCTGCTGCCGGAGTGGGGAGAGCAGCAGCAAAAAGCAGCAGCAGCAGCACAAGACAAACCCAAGAAAGAAACCATATCAGGGTGAACCCAACGAGGAATATATTCGCAAATGGAGTCGCACAGTGGAGATACAGCCCGCTGATAAAATAGCGTGCCCGTGCTGCTGCTGCTGCTGCTGCTGCTACTGCTGGCGTTGTTCCTGCGGTTGCTGCTGCTGCTGCTGCTGATGCTGTTGTTGCTGCTGTTGCTGATGATGTTGTTGCTGTTATTCCTGCGGTTGCTGCTGCTGCTGCTGCTGCTGCTGCTGCTGCTGCTCTTCAGGCGCGCCCGGGGGCCCCCTGCACAGGCCTCTGCCATTGTCTCGGGTGTATAGGCAGCTTCCCTTAGCAAATATTTACTTTATAGAATTAAACCCTAAACCATAAACCCTAAACCCTAAACCCTAAGCCTTGCAGGCAGCCAAAACAGCTCCAACTGCGGCCCTAGGGCTAGCAGCAGCAGCAGCATGCTGCTGCTGCTGCTACTGCTGATAGAATTGTAACAAAGGAATCTCGCAGCGCTGAGACCTTCACCCTAAACACTAAACCCTAATCCCTTTCTTATAGACCTCGAAAACCCTAAAGCCTAAACCCTCATGCACAAGACACCGAAGCATGCGTCGGCTGCCGGCGTGGGGGGTGTAAATGCTGATGCGCGCTTATATGGATTAGGGTTTAGGGTTTAGGGTTTAAGGTTCCTAGCTGCATGCATTTTTTTGCTTCTAACAGTATTTGCTGTATACACCAGAAAAGCTGCTGCATCGCCGCTCTTCCGCTGATCCGCTGGCCTTGGGGCTGCGGCTGTGGGGTCACTAAACCCTAAACCCTAAACCCTAAACCCTAAACCCCAAACCCTAAACCCTAGGCCGTAAACGCTCAAATTAGATAGGAAGTTTTTATTATTATAGATGTTTGTAATGCAGAATTCGGTGTCTGTATAACCGTGCTGCTGCCCCTTGCAGCTGTGCATACACCCGGAAGAGCAGCAGCTAATAGGCGACTGATTATATATTCTTCTGCCCTATTAAATTTTATATAAAAATAAAACTTATATTCATAAATATAACATAAAACACTCACCACAATAACAGAGACGTAGCCTAAACCCCCCTAATACCCTCACACCCTTGTGTCTACTGCTACTACTACTACTGCTGCAGCTGCTGCTGCTGCTGCACTGCTGCTGCTGATGCTGCTGCTGCAGCTGCTGCTGCAGTTGTCTCAATAATTTCGCCTCGTTTAATTATATATTTTATGGCTTTTTGGTGTTTGTCTTTTGAGGAGGAATTGGAGCAACAGGCAATGGGGCGCAGCTTTCGGGGGTATAGTATGTTATACATATATAATATATAATATATCTATATATATATAATATAATATATGTATATATATGAGAGCAGCAGTGCATGCAGTTAACACAAAAGGGTATTATATATATATATATAT